AGTCTTTTATGCTGTTGATCAGGAAACATTCCGACGCGATAAAACTTAAGCATGGATAAGTTTATACTGAGAAGATTTGTTATCTTATTGTTTAAGACGCTTTTCCGCGATCAAATTCAAATATGGACCCAGAAATGTCAGTATCGGTTTGAAATAAAAGGATTAATCTTTGATTGCAAGTTAAGTATTCTATTTTATGCATGAATAATGTTGTTTTGTTGTGCTTTTTAAATATAAATCCAGGCTTCTGTCTTCAGTTTTGCCAGTCGATCTCGTGACACACGTGACAAACATGACTTTTTTTGTTATAATCTGCATTTATTGCCAGGTATGAAACCTGTAACTTCAAGCTCCCTAAGATATATTTGGCGATTATATGTGATTCTAGGGATATGATGCCGAAGCGAACATCAAAATCAGTCTCGCTGGGCATGCCAATTTCTTGCCTGGCATGCCGGACATGCCAAACCAACTGGCTTCATCATCGGCATGCCCGGCATGCCAAACCAGAGGAGCAAAAACTGGGAATGAATTATCAACCCGGCGAGAGATCTGGGACCTAAGTTTAGCTGGGTCAATTTTGGGCTGCGAGGGCATGAACCCTTTTTTTCCATGCCTATGAGATGTTATTTCTAAGTACCAATGTTCCCTTGAATTTTGACATGCCTAAATATATAAAATTTTCCCTCTCTCATTAATCCTCAGACTGGATGCGATTTTTGCGCTCGCTAGGCATGTTCAACTGAAAATCATGCCCATACCCTTATTCAAAACAAAATGCTATCAAATTTTAGTTTCCAAGCCGTTCATACCAGAATGAGCACAATTCAGTCAAGGACACCGGAGAAAAAGGCAAAAAACCATGTAACATTGACCTGAAAATTTCCATGAAAATCTTGTTCCACTACCCACCTACCTTTCCTTACATCTAATTCTAACTTCTGCACTTTCCAGAAGTTAATAGAAAAACAAGAAACAACATAAGCAACAAATCATGGAGAATATTGGATATGGCCTCGATGTAACGCCATATGTCCGCCGAAGGAAAAAACAAAGCAAGTCTGAAGTGTGATGTAAAGCAAAGAGAAATACTTATCTTAAACGATGCGAAGAGTTAAAAACTGGGCTGAACACTCGCTGAAGATCCAAATTGAAAGGAAAAAGTGGTAGAAGTGGGAGCCTAGACCTTTCGATCCACGGGGCGAAAACGGCGACACCTGCCTTGGATTTCTTTTCTGCTCCTCTCTCTGCCCTATACATCAGTCTTCCTGTCGTCCTCAAAACTCGACGCAAGCAGCTTAAGTCACTTTATCGGCCATTAAAAAACCTTTATACTTAAACCAACCAGTACCTGCTCCCAGGACCGACTTAACTTGGCGGTAGAATTTGGAGTTTAACGCGTCAATTCCTTAAAGTTGCCAAGCACTAATGCAGGGCGTGATCCCGAGCTGCTGCTGATTCACTTCTATTTCACAACTAAAACTTCGCTGCGGGCCTTATTAACAGTGTTAACGGCTTGCTCGACTGTCGCGTTATTCTCGCAATTTCCTCCGAAAATCGCTTTGTAAAGCCACTGAGGCGATCTTTGATAACCTGCGTAAGGTTATCCGCTAAAGAACTGATAAACTCCACAACAGAAGCCCTAATAGCCTCATTAATGGAACGCAACGACTGTTGCATCGCTAACGTTAACGGACGGAACCGAAGATCCTTGCTTGTTGCTCAGACTGTGGGTTGTTAGGCGTTCACAGACCCGAAGGACGAATACGAATGAACAAGACACTTATATAACTGTATGCAAAATACTTAACACCAAAAATACCGAAACACAAACAGACAAGATAACACACGTAATTAACCATATAAGAACGTGCAGAAAACAAATATCTGCTAAACTGCGTACCGCAGATATTTTTGCAATCCTAAAAGTATTTCTAAAAACCTTTCCCACAAAAATGAAGCCTACTAAATGCCCAGCAAGAGAAAAATTAATGAGGCAAAAAAAGCGAAAAGAGGGGATGGGAGAAAGAGAAAAGTACAATGCAGGCCAGAACCAAGCGAACCAAAATATACACGTAATACGCAGGAAAGACGTGTTAATTGCGTCAGGCTGGATGCGTCCGTGCGTCTGACCTGACGAGCCGATGCGTGTGCTCTGAAATGCGTCAGAGCGCATTAAGACTCAATAGTATGTATAGCCTAGCTCTTTGCGTAGAGGTGTTATGTATCAGTGAATGATCAATGCAACAAGCTTAAAACTGGTGGATCGACCTAGTGCAAGCTAAAGAAAATTTAGATGCAAAACGCGAAGTGCAACTTTCGCTACATGATTGTATTTCGATCACATATTTCACGAATCGAGCAAACAGTCACGTTTTACACGATCATAACCAAGCTAACGTAACAATAATGCGGAAGAAAATATCACTCACAAAATTATCTTGAGTTTGAGTTGAAGGAACTTCAGAACATGACAACTAACATCAAAAATCGAACCTCCGATTGGCACGTGCTCAAGTAAACAAAATTTTCCTTGTGATGACCAAATTCGCATCGACAAGCAAGACTTCAGGATGCGAAGGACCTCGCTACATTTGCAGCATGATCTGACCGGGACAACTTGTTATCAACTTGTACTTCGAGGAGTCTTTCTGAGGTTGTCCACTTTATGATGTTGTTGCCAAGACGAAGAGCTTGGATAGGGCAGGTAAATGTTGATTTGTGCTGCATGGTCATTGCTATACATTTTTCTGGGTGTGGTACCATCGAAACCATACCTGGAGATCAGCTAGAACATTGTTTAGAGAGTTTGTTAGCAAATTCATCGTTTCTGCGATACAGTATATTGTTGTGTCGTCTGCATACAGATAAGTTTCCGCAGAGCGTAGTGATTTTGGGAGGTCGTTTGTGAAGAGGGAGAATAACGTGGGTCCGAGGACCAACCCTTGAGGCACTCCGTGAGCTATAATGTGTTTATCGGAGTCGCATCCGTTGATTCTGACGAATTGTTTTCGTTCTGTAAGATAGTTCTTTAACCACAGACAGATATCCCCTCTGATTCCAAGGTCGTTCAGCTTTTGTAGCAATATATTGTGCGACACTGTGTCGAAAGCTTTAGTGAAATCCACAAACAGTAGTCCCACAAAAAGCTTTCTTTCTACTGCTTCTCTCCACCTCTCAGTTAGGTGTATTAAAAGCTGTTCTGTTGACTTTCCCTTCCTATAAGCCCATTGCCTGTTATCAAGTAAATTTTGCGTAACCACTTGATTAGTGATATTACTTGCGACGCAGGATTCCACTAATTTACTTGGTATACTAAGCATTGACAGTGGTCTGTAACATGTTCTGTCTTCCTCTCGTCCTTTTTTGAACGCTGCACTGACTCTAGCTATTTTCCACTGGTCTGGTGGCTTGCAGGCTTCAACACTGTTTAAACACGCTCGTGAGAGATGGGGCAATAGATCTTCCTGATGTCTTTTTCAGTAGTTCCCAGTAAGCAGCAGTAGATTTTACGTCATCGAATAGATTGGAGTAATAATCGGCTTGGGCTTTTTTCGTCATTGTTGATACTTTATTTCTAAGTCTTTTATAATTATCCCACAGAAGTGGATCATTAAGCTGACGCGCCCTTTTCAGAGTCATATCTTTGATTCATGGTTATTCTGATTTCCTTTGTTATCCAAGGCAGGCTGTTACTACGTACTTTAATTTGTTTAAGTAGTGCGTGTTGCCACAAGTTCCAAAAACATTTTTTCCGCTGATGAATCCCAGCCAAAAATATGTTTCTTTCAAACTTCTAGAAAACGACGAACTTTTGCATCTCTTTCTCTTCATGCTTAACAGTCTTAAGAGCCTTGTCTTTTTATCCAGAACATAATCAAAAATATATCTTGGTGTTTTGTACAGAAAAAATTTTTTGAACAAAATCATGGGTTAACCCCTGTGGAAAAAGGCATATTTTTCAACTATGCGATTATGATTGTTAGTAGTCTAAAAAGTCTTCTTTTCTATGTAGAACAAAATCAAACAATTAACCATTAATGAATGAGGCTAGGTATCTTATGAAGAATTATGGAGATCGAGGAGGGCGTTATCCGTTGAGGCCGTAGGCCGAGGCGGATAACACCCTCCTCGATCTACGTAATTCTTCATATGATACGAAAGCTGAATTCAATAATTGTTTTATTATTCATTCAAAATAATTCCTAGTTTAAAAACATAGCTAAAACATGCTTACCTCCATCGATGTTAAGTTCATCTTCGATAGTGCACGTTTAGGGTTGTTCAGCTCCGCAAATATTCTCCAAATAGCAGATGTCGCCCTTCGAGTTGTCTTCTTGCTGTTCTTGCCATGTTTTTAGCTATTATTTCGCCTAGTTCTTACTCTTGAAACGAGTGAAATGTCCGCCATTTTTGTTTTCACAACCAAAACAACTCAACCTCGTCCCCAGGTCTTCTCGGTTAACGGTGCATTAACCTGCAAAAACGCTGCATTTTTGACGTCATTTCCTCGCTAAACACAAAAGTCTTCCAAATTTGGTCATCAGCAACTGGTTATGGTGAATTATGCGTGTGCTTTTAGCCAATCAGAATCGGGGAAATATTTTCAATGAATAATAATAACAATGAGGTGGCCCATATCACCAGATGACTTCGTGGAGTTTATTAAAAATGCAATTCCTTTGGACGCTTTTCTTAGCGAATCGCGAGGTTGAAGTCTCTTCCGCCTTGAGTTCTCGAAATTAAAAGACAAAAAGAAACGTAAAGTCCAAGATAAAAATGTTTCTTTATTTTCTTTGATTTAAAACAGCGTCATTTCTTATGTACAAACACTAAAATAATCTGCTTTGTACTAATAGTAACATTTCTTAATTTATTTACAAGCTTATATAATTCGTAAAATAGTCTTTTAAAAATGGAAAATCATAGGTATTATTTTCTCATGGAAGAACCCCTTACCTCACAACGACTGACGAAAAAAAAAATATATATATATATATAATTTGTATAAATATAACCTCTGTTATGTTAAATATACAATAAAAACCAATATAAACCCATTTACTTTCAAACTGAGTCAAAAGAACTTTTTAGCTTTTATATTTTGTTTTACTAACGTAGGAATTTGCCTTTCTCTTCGCATAAATAATGCGTAAAAATATGCAAATTTGATGGAAACAGTTGGCTTGAGCATTATCACAGGACCCAAATTGGGAAAACAAAACTTCCAAACAAAAGAGGTCTGTTGTGCAGGAAGGTAAGGTCATGCAATGTAGTTATACATTTTCAGCTTGCAGATGCATTTCTATGTGACCATTCAAACGAGAGCTAGTGATTTCTTTAATACTGATTAACATACTGTACAAGGTGCTTCTTCTATGTTAAAAATTAAATTGAATATTTTAATATATATATATTATTCTCTCTTTAGCAAAAATAAGTTCTTATTTGTCTAATAGCTTGAACTTTTTTACGTCTTTTATACCCCACATTAACATGCATCTTCTCTAAACTGCTCTCGATAGGTTTCCTATTTTCCTATCGCAAACACTGAACAAAGTTGAAAACAACGGTGCTGCAGTTTATGTTGGAAGCTCCCTGACCGCGCACAATCCTTTGTTTTTTGTTCACAATTCGAGAATGAAGAAATTAATGTGATGTTTCTATTGGTCAGTAAGTTTAAAATGATTGGAATGCTATTGAACGTTGTGCACGGTCAGGTCCAAAAAAGCTAACAAAAACACATAACAAAGGCGTGTAACCGGTTTCAAAACCATTCCACTTTAATAAGGGCCTATTTACATGGGACCCCAGATAGGTAAGGTAACGTGGCGGATCACCTCACCTATCATGTAAACGTGATCAAATTGAAATGAGAAATTATATGGACAGGCGGGTTACCCCACCTTAGAGGGTTACCTCACCTACCTGGGATCCCCCTCCTCCACGTAAACAAGACCTAACTACGCTAAAACGAAGCAATTGGCTATGTCACAAAGATATTGCTATTTTATGTCAATTATGAGCTATAGCTATTACTTAGTGCCTTTATACCCACACAATATGCTACTGTTGAGTTACAAAGATACCGTAAAATTCCGAAAATAAGCCCCGGGGCTTATATTTTTCAAAGGCCCTTTTTGAGGGGCTTATTTTTGGAGGGGCTTATATTCGGAGGGGCTTCTCTACGGACGGAAATTTGCGTTTCAAAATCGATTGGGCTAGCCTTACAGCTGGAAGTAAACTTACCGTTTTTGCTTTGTTTTACTTTGTATTTGAGGGCAATTTCCAAGTACAAGCCCCCGGGGGGCTTATATTTGGAGGGGCGATTTAACGCAGGGTTTTTTGCGTTACGAATTTGGGGGGCTTATATTTGGAGGGGCTTATTTTCGGAATTTTACGGTATAAAACAAATTTCAGACATAGTATCACGCTTCACAAGGCTGGTCACCTTACACTGAAGGAAAAATCATGGCCACAGAGCGCGTTCAAAGGCGTGCAACCAAATTTACTTTGAAGTGTGACTTTTCAATAACTTATCCTGAACGTTTAGTCAAATTAAGTCTTTTGCCTCTCGAGTTTAGAAGGGAAGTTTTAGACTTATGCTTGTGAAACTGATATGAGTAAATAAATAAAACTTGAAAAAACTGGCCCCGACGTTTTTACGTTTCAATCCATGCCATCCGTAGCAACCGACAAGACGAAACAGTTTTAATAACTAAATATAGTCTTACAAAATGGGCCATTATCATTTATGGAACTAAATAAATGCGAAGACCAGTTATAGCTCTTTAAAAAGAGAAACGAGCTTGACATAGCCCGTTCCTACCCCTCCCCTTAGTTCACACTTTGCCCTAAGTGAAAAGGCTTGGGGGAGGGGTAGTTGGGCAGTTTCCCAGAAACGGATAATGACCCGCCCCTTCCAAGTCTCGAAAGATGTGCCACTAAAATATTCTTTAAATTAAAAACACTGTATAAACAGTTTCGTACACAATTCTTCTTATAACAGACATAACAGACATACATACCACTACAATGGTTTAAACCAAGATGATTATCAAGAGCTAGTCCCACGCATGAGAGAATCGATTCACCCTTCGTCAAAAGAAGAGCGCCGGGGACCCTTAACATCTGGAATTTGTTAACAACAAAGTAACACCTAACAATCACCCTTTAGGGTAACTGTCCCTAATTCTAATTAGTGCCAAGCATTTAAGCGGGAAAAGGGAGGCGGCGGTGGGGAGAATAGCGATGACTCATCACGTGCTCCCCACCGAGGATCTAGGTTTATGCATTTGGCATTTTTTACGCAAATCACGCACTCCTACCCATAAAAAAAGCTACAGTGACAAGTTTCTAACTTCTTACATGGTACTCGATATTGACAGTACCCTAGATACACTGTCGTGAGCATGTAAAGCTGCTGATTGCTTTCCCGGGATGTTGTTGCTGATTAAACTGAGAGAAGAGTGGCGAGAAAGACCAGGATGTGGTTCACGCTCTTTTATGTCATTGGCCCTTTTGTACAGATGTGCTGCTTTCTCTGGTGAGCCCTGATAGAAACACATTGCACTTTTATAGAACAAACATTAAATAATTGTCTCCCACAATTATTGAACAATATTTTTGGAATGATCTTCCACTTTCCATCCGCAATTAGTAAAGAATTCCGTCTTTATAGGAAATACTCTAAACTGAATCATTACAAAAACTCTTCCGTATCCCTGAAAATGTGAGAAAAATCCCGAAGCATGCTTTTAAGAAACAAATACACAGTTTATTACTACTTGATCTTCAAAGACAGGATAGTTATGCTGATATAGACACCCTTATTACTGAAATTAAAAAAAGATTATCTTAATTCAATGTATTTGACCTTTATCTACTTATTTAAATATTTTTTCAATTTTATTAATATTCTTTTTAACCTCTTTTTCCTTGATGTTGTAAATCTCTTATATTTTTCTTGTAAAATGTCTTTTAAATGTATCACTTCACATATGTAGAGTACCACACTGCCTGCCTCGAATAGCGTTAGCTAAATGTAGGTAGTGTGTATGTTTTATGTATTTCATTGCTTTTAATAACGTTGTCCTTGTTGTTTAATCATTGCTTATTCCAATACCAAAATTATAGCTAGATTGACTTAAGAGACCACACTACAAGGGTCAGTGTACTTCCCTTGCTCTTATCGAACAGCAGTGTGGGTCCATTTATGTCCCCGTTTAATTAAATGACAAGGAAAGGTGAAAAAAACCAACGCCCACTAATGCGACCATCTAAACTGACAGACGATGTATAACAGCAGCCACCATAATCTTCCCATAGTTTTAAAAAAAGGTGATTGGCGATCTGAACACGCGACTTCAGGCTCAGCAGACTGGACTCATCCGACTGAGTTAACCGGGTGGTGGTTTACCTTTTTTTTAACTCTAATGGGATGCGAGGGCGAGGGCCCTCTGAGGTAAAGCATATTAAAGAGAAAGTATACTCACCAGGTCATAAAGAAGCTTAGCAAGATTGACGAGAGTTTCAGCCACACGTGGATGGCTTGTGCCCAGCATCTCTTCATAGATCTGTAGAGCCCGCTCGTACAGTGGTAACGCCTCTGACTGTCTGTTCTGTCGATCAAAACAATAGAAAAGTTTCGAACTCTTTCACCGCCAAAAGTAGCTCAAGTAAACAATCAAGAAAATTTCCGAAAGTTATTGAGTAACATGCTAAAAAACAAATGGAACCATGTGAAAGTACTGCTCAAGAAGTTTCATTTGAATGGTCACATTCTAGGATTTCATGCACCAACTAAAAAGTTGGAATTACATTCTAAATAAATAGTGCCATGTGACAGTACTGCTGAAGAGGTTTCGTTTGAATGGTCACTCCATAGAATGACGCCCTCCGACTCAAAAGTTAGAACTACATACTCAATAGATAGCACCATAAGAAAGTACTGCTGAAGAGGTTTTATTTGAATGATCACACCAAAGCATTTCATCCAGAGACTCAAAAGCTAGAATGACCACACAGTGGGGGTGAAGGGGTTAAGACTCTGGTCCATAGCTTTTGCCAAATTGGTGACGCATAAGTCCATTACAGATCTTCCCTACCCACTTCGGTTCCTTTCAGGACATAAATTCAGTACATTACAAAGTTCTGGCCACTTAGAGGTTACGCCTGGGACCGAGTCGGTTTTGTGTTTAACTGCATTCTAGGGCTATATGCATTAGAAATACGTTATCGCAAAAACCTCGGGAAGCTATAGAGGGTCAGCCTTAAGAATAAGAGAAACAAGGCAAAGGCGAAAATATGATAAAAACAAAGCAAAACAAAATAAAATAATGTACAACAAGGAAAAAGAGTTTCGTTCCACCGGTATTCAACCTGCATCATAAACACTAGCTGATCGTGTGTCAAGTCCTATACCACTTGGGCCACGCTTTAATATCTACCCAGCCCAGGAAAGGTTAGCCACACCACCGGGGTCTACGTCCCCCACTCTTTCCGACAAGTGGTGGGGGTTCTTTTATGTCTCACAAGAACCAGATAAATGAAAGTGCTCTGAGACGGGACCTACAGTTTTTCGTCCTTATCCGAGAAGGAAGTGTAGAAAGTCTAACCATTTGTACATGTCAGTACATGGGCAGCACTTTCTTCTCAATCATTTAGAGACCCTGAGCATTGGTCTGGCCGGTGTTTGAACCCGCGACCTCTTGCTCAGCAGACCGGCACTCTCCTAACTGAGCTAACCAGGCGGCAGTTTTTGGGGACGAGTTTTGACCCAGAGATCTGCCAGCCAATAAAAGAAGGGGAAGCGTCACCAAACTGTCCCATAGTGCAATGGGACAATCCACCTGTCCCACTAACAACCTCAAAATGGAAAACATGCAATCAGGTCATTGGAACATGTGTAAAGGCTCTTTAAAAATCCAGAACCTCATAAAGCAGCAAGAGAATTTGGAATCCGGGCTTCTTAAGGTAGTCAAATAACTACTGTTACATTGTTTACCTGAAGACATAAAACAACAGCAAGGTTGTTAAGAGCTGTAGCAACGCTGGGGTGTGATTTACCAAACGTCTTCTCTCGTATTTCTAGGGCTTGTCTGTAAGGTAAAAGAAAAGCACGACAGAATCAGATGAAAAAGCGAAACAAACTAGCACTGAATTGTTTACATGTTGTTTCCTGCCCACTACAACAGGACAGTTATAAGAAGCATCACTCTTTCTTTCAGGGGAAGTCCTGGGAGCTCACAAGAGAGAAAACACAAATTATCAAGAAAGCTCGACACTGGAATTACTACAAATAAGTCAGAAAAAAGAAACAAACAAAACAAAATGGACCGGAAAATACCAACTTCCTGTCGGTAAAAGGAGTGAACCTGGTCACCACTTTAGCAGAGTAATGAAACATTGTGAACGTCAGTGTAATTCCACTACGGACAATCTCCATTTTTTTGTGATGAGACTTTTTGGACTATTCATAATGGCGACCAGGAGACAAAAAATGTTTCTTACCTGTACAAAGGTTCTGCATCAGTGTATTTACCCTGTCAGTAGAAAATAATATTTCACATTACCATGAAGGTTCTGTCGGAGTACTTAGGTTCTTAAAGACATACAGCGCCTATTACAAGGTCTTGAAAAAGTACCTCACAACGCTTTGAGAGAAAAATAGAACCAGAAAAACGATACCCACGTTTAAAATTACCTTTAAGTTACCATCCTTATTTCTTTATTACCATACGGTAAACTCTTGACATTACTGATCTACGTATAGGAGGGCCAGTGAATACATGTGGCGTGGGTCAAACATCGAGTAGTAACCACATACCATTTTGACTGTGGGCTCATGTTATTCGTTCCGTGTGATTTTTGCCGACGAAAAGGGATATTTTTACCTCCTTAAAGTTTTGTCAGGGCTCCCGTTTTTCAGGAGAAGGGGCCCTGAGGCATCTCAAGTAAAAATCCCAGGGAGAACTCTGACATTATGGATTAAAGAGATACAATAATATTTCACTATAAGCGGTAACAAGAAGTAAAAGATGATAATCATACCTGTTTTCTGTACAATACTGTCAAATGTTTAATGGTAGAGGCCACACTGCTATGGTGCGGTGGAAAGGCCTATTAAAAGAGACATCATAATTACATAAATTATCAATCATCAATTACCATCAAACTCAGAAAACCGTGAACACCTAAAAAATTTCAAGAATGTTGATTGTGTAGTGACCAATCACGATAAAGTGCCGGACAAGAGAGCAAACCTCTAACCTCAAATCTTCTAACCCACTACCGAGCTTCAAATTTGTTATCTGTCCTTATGCTTTCATCATACGGTGCGCGCTCGACATTTCTGATCCAAGACGTATACCGGACACATACAAACTTAATGGAAACACAACTCGATTTTTTGCATTTTCTCCTTCACATACTTAATATTGTACTTTGAAAACCAAGAAATGTTTACATGATGGCGGTGTGCCCTTCTTAGCAGTGCAAACTCATGCCAAGGGCTACTACTTTTATACTAGTGAAAACACATACCAGTATGAAAGCACCCCCTTAAAAACGGTAGTTAACAAGGCAGTTGCACAACATAATTTTCCCCCACCTTTAATCTGATCTGATAGGCTCTAACATAGAGTGGTTCTGCTTTGTCATACCTGAAACAAACATAAAGCAACTTACTGTTAATACACTACTACTCTGGACAGCAATTAACTGGAAACGTCGGAGGGTTAGAGGGTCTCTGGCGAACATACATCTACCACCCACCAAATAAAAGACTGTTCACTGCCCCCTATTTTTCCGTACGATCGAGCACCTACGGTTACCAGGGTTAGTACAGATTTTTGGATCCAAAATTCAAGACTTTTTCGAGACTTTTCTTCAAAATGATAATTTCTTTTTCGAGACTAAAGGTTATCAAAGAGGTGATCAATAGACACCACAAAAACGCAGGAACAAAGCTTTTTGCATGGTGTGCTGCAAACGCACGGGCGAGATTGAATAAGATTCGACCAAAACGGACAACATTTCACTTCTAAAGCACTTGCTGTAGCTTTGAAAAAGAAAATAAACTAACTCAAGACTTTTTACCATTTTTCCAGACTTAATCTCCATTTTCCAGACTTTTTCCAGGTCTGGAAAATTGCTGGGAAAATTTCAAGACTTTTTCAAGAATTCAAGACTCTGTGCGAACCCTGTGTTACGGGTGGCCATCTTAATTTCAAAACGCTGCTAAACGGCAATTAAGACTACGTGTGTTTTATTCTAAGAGCAGGAGCGAAAACACAAGTGGAAAGTGCAAATACATAAAGGCTGCGTAACATTTTGTACTGTATTGAACACTTTTTTTGACAATCTTTTAGTAGGCACTTTCTACACACATACACCTAACTGCACTAACGCGCAAAAAAAACCGAAGAAAAAAGCCAAATAGAAATTAATTAGCCTGCAAATTACGTTTTGATATTTTGATAATCCTGAAAACGCTTTGGCAGTTTGGTATAATTCTTTAGATTGACATCAACTGTGTTGTAAATTGGCCACTGTAAAGCTGTTTTCTGCCTTATGCTTTCGTCAGACCAGATCTCTGAATGCAGTGAGCATGCCTAATTTAAGCAAGTACATCACTTACATCTTCTGATCATTATAAAACGCTGCTAGGTTATGAAGAGATTGGGCAACATCCGGGTGATCAGGACCCTGTAGAGACTCGCGCATCTCCAACGACAGGTGAAAACATGACCTGGCAACTCTGTTTGAAAGGACAGAAGGAAAGAGTAGCATGTTATCGTCTAAAGCGTATTACGGATTCAGAAGACAAGGAAATGGTGCAACTGGATTTGTTTGGATACCTGGTACAAACCCTTCGGCTTTTTGCTAATTGAATTTCTCCTTCAAATCATTTTCTTAGAGATGTTTTGACACACTCAAAACGGAGTTTTATGTCATACATCCAACAGGACAGGCAGTGTTATATTTTTAGTGTTTCATTTATGCAGACTCTGAGAAGTGGGTTTAAATTAACAAATAACAATTTTCTATAGTCTAAAGACCACAAAAATTGGGCCAAAATGTCAAAATGTCTGGTACATTTCGTTTACGGTCGCTGCACGGCTACGATGTGAAAAGTCCTTACCGGTATTTCACGTTTTATGGAGAAAACGAACAAAACACAACAAAAATTTTATTTTTCTTCTTTGGAATTAAATTCCAGAAAAAATATGCCAACATTTTACACACTGGACATGCCAAAATTTATACCGATTAAGTTTGAAAAAGCATGATTTCAAGTTTTAAAGGGACGTTTTGTGTATTGCCGTCACGGTAGAAGTTGCTAAATTAGGTCCGGTTCACACATTAAGGTTCGAGTGAGAAAGAAATCGTTCTGGTAAAAAAGATCTTACTTCTAAAGAAAATGACACGATTTCTGCCCAAACAACAACAACAATAACACTTTTCTACTGTATAGTGCTGTGAAGTAAACATTTCCAGTGAAAGGAACCGAGTTAAGATTCAAGTTACGGTGCATAGTAGACTAACAACTTAAAATAACAGTAATTATAACTGTAGTCTGAAAGACGTGACACGTTTACTTACTCGTGATTATTTTGAAGAAAATTTAACACACCCAGCTCATTCAATGAACGTGCCAACTCTGTACTTGGTGATTCTCGAGCCAGTTCTTCTACCTGAAGAGTTTTCTTTTTCAAGTCGTTCGTATTAACCTGGAGAAACCATTTTAAAAACTTTAGCATCTAACTTCACAGTAAGCTGCTTTTGTTCCTTTTTCAGTGGTTTTCTCCGACATGTTTAGGAGGCAATTTGGGATTGTATTGATTTTGCAATACAACGCTCTGTCATTGGCTGAAAATGTTCGAGCTACTTTGTTAGCCAATCAGAAATAAAATCAAAACCAAGATAAGGGCAAACCACTTTCCTCAAGATCTGATTGGTTCAAGTATGGGTCTGATATCATAGATTACTTTAGTATCGGATTATGACGCGTAACAGAAAACCAACCAAGGTGAAATCAAACAATACGCTGCTAGAAATTGAGGGATTAATACGTATACTAAACTTCTTCATTCTTGTCGAAACACTCACATAGACACATAGATCCTATAAGGAAACTAATCACAAGGATAATCCTGATGACTTACAGATGAGTTTGATTTCTGTTTGATTGCCTCTGCCTTTTTGCGTAAAGATCCTGCCATGGCATGTCTATAACAATAATAACATCATTCATCCAATTAAAACTGTGTGTGTGTGCAAAACAATGCTAGAAACGGATGCAAATAATTGCATGTTTTACTTAGGAATGTAAATAACACATAAATAACACAATGTAAAATATGAGATTACTCTCCAAAACTTTGCAAAAGCATTGTCTTCTATTTTTCTGGGGACCACTGTATTACCGAGGAGAAATCAAAAACAGAAGTTATGCAAAATTTGGGGGGGCAAACAAGGTGTATAGTAGGAGATTTGCAAATGGTGAAAAGGATAATGCCTCAGCTCCTGGGCCTTCTTAAAATAAATAAACAAGCATGCAGCACGAAGTCACTGGTTTCAAGGAAGGCAGAGGAGAGAGGGCATTGTCTGATTTCATGCACTCTTCCATTGTTTCAGAACCAGAAAGTCACTATTGTGGCCACTGAGAAAGCGGGAAGAGTAAGTTATCATTTGTAATAATGACCTCCTGTTCCACCTCAGGGACAGTGACCTGTTCTTCCGTTTATTGAAAGGAATAAACCTGTTCAAACCATTGGAAAGGTACACTAATTATAGTTCTAAGAGCGTGCTTTCTGCACCCAAAAAGGTCATATCTAACACAGAGGGCGTGGAGGGGAGGGGCGGGGGAAGAGATGACAGAAGAAGGGATGGAAGGCACACTTCACCCAGCCGGGGTCTCTGTACACTCAAGGGGAGTTCCTTTACACTCCAGGGAGCATCAATAGACCTAAGAAGGCACTTTCAATCCCTTGCGGGCCCCATTACAACCAAGGACCCTCACCATAAAATGCGTGCCTATAAGCCTACTAAATGCACATTGGCAAAAAAAAAAAAACCTTGAACGCATACTGGATATGGTGATTTTTAACTACTGTGCATATCCACGGGCAAAGTAGAATGAGGAGTTTACACCTTTACCTAGAACTTTCTTATGGTTTTACGATCACTAACGACGGATGAAACGGCTCACAAATATAGTAATTCCCATTACCTTATTTCACTTGAAAAAAAGAAGACAATTACGTTACATTTCGAGTTTAAACTTACTTTTCGAGCTTCTTGTACAAAAAGGCCAAGCCTTCCAAATCCTGGAAAAAAGTTATCAAACAGGTAAAATAAAACAAAAATGCACAAAACAGTAACACATTTGCCGTACACTTTGCCTAGATAACAAATGAATATAGAAATGCTAGTGATCGTGACTGGGGGATTGTTCTGGCAAAAAAAGTAAAACTTGAGGAGGTTTATTTTTTTTGTTAAAAAAAGTCTTGTGTGGAAACTCCGAGGACTGTAAAATAAAACCGCTACCTTGATACCTAAATTTATTTGAGTCACATATCTGATAGTTCTTAAATCAATGTAGCTTAAACCTAATAAGTAGCTCACACAGATTCCTTTAATCATACTTGATACTGCATCATTGCATCTTCTTTTTGTAAATTTATTTTTTGTACATGTAAAATAAAGGAGTATGTGAATAATATAATCAAACGAATTTTAAACTTTGTTAAATAGACAAAGAAACTAAACAAAAGCTTCATTTCTTTTCTTTTAAGGAATGTTAAACTAATGAATTACCCACATCTGTTTAACTCCGAAAGCGAATTATCACTACTCACTTTAACAAGTGAAGGATGATCGTTTCCAAGAGCATTTTCCTTTATTTCTATGGCCTGTTTGAAGAACGCTTCAGCGGGACTACAAATAACAGGAAAGAAAAAAACGCTATCAATTGACCCTCTCTCCTTTCCAAAAACAAGACGTAATGATAAGAAATCTACGATTTACAGCGACAATTCAAAATGTCAACCTTAATTTGTGAACAACAACAAAACAGGGTCATTAGTGACATGTTCATACACTTACGTTCTGCCACAAGTTTTGAGGACCCTAAATGGACATTTTTGAAACTTACAAGAAAAGTGTTCGAGATCATTGCGTATACGGATATGTGAGTAATGGAGACTTTTAGATTAAGACGAGAACGACTACGAGAACGAGATATTCTGAATACTAAATGGTGCGCGCGCGTGAAGCAGCGTCTGGCGGGAAAACGCGATGGCCGTCGTCACTCTACTACACATTGTAGCGAAAATGTGGTGATGACGGAACAACTTATCATATGATACAAGTTTTACTACTTTGATATCAGGAGAGGGGTTAACCTCCTTCGCAAAATTGGCCATAATAACTTTTCTAGGGTAAACTGCAAGTGTGTCAAATCTCGTCCTCGCCTCGAATCAAAAGGTCTGTAGTTTCTTCTAATTATATAACATGTCGTCTAGCGCTTGACTTCAAAAGATTGCTCAAGACACTAACTGCTATTTTAACGATGAAGCAGTTTTTTGTTCTAAGCAACTTCATTATTGTCACTACATCTTTTGCAACTTACGTGAACTTGCCCCACTGTGCGTTTAAACTGGCAAGATGATGTAACGACTGAGCCACAAGCGGGTGATCTGGGTCGAGGACTGTTTCTCTGATCTCCAGAGCTCGTTGAAAAAGAGGAGCAGCCTAATAACAAACAAGCCACACTCCTCATTACCCAAATACATCAATTTTCACGAGGCACGGTGACGTTGTCGGAACGAGTTGTTTTTACCAGACGAAACACTAGAGGAATGACCCAAGCAATTTCTCTAGCCTTAAACACGTTAGCAGGTGTTTTGAAAGGCCAATTAAAAAGAAGAGCTTTTGCATGGCTCCAGATTTTGCCACAAATATGTTTCGCTGAAGTTTGTCTTAAATCCTCAAGAGATAAGGACAAATTTCCATACCGCGGAATTCCTTCTTCACTTCTAAGGGTAAAGGGATCCACAGAGCCACAGTCTGACCTGGCTTCTATCTCAATCCCGCCGGGTTGCGATCCCGGTCAGATACCAAATGTTTTCAACTGGCTGTAGAAAGACGGTACAGGGCAAATAGTCCAGTTTCGAATTCATCGCAGTCACTGAATAGAAGCACTGAAGACTCATTTATACAGGGTTAGCCTCGACCTAAAGTAAAATATCCACAATTCATGTTCTCAAACGGTCAATTATGTTCCTGGAGCTGCGGGCATCACAGTCTGAAAGCGCGAAAATGACCTTGGGACTTTGAATAACCCAAAGGGAATGAGTCGAGTGTAATTAGAATTATTGCAACATGCAGCTATTTACTTCGTTTGATCCCCAGTGAAGCTTTTATTGGGATTATCTGTTTATGCAATGTACTCAAAGAAAAATACATCCACCGTCGTATGTTTTGTCACAAATGAATCAACCAACCTGGCTTAACAGTCCAAAGCATTTCAAAAATCGACCAACAACTTCAAACATCTCTGCTGTGGAAGCTGACAACTTATTTTCTGATAACACAAAGTAAACACAGAACATAAACAAGGAGTGTCATACCAACAATAACTGTAAGCTACGAACATACTCTACGAGTATCAGTCTTATCCGCCCAGATGCCCCTTAGAAGTATTGTAACCTTTATTTTTCTACTTATTTACATATTTACTCATTCCTATTATCATCTTTTTTAACCTCTTTTTCCTCGATGTTGTAAATCTCTTTTATTTTCCTTGCTAAACGTCTTTAAGTAAGTGAAGTACCCACACTGCCTGCCTCGAATAGCTTTAGCTAAATGCAGGCAGTGTGTATGTTTAATGTCTTTCTTTGCTTTTTCATAAAATTGTTGTTCTTGTTGTTGTTATAGCACATCGTTTTTTCGCACTGATTAATACTGGGGGGGGTCTCTTACCGTCATCTGAATATGACACGTGTAAATAAAGCAAAAAACGTAAACAAGATTCGAAAAATAAAGGGGTAGTGGTTAGGAGAGTTTGGATTATTCTTCACTGTATACTCCTTTAAGGCCCAAGAGTGATCAGCGTAAAATTTCTCCTTGTAATATCACTGCATAATAAAACACACTGGTCATGAGAATTGAGGACATGATAACACAAGATGAATCTAATTGATACTTCAACAAATTCGCCCCACACTACTTCTATTAAAATAATAGGGATAACAAATGAGACTGAATTTTGATATTAGGGTTTAAAGGGAACTGTAAAACTGAAAATAAACGCCACTCCCTAACCTTCTTCCATATGTTTTACTACATCAATGTATTTCATTCCTAGTGTTGCTTGATCCACTCCAAGATAATGCCAGTAGTTTATAAGCTCTGAAAAACGTCCCCTGATTAATAAGAATAACAGGAGAATTTTTCAATACGCTTTTTGCAATAAGTTTTTCATGTTTACTTACTTTATGCACATGTTTGTTCTATTACAACCACTAATGTGAATTTTTTAACACCGCGGTACCATCTCCAAAAATCTTGTAATACTCTCACTGTAGACAATTCCTGACCAGGTTTACGGATCTATTGTACGGCTGTCATAATAATTAGGGACCAAAACAATTAAGGGTTTGATATGAAAATAGGACAAAACCAGAAAATCACAACTAGTTGTGTGGCAGAAATTATTTTCCCACTGAAGCAGAAGGCATTCATTCCTACCTTTCAAATATCAATTTAAAAACATCAGCATTCAAAAGACATTCTTTCAGCTTTTCCTCCTTGCAAGCCTTTTTCAAACTCCACAGTAACTCATCTGTTACTCTCCAGGTTACATGGGAAACGCTGAAATGAAACAAAATACACCAGCGTTGAGGAAGCGATGCTCATTTTAAACAAAAAAACATGGGAATGCAGGAGGTTTACTGGTAAATACGCTCCTCTTTTGGACAAAAACACTTCTGAGTTTTGTGATCATTTTTTTGAGCAACAGCCTAATTAATAACAATACCAAGTGTGCTAATTTTCTCTCACATTTGAAGGCTACAATTTATTCCAAATATAGAACAAGTTTATAACGTAACGAAAATGTATTCAATACCTTAATTTCATCTCAAAAAACTTCATAAAAGCTTCTTCAACCTCCTTGTTTTCTTGCATGTCCTCATGAAGTAAAATGGTTTGATTTACTGCAAGTCTCACCTGCAGAAAAGAGCAAATGACATTATAGGCACATGGACTATACTGGGGTACAAGCTGAGTGACATGGAAAGTGGTGGAGAATCTGGTTACTGTCACTTGATTGAGCAGGGGTATCATCATGGAGAAATACGTGGCTTGCCAGTTTAACATAGGCAGGGTTCGTACAGATTTTTGGATCTGAAATTCAAGACTTTTTCCAGACTTTTTCCAAAATAATAATTTCTTTTTCCAGACTCAAGGTTATCAGATAGGTGATCAAAAAATGAAGGAACAAAGCTTTTTCCATGATGCGCTGCAAACGTGCAGGCGAGATTGAATAAGATTTGACCAGCACAAAAAAAAATTCACTTGTAAAGCACTTATTGTAACTTTCAAAAAAAAAAACCAAGACTTTGTACCCCTTTCAAGACTTTATCTCTACTTTACAAACTTGGAAAACTGCTGGGGAAATTTGAAGACTTTTTCAAGATTTGAAGACTCTGTACGAACCCTGCTACAGATTTTAAAAGAGTCAGCTCTGTTTTACTGACCTGTTCATTTGCAAACGACACCAGCCCCATCCTTGTCACAGTTATGCCACTGTGTTGCAAAGCACTGAACAGCATTAGCCACTCATACCAGGCAACAGGAACAAGGTTAAGTAGCTCAGATTCACTGATACCATTGCGAGCCGTCATAATATGAAGGAAAATCTGCACAATGCAACAGAGGAAAATTATGACCAATCATTGTATTAAGGACACTTTAAACAATGCTATAAATTTAACTCTCGGATGCTTAAGGAAACTCAAAAGCACCCTGTGGTAAAAGCAATGGGGAAGGAAAGTGCAGTTCCTTTTACTTCCTCTAATTTCAATATGAGTTAGAGTAGACGTATTGCCAAACCTCCACTAACAGCTACCTCCAAACAAAGGCAACATTGGCCATGAAAGTTGTCTTGGCCATCAGCTCTTACATTAAGTGTCACAGATACCTCTAAATCAGAGCCACCTTTTCTCAGAGGACACAGCCAGCATTTCATTCCCCCAAACAGGAAAGTGCGCTATTAAAGCCGACCTATTTCAATTTTCATTTCTTTTAGTAGTTATAGGGGATCATAATACAACAGACAGTAACCAGTGGGCACTTAATGTCGTCGAGATGGTGGTTTGGATATCAGATCTTATTTAGCATAACAGTTTGCGAACTTTAGCTTAAAGCTTTTACAAAAATTACTATATATTTGAAAAGCTTTATCAAACACGCCACTCAGTGTTTCTTCTGACATTCACACACCTTAAGTCGGTCTTGAAAGACTTGGCTACTTCTTGTGGTTTGGATATCACTTGAAATATTGCGTGCCCAGTTTGACATAATTATCACATCACATACCTTTTTCATTATTCTCTCAGATAAAACAGGACTAAACTTTGTCGTAATTTGGCACAGAATGTGACAGAGCAGATCAAGAGCATTCTGTGAAACAAAAAAGAAGCAATCATTGTGATGTTTGCTTAGTTACAGAGTATACACAAAAATAAATAAATCAAGCAGCTCATCCAGAAGCTTTCCTTTTCCTGTAGTGGGCCTATGATTGAAACCTATCATTTTGTTGACAGTTTTTTTTTTTTGATTCGTTACTTACTTTTTTGGACAAACTGACTTCAAAGCAGTCCATGAAAGCTTTTCTATCTTTACATCTGAAAAAAGCAAAACACAAAATGAAATCATCTGGGTACTATTAAAATGCAAATTAAATAAATTGCAAAAATCCTGTTGAATGACTCATATAATTATGTTACTGAGCAAAAATAAAAGACAACTTACGCTGCCAACTGAGCGGATAGTAAACAAATAAATCTTGGATTATATCTGCCTTCAGATGAAGTCTTTTCAAGCATATTATTAACCTGTGAATGTAAAGTTAGGGAACAGGTCAGTTACTCAATATTGCCATGACCAGCTGTCTCTACTTTTATAACAGTTAAATATAGTAGAACCTCCGTGTGCTACTACCTCTTGTAAGAGGCCACCTCCCATAAGCAGGGTTTATTCTAGAAATTGGCCAATGAGGGTCAAACACAGGCAGCCCAAACTCACGTTACGAGGGAAGGGTGTAATGTAATTTACATACCATAGGTGACGCGCCGGTGTCGCGTTACAGGCGACCGTTGAAAATATAAGAGTCTTTGTATGAGAAATACATTACGGAGATATGCGAACGCTAAATAACGCTAAACCTTACTTTTTCTTTAATGAAATGAATAAAAAAGACTTACCTGCAATGTATTCCACTGCATTTTGGTGTTTGATTGTCGTTTACTGGTACAAAGACTCTTATAGAATCACGGATGTAAAGGTTAATTAACGATAAAGAAACAAAGGTATTTCAGTTAATTTCTGATTACAAAGCTGGCTATTTGACATACCTGTTCTTGGGAAATTCTCTGGCCATTTTGACTAAGACAGGCAAGCAACAAGTCTGAACTTCCTTTTAAATCCAAAGGACAAAGTTCCAATGAAGACCAGGGCCTGAGGAGAAATATTCAAATACTGTAAAATCCCATGATAAAGCCCTGAGCTTACATAACTTCATAAGGGGTTTTGGGTGGGCTTATATCCAGGGGGCATATAAGCGAAATTTAAAAAAAATGTTTCGGAACAACAAGATAAAACATATCTGAGAAACGAATTAAAGCAACCATTACAGTTAGAGCTACATTTATAATATATTTATTGTGTGTAACAATAAACGGAGACTGTATTTCAAAAACATCTATAAAACACTTGTGCGACTGGAACAACTGGAACGGAGCAGAACGAAAGTAAAAAACCTACAAGCGTTAGCTTGCTGTTTCCTCTGTTATCCCAAAACATTGGAGTTAAACAGTTGTGTTGGAAATGAACAGTGGAACAGAACTCTTAGAGTTGTTATATATACATGAATATTTGTTTCTTCTTTTGGTATGAACATAATTATTGTAGTATTCTGCTTGCAGAATTTTATACCATATGTCTACATCATAATTATTGTTCCACAGTGACTTGTTTATGTCTAAAGAAACCCAAAAAAGAACTTACTTATACATTAGATGAGCTTATAAACAGGGGGGGGGGGCTTATATCCGAATAAATATAGCAAAAATGGATGAGCTTATATCCGGGGGGGCTTAAAACCGGGGGGCTTTAACGTGGGATTTTACGGTAGTATTTTTTTTTATTGCTTTGACTCTGCTATGATCCTAAATGATGGAAGGAAAATGGTGTTGGTGTGGATTTGGGATGAGGGGGAGGGGGTAGCAGCGAGACCTGGAACCGAGTTTAAATGATTACCCCTGTTAACAAATTAGCTTAGGTTAGACTAAGTTCCCTCAAAAAAGGGCATTAATTTTTGAAAGAGCGTAAGTTCTAAATCTAACATTTGAAATTTTGTTATTATGTCTCAAACACTACGATAGGAAATTATCCATCCAAAAAACAATAAAAATTCAAACAATAATAATTCAAACAAAGTTAAGGTAAGGGCTACAAGCTATTTGTTTAGACTTCTTCCTTGGCGCAGGGTCCTGTCAAGATGCACAGAGAGAACATTGTTACTGGGTGCATTTGTCAAATTTATTACCTCCAGGCCATTGGACAGGTGCTTTCCGTAACTGATAAGATAACTCTTGCGCCAACAGGCAGAGGGTCTAATAACCACTGCATATGGCTAGGAGCTCCTTGTAGTCTGTCTGCAGAGTCAATCACTAGTGTGACTCCGCCATGAAGCTTTGATGCGGCTCTTTCCAGCCAACGTGGAAACTCCTCTTCTAACTGAACAGGGTCACATGTTACTACGCGGGACGATCCCAACTGCTTCAGTAACTAACAAAACACATTAGGAATAATGAGTATGATAGCAGCCTAGTTATAAGGGGTTAGACAACATCAATGGAGACCTGTAGCAATATGGGTTTTTCAAGTGACACAGCAAACTGAAAACAAAAGGGAGTCACATGACCTTGTCCTACTTGTCACATTTGCAGTATGCAGTTTGGGTTTGAACCTCTGGATCCTCTTTTTGCGATAAGTGATTGAGTCAACTAGTTACGTGCATGTGTCAGTTTTTTTTGTTAAAAAATTTTTTTCCAGATTAAATACAATGTAGAAATTTTTAAGGAATCTGACTCATTTGAATTTAGATGTGTACCAGGAATGGAAAATCCACCATGGTGCCTATGAATAAAGGATACAGTACTTTTAATTAACAGTCCAGAAAATTGCATAAAATGTTTGTACAAGAAAGACACCAGTCTGGTAGCAGCAGCCATTATTCTGTTCTGCGGGAAAAACTACCGATTGAGTTACCCTCGTAACTGAAATTGTAGGGGTTACAGTAACTTTTGAAACAGTTACAGTCAACAGAGGATTGAAACTTTCCCACTCTTTCCTAAAAGAAGTGTGAATTCTTTTCCGTGTCCTCCTTGAGTTAACTAATTAATGAAGGACCAAAGAGACAACACCAGTGGCTTAACATCACTGCCCAATGAGCAGCATCATTTATGATTTGTATTACCTGAATCGTAAATCTTCTCAGCATTAAAACTGGATTAGCACTAGAAGATGACATTGACCCCACAAAATGATAAAGAATTAATCTGCCCGACAAACTGCTTTGCTGCAAGGCTATCCTGAAAAAGAAAGGATGAAGGAGCTTGTGACACTCAAATTTCAGTTAACAAGAGGACAAGATCAGGGAGAGACAGTGTTGTGGTGATAGTTGCCATAGAGAAAAATATAATCTAAACCTCTAAAGCCCTATTAAATGTAAACGGTCTCAAATTATTCTCAAAATCAAGAGTTGTTGCTGAAAATTTTTGACACTCCCTCTCCACGTTGTTGTGAAATGTGACATCAGATGTTGAGGAGAATTTAAAGTGCATTCACATTGTCTCCATGACACCTAAAAATTTATCTTGTTCTCCAAAATGTTGAGGCTATTTGACATGCTTTATCATTTTTGTGAAAAATAACCATTAGTGCAGCTTAATTCCCAGAAATTGACCCAGAAATTTGGACAGCATTTGAATCCAGAAATAATCCTTACAAACTCCTCCTTTATGAGTTATGGGATTCAGTAGCTTTGAATGGCAGACTTCCCAGGTTTGGGCAAAATTTTACATCATTTTGTTTGTTTCTTGACATATCAGATTCCAGTAGAATTTTGGATGGCTGTTTATCAACATGAGTTAGGCCAAGGAATGTTCTTGATAATGCTCAGTCTGACTGGGACTAACCACTTTCAAAACCCTTTTAACTACCTACCATTTAGCCAGAAGAAGTGACTTTCCAAATCCAGCATCTCCTTTGACAAGCATTGGACCTTTCAGCCCAGCACTTGACACATGCTCATTCAGGTCACTGTAAAACTGATTATGACACATAAGAAATTTTAAATAATATTCACACATTGAATACACCTGACTCCAAACACAATACCTCAGCCTAAAACCCCTTCAATAGATTGCCAATCCCCCCCACACACACACACACACGCTTATAAGCATTTGCATGTACCGGTAAGCATAAAGTCCATGAACCAATTATTGAAAGGTCATTATCTATCAATATTCTGTCACCAAATCAATAATCCTGTCACCTTAGGTTCCACTCCATGTAAATGAAAAGGAGGGATTAACACCTAATTGTGAGTAATGTTTAAACTGAATTATTCGTTTGCAAATAGAATTTTATAGGACAATTGAACCATTATTTTGTGTAGATATTTTACCCATTGCACACAGAAAGATTGGGAGCTTGGTATCAGGGATTTTGAAATTTGAATCCATGACAACGTGCACAAATGATTTCATCTTCATGGATCTTCACATAATGCCCGTCATGTTTGTGATTTCATGGACACAGAAAACTTTTCATTGACCTGCCGTCTCCCCAAGTTCTGTCTATTTCCTGTACTTTGGTGATACTACCCTCAACTTTGCAGGCAATTGCAAGTTTGTATTGATATTTTGACTTGACATTCTGACTTTAATAAACCAGGTATGAATTTTCACATAGCCATTTTACTTCATCATGTGTTTTGTATTGCCTTAACAAACAGGGCACAGCACGTTTTCATTTTGGCTAGGTTTGTTCTCTTGCAATTCTGCTGGGAAAATTGAATCATTAATTAATTCTAATCAGTGATCTTACTTTACTACAGTATGTGGCATTCAAACTTGAAGTAAGTTATCACCCTCTTACAATGCAAGAGTCTAGTCTAGCTAGGTGAGATTCTCTCCACGAGTCTAATCACAACTGTGTGAGAAAAGGCAAAAACCTTTTATGAAGTTAAATTTATTTAACACAGTTAACAACGAAGAGTACAGGCGTGGTCAGTGGTCAGTGGTCAGTGGTTTGGCTCAAGCGTGGACAGCCTTGCTTGCATCACCTCCATGCGCTCAGTGCAACGTTTTCCTGGTAGCCATTCTCTTTGTTTAGGCTGAGGATCATTCTTTTACCCCATCCCCCCCCCCAGGGTTTGCAAATTTTATTGATAAGTGGAGTCACTGTGCTTCTGCTTCTCAAATTTTGGAGTCAATTTTGGCGTAAAATACGGCACATTTGGAGTATTTGCGAACCCTGCCCCCCCTTTATTTTTCCACTAATAAATCAGTGTGATGGGTGCCTGGTTCCACTGGCGTGGGGGTTCATGGCTGGAGGGCGTGGGTTTGCCAGCCATAGAGATGTAAGACTGTCTAGGGGCTGGCTGCACCAAACGTGGAAGCCCCCGGATATCCTGGGCACCCACCTCCACAAAACGAGTAAGTGAGGTAGTTGTTAATAATTATCAAAACTGTTCTGACGTGATGTGTGACTGAACATGCAGATGTCTTCTTACCTTACTAAGTCCAATTTCACAGGAGCATTCTGCCGCTGCTTTTAGTGCTTCAACTTGTTCCCATTCATCTGTGGAATCCCGAAGTGACCCATAAGAGAGTGAATAATCACATTGTGTGGGCTGATCATCTGCCAATCCAAGCTCCTGGGGATGAATACAATGAAAATCAACACACTGCTCAGGGAACAAAGAAACTAAAGTTTTTGGCTTGCCCTTTGAGAACTGCGCAGTTGACCCATGGAAACATTACCCTCAGCAACCTAAATCTAAAGCTAACTTTAACCGAAGAGAAGAGAGTTTCTGCCTCGTAAAAATAAAATTTGAAGTATAACAAGTATGTAAATCAGCTCTGATCAGAGGGACTTACCTTATTTATGAATTTCTTTAACTCTTGATAAGCAAACATTGCTCCCTTCTCTGAAGTTTCATAGTTGTCCAGCAACTGCAACAAGTGACAAAAATTCCCACAAGCATGATGAGTCCAAATTTTATTTCAATGTCTATCAAGAGACTCTTCCAAAGTTTTTTTTTCAACTTTTGATTGGGACCAAAAAGCAAAATCTGTCACCACACCTAAAAAGACACCTTAAAATTATTTAGTTAAGATCTCAATTTTGAATGAGATTTGCTGAAGTCACCAAATATTACAGATGTTTGAAAGTTGGGGGGGAAGCAGCTCAGGTTTGTGCCCCCCATCATACAAACGTTTGTAAAATTATTTTGACTTTGGTGCAATATCTTTGATCAATTTGTATGTATCACTTTTAAACATATATAGCAGTGGTTAGCTCAAAAGCTAAGCTCCTCTGACCACTGTACACTTCTATCCAAGCAATTAATTTCCTTTTTTCCTTCTTCTTCTTCTTCTTCATTAGTGTATTCCTACCTTACTATATATAATGTAAATATTTCATGAAGTGTGAATAAAATTGAATTGAATTGAATTGAATTAAACTTGGTAGCTTTGCTAACTTAAAGGTGCTCTTTCCAGCAGTGGTATTAATGGATATTGGCTAACTGGTCTTTACCAACACTTGAAAATAAAAACATGGAAAAACCAGAACTAGATATTTCTCCAGACTTACAAGGGTCAAAGCTTAACTTTCCATTTTGGTCAAGATAAAAGAACAAAATTAACTATTTTGTTCTAAAAAATAATAGATCTTATATTGTGCATTACACTCATTATTGTTTGTTAAACATCATTAAATTACAGTGATTTTTCTAATATGAGACCTAGAAAACAGAGGTTAAATTAGCCTTGAAAAATCACAAATAGCATCATTTTTTTTCTAACATTATGGTCTTAATTTTAATTGCATAATCTGCTCTGAAAATGAAGTATAATATTAACTTATATTTCAGTCTGTTTTTTGTCACAGCCTTTATAATAGCCATCAGGCATGGGGAAGCTTGGAACCATAATCAAAAAAGATACCTTTATGTTATCTGCCTTTCTGATTTCTGTTTTTAACTTTTCAGCCAGAAAAATATTTTCATCTTTCAGAGATGGGTACCTGATAAAACAAAGGTTAAACGATAATTAAATGTTGGTTTTTACTTCCTCACATGCAAAGAAAACTACTTGCCACACTGCACTACAGTACTAGCCACAATGCTGCCAAGTCTCAATTTACACTAGCTGCATCCCAGATGATTGTAATCTAACCCTGTTACTAACATCAGAGGCAGCACCAAGGTAATAATTGTTCTGACCCCAGTTGTTCAAAAGATGGATAGCACTACCCACCAGATAAATCACTATGCAACCGATAAGTGTTAGGGAAACCAATTGCACTATCCAGTGGGTAGTGTTTTCTCCGGTGGATAGCATTATCCACCTATTGAACAACTGGGGCCTGGGTCCCATCAGACTCTGGATTACTGGTCAGGAAGTGTTTTAAATTTTCCTTCTTCTGCCTGATTGGCAAATTGACAATAGCGTTTTTAACAGGCCAATAATGGCACATACTCAAATCCTGGTACAAAGGTGGGGGCTCAGAATATGGATTTCAGCGCTGGCCCACAGATTAACTTAACCAGAGATTTAGTTTCATCTGTGACCCAGGCTAATTTTACACCAGCCTGCTGCAAAAGTGACAAGGTCAAGGTGGCAAAAATATTTTGATCTGCAAGGCAGCTCACAAAACCCTCCTCAGGTTGGTTCAAAATAGTGGAAGTGGCACTTTTAAATGGCTCTAACAAAATACCAGACTGAGTTGTAAAATGACTTTAAAGAAATCATTTAGAATGGTACTGTTCGTTGCAAAAAGATTTTTTATCGTACCAGTATTTGTGATGGTTTTATGCCTGAGAATTAATACTCAGGTATAAAAGTGGCAGCAAAAGGATAAACTGTTAATATAGATTTAGCCCAGGCTATGTAAAAACGAAGGTCTCATTATTTACTTCTCCAATCAAAAATAAAGTTGTAACCATTGCAAAGAAGTCAACTTGGAGTTGAGCCTGCAATCACTTGAAAACTAGTAACTTGTCAGTGGATAACTTCAAAAAACACGTAACCTTGATGGATTGACACCTGAGCACACAATATGGTCATGTGACACTGGTCAGCGAATACTCTGTTTTGACAGCCATCAATTGACCACAACATGGATGTGCAACACAGGTTGCAGCCTCCCACACTAGCAAGGAAGTGTGGGATTTTACACTGGTTGCCCTGTGGTGCAGATGAACCGATGGCGAACAAATGGATATACAGTCATGTGACGACAAAAATGTCTTGGATGGAGAGGTAACCAGCTTTTCTTAGCTATGGGGCTCTGCTCGCATGCACTTTGCATGCGCTTGGAGCTCTGCTATAACAACTAAACCCTGAAAGTAAGCTGTTGCTTGCAGATGTTAAACCTGATTTGGAATTCTAAACTTTCGTCACTATCACATCTAACACCCCCCTCCCTCTACCCCCCAACACCCCTGGGGCCGTTTTATTTGTAAATAAGACAATTGTAGTAACAATACCCTTTCCAATCCAGGTTCTTGAAGCAGAAAATGGCATGACATCTTCCTGGGCAGCTTACACGAGCTTGGTTGTACTCTTCACCAGTAAACCTAACAATAATGGTGCAAAAACATTACAATATTATTATATTGTATATTTAGCAGCAATCTACAAGCACACACAGTTACAGCTAAAGAGAATTAAGAATGAGGAAAGAAACTTTGTTCAGCAAAAACTTATTCTTCATAACTACAACATAGCTACAGATATCAGTACAATTAACATCATCAATAAAAAAACGCTGCAATATAATTTTCCTGCTATATTATATGGGCTTCATTTTTGCTACACTGGATTAAAGTTGCACTTTATGGGTTTGCCATGATGCCAGAATGCTTTTACAACATAATTGTTAGCTACTGGACTGGGTTTGGTTAGACTAGCTACGGTACACATCATGAGAGACTTTTTGCTAACAATCAAAAAAATTGTAAAAAGGGCACTTCTTCAAGCTTATCTCTCTCATCCTTTGAACAATCATTAAATAAGAAAAAGTAGTAAAAGATGGCAATTCAAACCTGTTTGATTTTCCACCCAAGAAGGCAACAAAGACCTTGCTGTTTTTTATTTGATCACATCTCAGCTGAACTCTTGCCGCTAACTCCTAAAAAAAAAATATAATAAAAAGTAGTTATTACCAATAATAACTGCAGTTGGACTAATTTTTCACATCCAGTGTTTATAAACTTTTCCAACCAAAATATCAGGGACTTTGCACTCAATGTTGTGAATTGTGCGAGAAGTGGCAATTTATTATTTCAGCCATGCACAATTCAAAGCTTATCTTCCATCGGCTCCTAACATAGTAAGTTGAAAAGTACAGTTTGAATGTGATACTGTAAAACATAAACAATGAGAAATCAACCAAGTCAGTGTACATTGTGCATTGGTTACAGAGTCTTGCAGTCTTGACATTGCATCAGCATATATTTTTAAATTAAAGAAACCTAAATGTAAGATACATCATTTCGTACTATTACGGTTGGAATAATTCTAAAATCAATCATCCCCACACTGTACATGATGTACACCTGCATTCAGCTAGCACATGTCTTTTTTTTCTGTTATCAAAAGGTGATTGCTCATGCCTCAGACTAATAAATGAACCTTCCTTCATACACTCTACCTCATCATTTAATTCATCAACTGGATCCTCCAAATGTACCACAACCAGGAACTTCTCCTGTCGTTCACAAAGCCACTCAAGCTTGGGAATGTACAGCTGGGACAGAAATTAATAACATCACATAAATTCAGACAAAAAGTTACTAAAATTTTTAAGTTAAATTTAGGTGGAACAACTGTACTTGGGCATAGTGAGCCAGATAAATAATATTATGTGAAAAAAAATGAAGTAACCTTCATTAGGTTTCAAGTGAGGACTGGGGCACGATTCAAAATTAAAAATGGCATAATATTTATTGAATTATTTGCATGGAAGGTGGAAGACAACAACATAATGTGAACTTGGTCTCAGATGGAAGGAAGGGCAGGTGGGTGATGGAACAAGATTTTTATTAGAATTTTTGGGTCAACTTTTTACACCTGCCAACTTTTTTTAATTTATAGGTGTGACATTTTCATCCTGAGAGTGCCAGGATTTTTTTGCAGGGGTCCAATAATACCTGAAGACGTCCGAAGATGAAGACATTCACACACATTCATCAAACTAGTGATGTCTCAAGGTTAACCTTGCCTAAATTGCAATTTAGCCACATTTACATTTCAGGTTAATGTTCAAAACTTAGAAGCCACTTTATCCAGAGGATTCGGTGATTCATATAGGAGAACATGAGATGTGCTCTGGATAATCCAAACAAGTGGGTATCAGGGCGCATCCAGAAAATTCAGAAAGAGGTGACCGGGAAACTTGCCAACTAAGTAGATACCACTTATTTTACTAAGAATTCTTTCAAAAACAAAATAACACAGAAAAAGGGGTGACCTCAATCCCCTTGGCTAAGCCCTAAATCCACCCATGGCTATTCCCTAAGGTGTGAGTGTGCCTCATGGGTGGACATTTACCTGCTTTAAGAGATCTACTTCCTGTCGCATCCCGTCAGGTGCAGATAGATACACCCGAATAGTTTGCTGTTGTACTGGGGCTTGCAGGCTTGAGGACACCTGTTGAAGTACTGATGGCGCTACAGCATTCCAGTCATCTGTTAAATAACATCAACAGTATTAATACGGTCGACCTCTATTAAGTGGCCCTCTATTAAGCGGTCACCCTCTATTAAGCTGTCAACTATCAATTTCCCGAAATTTGCTTCCCATAATAACTGTAAATTTAACCTCTATTCAACAGTCACCTCTTATAAGCAGACGCAGACATCATTTGGATTTCTCAAATGGCTAATTTAATTGCAATTCACCTCTGTTAAACGGTCACCTTGTAACATAACAATCAATAAATTGCATATTTTTTGAAAAGATAATGAGACAAAGCATGTCCAGTTTCTCTTACAGCTCATCAAACCCAATCTGGATCTCTGTGGTGAGTCTACAGGAGCACATGTTGAAGTCCTCTTTTATGTCCCGAGTTTCCGTTGCAGCCAACAATAAGAAAAGCCGTCACCTTCAAACAGTACTGATGTTCATGCACAAGGAGCCACAAGGCTAAAGACACCACCATTGATTACTCTTTGCTGTTCGACTTTTACCTTCCCCTGTTCATAGGCCTCGGCCCCGCTTTGAATGATATAATAATATTGCTGATGATGTGCTTGATTGTAAAGAATTCCTCTTACGAACAAAATTACCGAAAAAGTTGTTGTTTAGGCTTGAACTCCTCAGAACTTCCAAATACTTTTATCATATTTTGCCTTACTGTCAATTTTGCCCTCTAGTTTAATTTCTGTCACATCATGGGCTTATTTTTAGAAAACCTCTTTTAAGCAGTCACCTGGCCAGTTCCCATGGGTGACCTCTTAATAGAGGTTTGACTGTATTACCAACTAGTAAATATTATGTTACATTCAAACATTTCCAAACTCAAGGTAATTTTGTTTAACGGGCCAAATATTTTGCTCAGTACCACTCAAATTTCATCAGTTACCTAAACATTCAATGGACAGTAGAGCGAATTTAAGACTATAAAATCAAAGATAGGAAAGTTGTGTGTTTTGGCTTTCACACAACTTCATCTTTGATTTTGAGGGGATGTTCCATTTTTATTCTATCCAAGATTGATGTTTCTACAATAAAAATTTAGCGAGCCAACAGGCATAAATTTTCATTGCTTATTGTAAGAGCGCTAGCTCTCTACAAACCTTCTAAAGATACAGACAACTTTAAAATACAAATTGATTTGACTGCATACAGCTTAATTCTACTACATGTATTAAAAGAAATCAATCGTCAGATAGGAACTATTGTCAGTAATAATGTTACATGTACAAAATAATGTAACAATAACAACGCAATAATGACTCTGTATCTTTTTAGACACCAGTCATTGTCACAACTTGTTCTTTTAGTTAGTTAGGTTCTAAGTTTGTTTATTTCCCCATTTTTTTCTCACATATTCCGTTACATTTATATATAGTATAATTTTATATATCTGACTGGATTTGCTAAACCATGGTTCTACAAATTTCTCTCACCTTTACCGAGTCTTGCAGTTGAGCATGTTTTTTTTATTATTGTTATTTTATTCTTCTTCTTACCGAATATTTACTGAATACCCTGCATAGCGCAGTAGATATCCTATCATGAGCTTCTCACTGACCATTAACCTAACCCCAATCCCCCCCCCCAAAAAACACTTTTCATAACTTCCCACAATTCTCTCTGTGTTTCAATTTGAAATCACACATTGGCAATTCCCGATTCGCGAAGTCTGCTGTGTCCAAAATCTTTTTGTATCATTTTTGTCTCATTTGGTTACACAAGTGAAAGACTGAACCCACGCTTGAGACGGAAAGATTGGATATTGTGAGCTTCGTTACTGGCAGTAAAAAGTTTTTGGTCTCAGAAAGTATGTTCTAGAGGTCAAATCTATCCAGTGAGACCGAAATTGACGCTGATTTCTGACCAAACCAAAGACTTTGTTAAGAATTGTTTGGAAAGCAGGGGCTCCATGTCTCCTTTTCAAAACCGCTGGTTTACATCTGAGATCTTGAATTAATTGACTGTGTGAGAAAAGTTTCCATGTGACGATTTACAGGAGAAAGCGAGAGTTTTTCCAAGTAATTTGACGATGTTTCGCCCATGTTAAATTAGCCTGTGAGCAAGCTCTCTGGGGTGCTTTGGAATTTGAATTCCACCTCTAATTCTCCTGGGGCTCCGCGTCGACTGAGCTGTCAGATTTCTGCCAATCAGCACAAAGGAGAAATGAGCGTGAATGTAAACAAACATTGAAAAACATGTGCCAAGCTAGGGTAATGATATCATTAGTAATGTCATCTCCGTCAATCAGCATTTCGCACCAACTTTTTCGATGCAGATATTCAAATTCCAGAGACACAGTTGCAAGCTCTACTTCCTTTTCTCGCCCTGCCACCAGATCGCCCCAGAGAGCTTACTCGCAGGCTAGTGTTAAATGTGAAAATAATATGAGTGGTTTTTGGAAGTGTTGTCATGCCGTGAAAGTGATTTACACGTATTGTGTGATTTATCAAAGGTATATTGACAGACAAACTCAGGTATGTGGTTGAGCTTGTATTACAAGAATACTTTGTGCCAAGCATAACAACACTTTGTGAGTGTTTAGTTTAGGTGATTTTGTCTAAGAAAGCCTATTCAGTGCTCAAAGATTGTGGATCCTTAATCTGTGTTTGGCAGACACTTAGCTATGGGCCTCGTGATTTGACTGACTAAAAGGTTATAATTTCTGGACGTTTCGAATGTTGTTTACATGTATTTCATGGCAAAATCCTGTTACTTTGCAAGAAAAGTTTACCATCTGTCGCCAGCAATAAAGTTGTCATTGTCAAGCCTCAGCAAGTGAGTTTTAACTGCTTTCCATTCAACTTAAATGTTAAATTGTTAAAATGCAGTTGAAATTTCTTTAACCATGTTTTAGCAAATCCAGACAGATATATAAATAATATTATTACAAATTTAGCCAAGTTTATACCTCTGCTGATATTTGTGAAGGGACCTTCTCTCTCCATCGGACTTTGGAAGAACTCAGGTCCTCGAAATGATGTCACCTGTGTTAAACTATCAACACTTGGATCACTTTCTAAAGATGATGTAAACCAGTCTGTGGCCAAGTTGTCAACAACTTCCAACCTCTGTTCATCATGCGAGGTCATTGACAAGTAACGCTGGATTTGCATTTCAAGTTCCCGCTTTGCTAACAGTACGTCCTGTATCTCACGCTCTTTGGATTCTCTAAATAGCTTGAACTGCCTCTGAACTTTGTCCCGCTCTATGAAAAAAATATCTCAGCTATTAATTATTATTAACTGATAATAATAACAATTATTATTAGTAGTAGTAGTAGTATTCAGTAGTTTGAAAGCACCTGAAAATGCATGCACAAATTAAAGTTCAAATAAAATAAAAGACAAAGATGTGACATTACTTGAGCATGCTGACTTTGTGCTAAAAAATTAGATTAATTAATATTATTCATTCAAAATATTTCTCCTTGCTCAGGCTCAAAACCCATGGCCAATTCTTCATAACCAGCTAGCATTGACCAAGTTCAGAAGATGTTTGCAATATCCAGAAAACAATGTCAATAGTACGGGCAATAATTGCCAGAAAAAGGGAAGGTGATTGAGAAGTCCTGGCGATGAGGTGGAGTTGTTTTGGTAGGACAGTAGAAAAAGGTGGAACAATTCGCATGTTTTGTGAAGAAGAAATAGCTCGTTTACTGTCTAAAAACATGGAAAGGACAGACAGAATACATTTTTACAGATGCCATCTGCTATTTAAAACAAATCTGCTAGACTTATCATCCCTTTTTGTCCTGAACTTACCAAGAAACAGGCAAATAGAGATAGGAAAGTAACATTGATTGCGGTAAGCAAGAGCAAACAACAACTGAAGTAACTTTATTAAAGGCAAAAGAAATTAAGAAAAGTTTTTGGGAGCACTTTGGGCTTCTAAAAAAAAAAAGTTAGGAGCCCATTGATCAATAAACTTAAATAATAATCAGATGCTCAAAACTTGATTCATCCAAGTTGCGAATTTACAAAAAAGGCTTGTTTGTTTACTTTTTTCAGTGGAAATTTTTTGCCTATGGTCAACGAACACACATTTTATGTTTTCGTTTCAAAAGTGCAAAATGAGCTGGGAATTCTGTCACTCCTTCATTAGAGGTGGGCATAGATCAGGCTATTGCTATAAGAATCATAAGTTTGAGGTGCCCGTGCAGGCTTCCTGTTTTGAATTTTAGTCACCCGTGAGCAAATCGTAGGAAGCCCTGGTGACTGAGTGCCCATTAGGCTGGCAGCAACCTTGCACACCATACTTACATTGAGTGCATTAATAATTTTAAGCAGTTCAGGGATGCTACGTACTATTACATTTCATCCAAAAAACATTTGCCACTGAGTTATATAAATATTTTGATTAATGATAAAACAGTTATTGGATTTGGCTTTCGTATGATCTGACGAATTACGCAGATGTCAGAGGGTGTTATCCGCCTCGGCCAATTACACCGTCCTTGATCTCCAAAATTCTTCAGATCATACCAAGCCTTATCCAATAATGGCTAATTATTTAATACTAACTTTGGTGATCAACTCTGAACAAAATTAAGACGGAACTCATCAGGAAAGTGAGTAATTTTAACTTTCAGTGGACAAAAACCTCATACCAGAATAATTTAAACAATATCCCATTCTACTTTACATTTTTCTCAAGGGCTATAGATGTAATTAGTTATCAGTGTAATAACACCAAAGAAAAATTCTTATGAGAGCCCTACAAAATAAATGTCAAATTTCACAAAATGACATCTTACACATGAAATTTTCAGAATCTCACATAAAATACTTTCATAATTCTAGCAAAATTTGACATTTATTTCCCTTGGCTCCCGTGAGAAATAGTCTCTGGTGTTATTACAAATAAATAATTATACCTATAGCCCTTGAAAAATGCGATACTGTTTAAATTATACTGGTACAAGGTTTTTGTCCACTGAAAATAAAAATTACTCAATCTCCTTTATTCCGTCTTAACATACTAGAAAAAAAAAAAGTAGACAAGAATTTAAGAAATTCCAGCAATGTTAACATTTTGACATTACAAGTCCCTCACAAAACACAAGTCCAGCTCTTCTCCAAACTACGTTTTCAAGTTTTAAGGAATCATATGCAAAAATATATTAATTAACATAAAGAACGGTCTAATTTCCCTTCCAAAGTCTGCTAGGTTCATTTCATTCCCTTGGTTTGAACAGCTTAACATGCAAGCTCTTTACATGAAAATAAGGCTCCTAAAAATGAGTATCCAGTTTTTCATTTCCTTGAGGCACTTGACAAAGAAAATTCTGAGAAGCCTAGTGAAGGGGTTAGCGCTAATCTAAGGATCTCCATTTATCTGGGTGTCTATTTCAGCTTGAGATCGTGTTCTCACTGCTAATTTGATTATAACTTCAAATTAGAGGAACTTTAGAACACAATACAACTTTTTTTAAAATTTATCAGACATGTTTGGAGGGTACATTTCCATACAGCCCGGTCTTAAAACTTATGACAGCTATAATGTCAATAAAAATTATCTTAACTTTTACAACAAAGATTATGTAATAAAACTGTAAACTACCTTCCACTAGCACCAATAACAACATTATTACATAATTACAGGTAAGTAAGATCACTTGTAGCTGATAATTAAATTACATCTAATGCTGTTGATATCTTTATTTTTTAAATTTATTGACTTTAATTTACCTTACTTTGTTTATTTATTTATTCAATCATATGCACATTCACTCAATTGCAACATGTATCCCACAGCTTATCTTTCAATGAAAATTGAATTTATTTTAACTGCTTCAAATTCTGCAAAAGACAAATAAATAATAATAGACCGAAAAGCATTACAGACATCTTCATTTTCATAAACATATACATGTAGATCTAGTGGAATTTAAAGCTGGTGGTAACCCATGGCCGGTGTTACACAGGTGGTGGCTGTAAGTCTTGGTGTTATAAGTAATATAAGTTATCTATGCTTTAGACCCCCATCTTGATCATGGGATCAGGACTAGTGTAACATGAACTGGGTGGATTAATAACCAGAAGTACTCTGGTTAGGTTCCTTATTAAATTTGTATCCTTTGAGAGTATTTTCACTGCTAATTTGATTAATACTTTAAAATTAGTCAATCATAAGTGATCATAGACTGAAAAGAATCTTCTACCTCTGCTTCATAAACAAGCCATTAACATGTGAACTTGGCAGACTAATCCGAAAATAACTTAATAATCTTCTTTTGGGCCACCGACCTTGATAACATGTTGCTGAAAATAACCTGGGTCGATCGCGTGAACAGGCTAAGAACTGTTCAAGAAAATGGATAACTCCTTAAGTTATCAAATTGGTAATCTCCAAAGATTGCCAAAAGCAGATCATTCAGTTACTTTTCCTCATTCTTGATTTTGCACCATTTTCAAAATACTCAGATGACTTTTCACATGGGATCACATTAGTTTATGATAAGTTACTATGAAAAAGTTTTCATGAAAACTGTTTTTTCTGATCATGCAGTTGTTTGACACAAACCCTGATTCAACCTTTTATTTTGGACTCAGGAAACTGGCGCCGGGGCATAAAATGGTTTTCACCAATTTTCGCAGAAAAAAAACAGACCTTTCGAGGAAAAAACTACGTGACATTCTGGTATTTACTAAAGGTACCTATCTACAAAAGAGGAGCATAATTATTTAAATCTTTGACCCATGCTGCACTTTGGTTAATTTTTGCAGATTTGCTTTTAAGACTCAAAACTATTCTTTTCTTGCCCACTTCACATTTCCTATTGTCTCCCTGCTAATACATCAAGGCTTTCAAAATGTAAGCAAAAGAACTACGTACACAATTATACATAATACTACTTTATTTTTTAATTAAGCATCCAACAGCAAATTGAACAATAAAACTGAAACATAAAAACAGGAGAAAAAAATCTTAAAACTTTCTACACGTAAGTGCTTAAAGATGCTGCCTTTTGTTCATTATAAAGAGGGGACCCACGCAAGGCAATAAAATTATTACATGTAATATGTTGTTGGGGTCGAAAAATTTGTGTAAGTTTGTAAAAAATAAAAAGTGCATGAAAGTCTATAATAGCCAGAGTTTTTTTTTTTTTTAAAGTAAAAAGGTCTGTAATTTCTGTTGGGAATTTACATATGTAGCTGCTGTGCATATCATACGCAGGGTGTCAGTATGTAATAGTGAGTCAGATGTCCACAAGGCAAGACTTGTTAACTGTATGATACTGAGTAAAATTGAAATTTATTTGTAAAATTCCACAAAACAAAAGAAATCTAAAGTATGTAAACGTTTTGGCACTGTTCAAGACAACAGATTAAGCTCTGGTCCTCTCAATCTGTTGTTTTAGTGAAAGCACTTAATTGTGTCAGTTCCGCCAAAAATATGACACACAAAGTAATAAAAAAGTTAAGGTGGAATCGGATGTGAAGGAATGTTAAAAATCTTATCAAAGTTTAATTTTGTCTGGACTTGTACCAAGCTGCTATATTTGTTTGAATTAAAAAGATAAAATTGAACAGTTTGCCCGGTGAGTTTCAAATATCAAAATTAAATCTAAACTGAATCTAGACTAGCATTTGAATACAATGTTTAAAAAACCACAAGAAGTGACAAAAATCTAAATACAAGGATCAAACAACTGACACAGAAGTTTGATTCGACATGTTATGATCATTTTCTTTAATAATTTTATTCATGCATTTGGTTCGTGATGAGATTGGTAAACACTTGCTGTATAATAATCGGTTCAGCTGCATGCTTTTCTTACTTAGGTTAATGACCTCAGTAACATGGGTATGAACCACATAAACAGATAATTATTACATATAAAAAATACACGCACGAGAGCTGACAAAACTTATGAAGTCAATTTTCTCTTTCCAAAAATTAATATGTGTTAAGTAAAAATTTCTTTCAGAGCTGGGCAAAGAGGACAGTAGCAAATAATTCTCCCATGATCAAACTTTTTCACTATATTGCTTCTACAACGTATCTTTAAGATATCATTGTCATCATTTAATTCAACTGTAAAACAAGCATTCAACATTGTTATGTATGTTATGGCCAACTAATTCAAGAATTTCTGCTTTTCAGTAAAAAGTCCTCATCACTTTTGATTTTAAAAGCTTGTCACTAAGTTTTATTTATCATTACACTGAAAAAGATAAAATCAATAAAGTTAAACTTCAACAAAAACTAGAGAAAGGTGTCATGATCTTGATTTTAGCATATTTGACTGAGTGCCAAAAATTAATAATTAATTTTTGGCACAAGGATTGGAAAAAAATCACTAGCCTTGAAAACATTAACCTCTTGAAGCTCAAAATATTAATGATGACCAGCATCTCATTCTGTTGTTGCTGTTGTTGTTTCATTTTTTGTTTTGTTCAGAGGGTCACAGAATGTAAAATTTTAAAAATAGACTTCATTGCCTGAAGTTTTGAAGGCAAGATAAGTGCAAATGAGTATACAGTCCAACATCCTGTAAGCCACCTGACCCAGATTGTCCAGTGTTGTTTCCAATCTTTTTGCGGTGTTATTATTTTTTCTTAGTGGCATAAAAAGGCAGTGTATTTGGGTAGAATACTTTTCATGGGGCTCACAAACATGCACACGGTGGAATCTCTGTTCTGTATCACATGTTCGCTAGAAAGCAATGCATTCTGCATTATGTCATAAAAGTTACCTTACACTACCTTATGTTACATTGATTCGAGATTCATTCTACCTTGGAACTTCTGTGCAAGGCTTTATAAGGCTGCCACCTCACAGCCTTGCGTCTTAGCAAGGCTGCTTGTTGGCAATAATAATGCTTCCCTATGGGACAACTTGACAACTGCTTTATATCCTAAAGGGTTGCTTTACTTTCCTTGGTAACTGAACATACTTCTTCAACGTAATGAAGACCCCACCATAAGAAACAAATTTTTGTTACAGTGGGGCTCCACTGTATAAGGGAATCATTCCACCCACGCTTATTCTAAGCACAACTGAACCCAAGTTAAATGTATGTAAGGTAATTTTTACAGGTTGTAGTTCCAATAAAAGTTATGCCCTAACATGTTTGATAAAGCAGTGTGGCTGATCGTGTGGTTAGAGCATTGGACTTATAATTTGGAGGCCCTGATTGCAAGTCCCACCCTGACTGCATTGGATTTGTTCATGGTAGTCCCAAGGTCAAATCCTCGATGATGCACGTAAATAGCCCTAGCTTGTTTGCCTCCGGCCAGTTGGGATTCTTAACCCTGTTAAGTTTGGTTTAAATTATTTGTTTGAGACATTTGCTCGGCCCTACTAACATTTGTGCTATAAATAATGCCAAGGGTAAACAAAGGACATTATTATCATTATTGTAGCAAATTTACATGTAGCTTCCATTGAGTGTTGGAAGAGAAAAGATCAACATGATCCAACCGAAATTGCAGCTAATCATGGACCCGGACTTTTATTTAACAGCAATACACTTTATTTAAACAGGGCTTCTGATATTTCGCGGAAAAAAAGGGGGCAAATTCGCGTTTCGCGGGATTTTCGCGGGAAAAAAGGAACAATCGGCATTTCGATTTTAGCGGAAAAGAGTCAATTTTCGAAGGATTTTCGGGGCAAATAATTTCCTAAGAATTTCTTAGGAAAATCGGCCGATTTCACGAGAAATTTCGGGGAAACTTCGCCACGAAACAATCAACAAAAACAGCCCATTTCGCTGGGGTTTTTTGGCAAATTTCGCTATAATCGATCAATTTTGCGTCGATATGACCGGCGCTGGTGAACGTTTTTTTTTTACACGGATAATCATTTGCTCTTTCAACAACAGTTCGATCCAAAATAAGCGCCAACATTATGGTTAGTGCAGCTTTTCGCAATTCATCTAAAAACGGGTAGTTTTGGGACGTTTTTATTTTGCAGTGATGAAGTTTCAAGCTAAATTTGGACGTTTGGGGTGAATAAAACCGGTCTAATAGCCAAGATAAGTATTAAATATGTTTTGCCGACATGTATTTGGAAATTTTCTGAAACAAACAATACGAAGCCCTGTTTAAACAAACAATATGACTTCCTTGTCACAAGGATGACAGAAATGCACTGGGGGCTACCATGCACTGCTAGAACAGTGCCTCATTAACCACATTATCAGGAATCAAATTTATTGTTTTGCGGATTGTATCTATGTTTTACCAATTTTCTGGCCACACGCAATCTATCTCCCTAAACAACAGTACTAAGCCGGAAATAATACACAGTTGTAAAGGCAGCCGCTAGAAAATGAAGTTTCCCAGCGACATAATATTATTCAATATTAGAGGGAAATGATCACTATAAATTATTCTTTGCACAATTCAGTCAGGCACAAAATTGGTTCTTATTTAGTCAAAATCACGTTGTCATTAGTTAGATATTGGAATATATAAATTTCCAATGCCATTAGGAAAATTTCCTGGGGTCTTCTACAAACAAGAGTGAAAATGGGCCCATATACCATCATTTTCTGTAAGTATGGACCTGTGACAGCAAAGCATGTTCTAACAGAGTGCGAACATCACATGTTTGGCCACCAAACTTTGAAGTTTGACAGAAAACTATCACATCAAAAATTCGAAGGTTCACGAAGTTGTTAATTCATTGGGAACAGACTGCACTATTGGAGTCAATTTCCACTTTCAAATCAAAAGATTGAAATCCCCCAATGGTAGCCTCATTGAAGTAGGGATTATTGTTTACTGGCGTGCCAAGCCAAAAGGCCAAAGTCCACACAGCCTCAATCAATTTTTCCCTATTTTCAGAAATAGTTCTTACTCAGAAACATCACACTTGACTTTAAGAAGATTAGAATTTTTTGGAGCTTTTTAACTGCACAGCTTCTAGATGTTTCCAAATACTTGCATTGAATTCTCTGTTGAGTTAGCATATGTACAGGTCAGGACAGAATTTTCCAGTCGCCAAGCAGTCAGCTACTTCACACGTGAACCAGGATGAACATTCATCCACAATGCCCCTTAAAATTTCAAAAGTTTGGTCGCAGAGCATATCATGTTTGCACGCAATCAGAACATGTTTTTCTGTCACGTGTCCACATTAAAAATGGTGAAAGGCGAAAAGTGGGTGCTAACTGTCCTGTCATTTGAATATCATTTTATGACTCTGAGTAAAAAATTTGAGTCAAAAATTGCCAAAGAGGTTTTGGCAGATCAATATTAGTAAGCAGCATAAAAATAATATTATACCCATTTGGCTGTCAAAAGAGAGTAAAGGGCAACTCCTGCACGCACAGCTTGTACAGAGTATCAACAGGGCAAACCACAAGCGAGACAGAAGATAAACCAAATGCACTCATTTTCTTGACTAAGAAAACACAGACCATAACTACAACAACTAAAACACGGAGTTTTTACATGTAAAAGAGAAGATCTTCCTTGCAGTTAAAGCCATGAGGTCAAAAATTTCCCTTAACTCATTAAAAAATGTATATTCTGTAATAAGCTGAACACAAATAGTTTTTGCAAAAGGAGCTGTATCAAGAATTGCTAATTTTAGATAGACAACCCCCTGGCCACCTCATCAGAAAAATGTGAAAAACATGTTGAAGGGAGGTTTAAATAAAACAGCAGATACTAAACAAGGCACGGATAGGGAGAATTGAAAACTCTTCACCCTAACAGTTTTTCCAATTTCATCTTGGTTGTTTGTAAATCCCATTAGTTTTATAAATAATGCCTTGGAGACATATTTGTTTGTCACAAAGCTGAGATTTTGTCATTAACAAATAATCTCTTTGCTAATGTTATGCTCCATAGCAAGAAAGGGAAGGGCAGGTTATCAGCAATATTTAACAAAATGGAATGAACTACCCAGACACATCCCATTAATTTAACAGTTACAGTTTACTTAGGGTATACACATTGAGCGAAACAAGAGCAAAATTCACACATTATGCAACACATTAATCATGTCAGATGACAAATTATGTGTTGCAGTTTCTTCAAACACGAAATAATAAGAATGGTTCCAGCAAGAAAAGTCTTAAACAAGCAACAATGATCCCAGCTTGGACTCTACACTAACTTTCACCGTAGATCATGAGATCTGGAGTCTGGTATTATACTGACAAGCAAAGAAATGTAGAGTATGATAATTATAATGGGCACTATTCAGAGATCTCTCCTCTCTCTATTTACTTTTGAGTGAAACCTCATTCTCAGATGGAGACATAGACCTGTGCCTCGGAAAGTTTGATGTAGAACTGAGGTTTAAAGACCTTCCAAGAAACCAATAAATGATTGGCAAATCTTCAGCAAGGACGTAGAACCTTCCTCAATTCTACCTGACTGGATGGCGAGTCAAAAAATTTTTTTGAAAAGAGGTCGACGATGGAAAACTTTATTACGGTAGTTTTGCTAAAACTAAGCATCTGATTGCCCTGAGACTGAAAAGTGTTCTTTAATGAAGCAGTGATTGAATTAACAGTTCATTATAAGAAGATAGTTTGTTCGCACGGTAAGATGCCACAGCGGACAAGTCTTGATTTTGATTTCAATGCTTCAAGGTATCATCTTTTTAGAGGATTAAAAAGAGCTTGTACAGAACTTTCTTTAAAAAAAACTTCCCCCCAAAAATAACGTTTTCACAGAGACTTACATAAGCATGTACATGTACAGAGCAAAAAATATTTTTTTGGTTACAGTTAAGACACTGCAAAAAATCTATTGTCCCCTTTTTCCTTCAAATGGAGATAGCGGCAAGTTGAGCGTACATTTTGACCTCCAAGTCAGTGAAACATGAACCGATTTGGCTGAAATTTGGCCAACGAATTTTGATTTCTTTTTTTCAAATTCAAGATATAGTATTTTTCACAAGTATTGCTAGTGACTTTTCCGAGCCCAGCTTCTAATCCTTAAAACAAAAGAACAAAATTAATGCACTTGACAAAAATCCGTGACACGATATAATTTTGTTGTCAAATATGTCAAGAAGCAAATGCCATCTTAATCAGTTTCAACTGTTCATTTTTGGCTGGCCTGGACTTAAATAAAGAGATACATTTACTTTCGCAAAAAGCACATTGCTTCTGAAACAAAACAACATTTTGGATTTTTCTAAACAAATTTGCATAATCTGGAACAATAAGCTTTCAGAAACTGTACAGTCTGTTGGGGTATTTTATTAAAACTACAATTGATAGCACAGTCTGCACGAGGATAAACTTGAAGAGCAGATGATACCTTAATTTAACAGTCTGAACCTTTTGCAAGACAACTTCACCAATCTAGTTTGTTTATAATAACTGGCCCAAAGAAATGAGTTACACATAGGAATGATTAATTTAACTTATAAGATTGTAACACTTGATTGTTATTAGTACATGTTGTTTTAATAAAAAAAAAATTGAGACTTTATAAAGTCCAAGAGATAAATGCTAACAACCAGCTAATAACATCACTTCTTTCCCTATTCCAAGCATAATTCTGAGTATTGATTTTGGAACCCTGAGAGTTAAAGAGTTAAAACAGGAAGTCTAAAGACAAGAGCGTTAGACCAGTGAAATCCAAGAAAAATTGCATTCATATCTTTCAAAACACAACACGGACTACTCATACTACTGTAACAATGTGTATTTTTGCAAAAGGTTCCTTCAAAAGCAATTCCTGCATGCAAACTAGAACCCTTACAAATACTGACGTCTCTTTTAAATGGGACAAAAAAAAATTGGTCCAGCCCTCTTCAACATCCCCATTCATCATGCTGCGACAAAATACCTTTTGAAAGAATTCATGTTGACCTTTATGCTCTCGGGTGTTATACAGACATTTTGGCACACACATTTCATACTGGTATCAAAGGTAGACTTGCAGTAAGAAATTAAAGTAATTAAGAGCTGTTTATGTTAATTTGATTAACATGCTCATCAAATTACCAAGGAATTGAATGAGTGGACTCTACACTTTGAATTCCTTGTCGTAAAATAAATAGTGGCCACCATAAAATATGATTTCAATCCCTCAAGACGAACAAATAGTGATCCTAATCTACCCCAAAATAAAATCTGTTTTGCCGCAGGCAAGGCTATAGTATTGTATTTATCTTTTGGTAATAGTTCACCATTTTCAGACAAAACTAAAATAACCTGCAGCAAAAAGAGAAGAGCCAGACATACTGCTGGATTGATATCTTTTGCTCTAGTTCAGAATCACGAGAAAAGAAATAATTTTAGTGATTACAATAAGAGAAAAAAATGGACCAACACAGATGCACAGATTGTATTTCAGTGCAAATTGTATTACATAACCGTTTTCCACAATAACCACCAGTTTCTCTACTTGTCGACTTCACCACTGTATGTAGAACTGTATGACCTCAAGAGACAGCAAAATATAGAAGCATACACTGTGGTCAATTTTTTCACTGTACTTCAACCTTTAAATATTTAACTAAAAATATACGACTGCCAGTTATTTAAGACAAACCATGCAATCACTATGCAACTGAAATATTGCAATCACAAGAACACTGCAACCAATCGGCACCATAATATACTAGTTATATAAATAGGAACAGTGTAAGCTCAAACTTTAACCTTGAGAATATAAATCTGAGTTCAGAATAGTTAGTATAAACTCCCATGATCAAAATATCGTTGGTCAAGTAATCAGAGTTCACAAATCGAAAAACAACAACAAGTGGACCCTATAATATTATTATGTAGAGTATCAAGCTCACCTTTCTCAAAGGCCGCAGCTCTTTGAAAGGCTTGTTCCTTTGCCTCCAAAGCCATTGCTCGCTCATTCCTTAACTTCGTACAAGTTGAGGTTAGAGCTTTTACTTCACTACGCAATCGCTGGTTTTCGCTATGTAGTTTCTCCTTTATAACCTCAAGTGCGGCAATCTCAGTTTTGCTCGTTATAACCTTCGCATCGTAAACCGTGCGAAATGCTCGAATCTGCTCTGGTTCTCCTTCTGATTTTCCTCCTTCTTGGTCAAACGACAGCGCAGAGCGAAGACTGGTGCTTTTAGTGACGGGTTTATCTTTCGAACTTCGTCGGCTCTTTTTCTTCCCAACTGCAAAAGAACCAACTGACTTCACTGATGTCGACTTAGTTCTCGAGGGTGCACACTCGATAGGTATCTTCTTAGTGACGCCGGACTCAATCTCTTTCCCAAATTCATCGTCGTCGTCGATATCTTTCCCGCTAGTAATAGAGCCAGCAGAGCCCATGATCCGCAGGTGTATACCAACAGTTTCTGCGTTCTTAGTCTTTTTACTTGAGCAAATTTTCATTCACTTCAGCTCAGTCAAAGGCAGCGACGACAACATGGACGCCATGTTGAAAATACATTTCTGTGTGGTCGGTAAAGAAAACTCTCTGATAAAATCTCAAAATGGTGCAGTTTATCAATGTTAAGAATTCACGGAGTGAGCATCCGTTCAATAACATTATTCAAGCGAATCCTTCACTGTTTATGTCCCTATTAGCATCATTATCCTTACCGATGATCCCACGACGCATTTTGACATTTCCGCGGGCGACCCTGGGTTCAATTTTGCCCTGTGTAAGGCATGCTCGAACAAGCGATCAACCAATCACAAGCGAGGAATACATTGCATCCAGCCCGTAGAGTATAAATGCCGACATCCGGCTGAGTGTCGCTACTGTCAATCTTTGCATTGTTTTACTTGGCTTTGCTAATCTAAATATACCACAATTTCCGGAATTTCGAAGCAAGGGGTATTTGAACCTGGAGTACTTCAAATTCTTATAAAAACATAGGGGTCAAACGAGCAACGTTAGTTCCGGTGACTATGCAACACTTCAAGACTTCAGCTAGCCCCAGACACTTGATCCTTCCAAAGAGGATAACACCTGCCGCGCAATTCTCACGCTTTAGACGTGAGCTTTCCTGGCCTCGGAATAGGACTGTCACTAGCCGGGTATGGTACTCCGGGAGTTGTGACCGCATTGGACAGGGGTATTCCTCCAACAAAACTACACGGCCATATCCTGATTTAGGGGTTATTGGGGCTCCTGATCTATAGAAAAGGGTATCCGATTAATTCGACACGTTAGTTCGGGGTGTAGTAGTTCAGATGGTAGAATGCTCTGGAACGAGCCAGTGAAAATTTATGGCATACCAGCAATGTTTCACGTCATACTCCCTCATTACAGGCATAACATGAGGCGCTTTGCGCATTTATATGCTAAGTATTGTAATTTTCCTTTTCTCAGTTAGATGCAATGCTTTTTATAATGAAGAATGAAGAGCTCTTCCCATTTCTGGTTGAAGCGGAATCCGGGAAATTTTTGCCTGTGCAATCTGGAGACCTGGGCTTTGATCCCTACAAATTCATTTTAAGGAATCTGGAATCCTGCTTAAGATTAGAGTCCAGGATCCAAGTTCCACTGATAGGATCCCGAAATTAATCCACAGCGCTGAATCCAGAATCTACTACTGTCTTCGGGATTACCTTGCAGAATCTACTACTTACATAGAGAGAGAGACTTGCATAAAAAAGCCCAAAAGTCAAATAATTCAGCCTTGAATGTGATTCGAAAGAACGTATGGAATAGAATACTGGTAGAGTTTGGTAGTGCTCTTACTACTAATGAAACAAGTCATTCTTCCACAGTTCAAACATCATGAAATGTTTTGTACCCGCGAGTGACGTCGTCAGCGAGTAAAAACGACTCGAAGTGATCGTCTGAAATTCAGGCTACGGATGACTTTGTTATCTAACTCATACAGGCCCTGCATAAGTAGCAGCGGGCAGGGGCACCCAACGACGGTTTTCTCCTAAGTACATATTGAAAACACTTTTAAGGCTACCCAAAGTACTTTTACAGCTCTAGAAACTGCATTCTACGTAGACTGCGAGCAGCCTCTTTCTCTTTGCAAAGTTACTGCACTAGAAACCCAAGCACGCGAGCCTAATCCCTTACTGTAACATAACGTCGTGGTTTGCAATCGCGATGGCTGAGATGAGAATTAGACGGATTTTAAGAGAAAACGGCGCACTCCAAGCAGTCTACATTCTACGCGGCGCTGTAAACTTTGTATCTGTTCGGTCTTCCCTGGCGAACTTTAGACTTTTCGAAATTACAAGGGCTTCAGTATCATTTTTTATTTTTCGAAAATTTTAGATGCAGTTTAACGTATTACGAAATAAGACTTTTTCTGATTCTCTCCCAATCAACTTTTTGACTCCGAAAATTTAAAAAATTTTAGGATTCCTTTTGTCTACGAAAAATAGCCTAACTTGGAAAATATGTGAAAAATTTAACTTCTGAAAATCATAGGGAATTTATCAGATAAGCTTCGAAAATTGTACATGAATGGAGTAGTCATATAGAAATTTTTAACCGTCCTCAAGTAATAGAAAGTTCGAGGCAATATTTGCTTCTCCGAACAGATACCGGTAAATTACAGAAAACAGTCGTTGGGTCTTTCAAACTAGGCCAGAATAATGAGCACGAATCAATCAAGAAGGCCGGCCCTTGAGAAAAGGGCAAAAAAGATGTTAAGTTCACCCGGAAATTCCGATGCAAATCTTCTTCCGCTACCCATCTGCACTTCCTTCCATCTAATCCTACGATTCAAAAGGCTTTCACCAAAACTTTTCCCACCGAAATGAAGCTTAATAAATGCCCAGCAAGAGGAATAAAACAAAAGAAAATGTGCAAGAAATGGACAGTTTTGGCTGTTTGTAGCCAGCAGGAGCCCATTACTTACATGTACTGATTCAAATGTATTTCTTGAGGGGCGAGCTACGTGCGTCACCGCAAGTGGACTTTTTGCATTTGGCTAAACCCCAATTTTCGGGCAAATCGTCTCTAAAAGGAAAGAGTGAAGACACTTAGCAATGCAAATTTGGTAGCATCAAGGCATAAAGGGGAAAGCATCACTTCCGGTTGACGTGCAAATGCAGACGTATTTCCGGTCGTCGCTTCTGCTGAGTAGAAGTACGCACATGACCCTCGCATGGAGTTTTCCGGTCTTAGCGCCAGCTAATTTTTTCTGTAAACTTTCCACCAAGCAAAATCAACTTTTCGTACTTCAGTGTACATATTTTTACTCACGTTGAAAAGAACAAAAGATAATTGAAAAAGTGGTTTTATTAATTTATCCTCGTCTATAATTTCTGTAAGTTTAACAAATCATAACGTAGTCAAGACTCAACCACGTGAACGTGTTTTCGAGTATTTACAATTTGCCGATGTATAACGTTAGCTGAGACCTCGATAACTTTGCCATTAATAGCTAATGTAGAAAGGCTCTGAAGTTTATTTTAGTTAAGTTAAGTTTTTTAATATTATTTATTTATCGATTCACGGTCATATAGTGAAATTCCCCACTAAGTAAAGTCACCTCAGAATTTATCCACATTTTGGGGACTCAAATGTACAAAACATTGAGAAGTTTTCTTTAGCTCCGATGATAAGAAAACTCGTTAAAGCGGTCACATTTTGGTTGTATCAACAGGGTTTTAAAATGTGTGCTTTTCTTTTATTAAACTGTACATGAATCTGGTGTGGTCTGAACTTAGTTCAAACCAAATCTCCTAATAACACCGGAAACGTTTAGTAGCTTCTAGGGTTCTATCCACGATTTATCCCAGTTTGGGGGAGAAGTCCGAGTGCCCAAAGTCCCGAGGTGCCTAGGAAATTTTTGAAATGAATAGGCGCTAAGATTCAATCGGTTGCATTTTGAGACACAATTTTGAGAAAAGTTACAGTGTGTGCACTGACCTAGTCGCGTCTGAATGATTTATCCGATATAGTTACTCATTTTCTGTAATGATAAAAATATTTTTTTGGGGGGGGGTAAGCTTCTACCCCTCAAATATCCTAGATACAACCCTGGCTTCATGATGAATATTTTTTACCGATCTGAGTAAACCGCTAACTCTCACGTACATACGGCCTTGAAGATAAAGAGCTTTTCATGGTAAATAAGTTAATTTCCTCCATTAAAGGAAAACATACATAGAACCAGCTGAATGTTTTCCACTGAAGGCGTCCAAAAGAGAGTGGAATTAAGAATAATTTCACCTTCTACAGGTGCTGCCATACCTCATCATTTCTAGCTTAAATGTATCTAACAGGCGCAAAAAACGAAAACGTTTCAACAAAAAAAGCACTAACAAATGACTGACTGCACTTCCGTTTTGCTGCACATAAAACAAAAGAAGGAGCAAAAAAAACTGATGGTGCATTTGATCGTTCATATTCCAGAATACGAATACGCAAAAATTTTGTTACAAATCTCTCGCAACGTAATTTTTGGACTAGAAAACAAATGATGTCTTGAGTTTATTCCCTTCATTTTAGTCTTATTCTGGAAAATAGTCGATCGAACGCACCTTAAGCTTCGGAAAAATGGGCAACAACGGGCAACTTGTTTTGCAACCTTGCAAGAGAAACAACTTGAAAAGCGCTGTTGCGCGTTTTACCACCCACGCTCAAAACCGTTAACAACCTGATTTGTTGCAAGACAGGTTTTACGCGGGTCGCGTAACATCGCTATTCAACTTGCTTTGCACCAATAGTGCAAGACAGGTTGCACGGCTTTTGTTGCCAGTTTTACAGTCTTCAGTTCTCTAACCAGTCTCGACTACCTCACGAATTTGAACCACTGAGTTAAGTTTAAATAGAGCAGGGATTATGAAACTTTTTGTACCATGAGCATTGTAAACGTCTTTCTTTGTCACTACAATAACTTGCTATCCACTGGGCTAAAGGTCTTACAAAGGCAAATCCGGGAAACAACAATAAAATTACTTTTTTAAAACACAATTTAAACGTATAACTTTTCAGTCAAATATTTTTCCTTAACCGAGGCAATTGCCCTCGGTTACAAGCTTCAGCTCTGCACTCAGAATCTGGCTGAGTTTGGTAACGTCTCTCCATCCAACACAACAATGAAAAGATAATTATGAGTAACGCCCTGTTCGCACTACAGAGCGCAAAGAAAGTAGTGTCTGATAGCCCGGAGCTAGTGGATTTTACTACCGGGCTAGCGAATTCTGTTCTTAACTTGCCCGATGGGCAAGTGAAGTTTTTGAGGGGAATTCAAATTGCAGAAGAACTGTAATCAATTCTGCTCATCAATTTTTTTCTCAGGCTAGTTAAAATAACTTTTGGGCTAGTACATGCTACCTAAGCTTGCCATTTTCAAGCTGTAACACCGATTTTCTTTGCTCCCTACACCACGACAAAAAATAGAGTCTGGTGTTTGCAAAACAATTGCATAATTTTTTTTGTAGTTACCAATTTTTCGTTTTTGTAACCTTGTTCGCACCAGAAGAACGCGAAAGTTTTCATGTAACGAAAAACGCCAAGTCATGTTCGCGAAATAAGACGACCCGACGAAGGATAGCTGTGAAGGAACAAAAGATTTTGTCGCCTGACAAAAAAATTGTAGGCCTCAAAAACGTTCGCAACGGTATCTTCGAAGTTTTGACACATTAGAGAAAATTTTGGTATTTTAAAAAAAATCCTTCGCCCTAGAAATGGCTTCCTGTTGACAGATTTTTTATTGTAAAAGAAACAAAATTTTGCATAGTGCGGACAGGGTCTTTTAAAACTATTAATAATAAATTTCAAAGAATCATCTGACAATTAAAATCAACTAATCTGTGGTACAGGCAGGGCAAGAGGAATATGTGGCCTTTCTGGAACATATAGCTTCTCCAGTATTGACTGTAGGCCTTTTGATGCCTGAAAACAAACAACAAATCCTTATGGTTGGTGCTTAAAGTAAGAAAGGACAAATCTTAAAATGTAATCAGCATATCAGGCTACTGGAGAGGGTGTGAAAAATATAAGGAAATTATGCGGAATTTCCCGAAGCCTGCATTTTGCAGTAGAAAAGGTCTATTATGCGGCATATTGTGTGATTTCTCGAGGAAGGATTTCACCAAAAACACCTACAGTGGAAGCTGTCCTAAAGGACACCCTCATAAGCCACAGGCACAGCCAGCTTTTGGACTAGTTGTAAGCCTGGCTGACTTTCATTTCCACACATCCTGAAAATTGCATGCATGACAACTACGCACTGACCTCATCAATACTTTGTCGAGCTCTAAGCTTTTAAGCTCACCCCAACAATGCATAATTTATTATAAGCGGTAGAGTGATCAAAAAATTGTAGGCCCGGGCCTACAGGTCTATGGGCTGGCTACGCCTTGTAAGTGAACAGCCCTACTTATGCACGCCTTCACAAAACTCCATTTTTCTCAGCTCCCATATAAACTCTAGAGCTCTCATTAAGAGGCGGGAGCTGGGGATTTCCCTGCTACTAAGAACGTGGCCCCCGGCTTCTTTCATAGGAAAATAGAAGAAAAATAGAACCAAAATAAATCCCTTGCTGTTTGATTCCCCGTATACTTGCTGTATTTACCTGGCAACTTCAAATCTTAGTGACAGCCCTGAACTCTGTTATTTTAAATTAGCGGTTAGTCCGAGTTACAGACACCTTTTTTGTGTGTCCTGCGGGTGTCCGCTCATGACAGCTTCCATTGTATTTTTATTGGTTTTAGAACAGCAATTTAATCGAACCATTATACCTTTCTGCGAAACTGCCCACCTACCCCTCCCCTAAGCCAACATTGACATTGACTTCTCACTTAGGGCAAAATGTTGGCGTAGGGGAGGGGCAGGTGAACAGTTCTCCATGAATTGTACCATGTGAAATTACTGCCAAAATTGGTTTCATTTGAATGGTTGCACCATGACTGGGCCAGGAGGTGAAAAGGTTAAAGAGGTGCTGTTTTAGGTCAAGTCTGTTAATAAGTTAAAACTCATAAATCACTTTTTAAAAATAAACGTTTTAGCTTTTTAAAAAATATAGCAAAATTTTAATAGCAGGTTTCCTGTGGATGCTTCATAAATTTTCCTGCTTACCAAGCATCAACATTATGTTCAAAACAATCAATGCCAGATGATTTGTTTTGAATGCAAAATGATTCATTCGTTGTTTAATATCAGCTTTAGAAGATGTAGAAGGCATTGAAAACTGATAACTAAAAAGAGGCTGAGCAGCTAGAGCTTTTAGAGTAAAAAATTTGACTTAATTTTGTTTTGTTGCCCAAAGATTCATAAATAAGATTATAAATATTAAATAAGATTATAAACATTCTTTAGAAAATTTTTCTAAAGAATATTTTTACAAGTGTCCTGGCACCACAAATAACTGTAGCTAGTCTAGGCAGGCCAGGAATAATACGAAAAGAAAATAACTGCAATTAAACTAAGGTAAAAAAAGTAGAAAGCAAGAGATAAAAAGCAAAGATACTCAGTTATATGACGCACCTCAAAATTATAACATATTTAGAGCAATAAAGCAAACTTTCATTGAAAAAATGTATCATACCATACATACATACCTTAGATGTATTTAACTTATATCTTTCAATTCCAAATCTTTCTATTGCTCTTGAAAAACCAAATACACTAGATGAAACCCAGCTCTGCTTTTGACATGTAACCCTGGGACAAGAAGTAGCAATGAATTCAACAATACAGGCCTAAAATGGTTCAAGAAAAATATGCCAACTGCACTTCATTGGTGCTAACAACAACACTATAAAAAACAGTAGGTATCGGTAAGTCTTTCAATCTTATAAACTATTATGAAATTCTCACGTCTGATTGGTTGTCATGAACAGTTTACTGTCCTGATCTCAACATTAATAGGAAAGTGTAATTGGACAGTATGTATTAGTATTTCAATTTTAGAAAAGCTTAAATTACCAATAATTTTGTTGTTAATAGTTATGATTAATTGGAATTGGAGCTGGAATTTTTGCAACCAAAATTAAATCAATAAATTAATGGGATGGCATTTTCAAGAAAAAAAAAATGTCAGAAAATTTGGGAATACTACACAAAGTTGTCGCCTTTTTGGAAGCTTCAAAAAAAAGGAGTTAAAAAAGGAGCAAAACAGAGTAAAACCACAAACAAAAGTACATGTACATGAATTTTGTTCAGCGAACTCTAGTTGTGTGTCTGATTACTTCATTAAATGATTAAATTTTAATCAACAGCTGAGTCAAGTGAGAAGTAAGCCCTTTCCAATTAGCCTCACATCTCTATTTCAAGGCGAGGCTGACCTGACAGATGACGTACAGCTGTACAAGTGTTAAGTGAAATATAACGAAAAAAATTAGCACATGGTCTAGGTAACCCCTCAGATGATCTACACGACCCCCCACTTGAAAGAATTAACTGGAACGCTGTTGACTTACACCTAAAACGCAGCTCGTAAAAACAAATGAAATGATCGTGGAGTGGTCGAGTTAAAAGGAATATTTAACCTTGTTTTGTTAAGTATAAGGTTCGCTGTTATGACTAATTTTAAGATGAATTTTAATTCTACTGTAATTTGAAGACAATTTTCAACTGTTTCTTTATTTTTCTAATTAAAAATGTGCTTGTCCTATGGACAAGTCATGTCAAAGGTTTGCATGTCAGAACTAAATTTCTACCTGTCCAGGTCAATCGGACATAAGTTTTGGCACATCTTGTAGAAGGGGTGAGAGTTAAGTTTGCAAGGTTATGTTAATATGAAAGAACGCAACCTCAAACTCACTTTTAATTTTAAACAACATTTTCCCTGCTGTCAGCATCCTCATATCTTAAGGTCCATATTAAAGATTGTATACAGTCCTCTAAAAGGTGTGAAATGCTTCAAACAAATTTCGTGCAAATTCTTTTCATTAGAACCACAAGAAAATAAAAGAGAACTGTATGAAGGGCTGAAAAAGGTAGCACTCACCATTCTTTGTTTGTGGGATGGACTGAGTAAACACATTTCTCCTCCACCACCATGAGTCTGGTAAATGTCACATTCTTTGTGTATGTTGTTAAAGTTTTAGCTTCAGGATCTACTACTGATTCTTCCACGATACAAGCAACTCTTGCACTTGTAAACTACAAAAAAAATAAGAAAAATACTGCCATGATGAAAGATGCAGTGATAAAAAAAATTGTTAATGTACAATTTATATACTCCTATACATCAGGCTATTTCTTCAAAGTATTTAAGACACGATTTTTTTTTTGGTCGTTTTTTATTCTTAGATTTGAGTAAAATATGTCTCTCAAATTAAAACTCGTCAAAAATCTTGCAAAACCTATTTTATTCTCATACTTGTCAATTTGTCCACCCTATCGCGTCACTCACATTGACAAGTATATGACGTAGAATGGTTTGAAAGAATGTCAAGAATATAGAATTTACAACATGGCGGCAAATACCTAGGATTGTCATTGTCCATAATTTGCCAATCATCTTCATCTAATTTAATTTACTTCTCTATACTTTCTAGTCACAGTCAGATAATTAAAAAATGGTAAAATTCCACAAAACATAAAGAAATGGCCAGAATCCAGAATGAAGGCATAGAAAATCAACTGACATCATGTGACATCATTAGCCTAGCATTCATGAGCCTGAATGCATTCCCAGAGTCTCTGGAACATTTCTGAAGGGGAAAAAGCAGTTCTGGGATAGCCAGAATTCAAGAAACTTTTTAGGAGACACATTTTCAAAGTTCAGAATTGTCAATTAAAAAAATTTGCGTCACATAGAGTGGAACCTCAATGAAAAGAAAGGACCAAGGGACTGGCAAAAAATGTTTGCTGTAATGAGGTTTCCATCATTATGTGAAGGTTCTTTTCCATATATTTTTACTATATAAAGCTGGTGAAGAAATCATTACGGAATGGCGCCTGTACATTGTAGATCTGCGTTGCCCGCCAAATCGCGGGTCCCATAATTCTGTAATGTCATTCGTCATACCAAGGGCTTCATTATATTGAGGTTCATAAAACATATAGAGGTCCCACTGCACACTTAAAAAAAACACTGGTATAAATAATAACAGAAACACTGAATCTGAGTGACCACTCTTGATTACAACCAACCACCACCTTGTTCACATTCATAATCATTTCAAACACTTACAGATAAATTACCAATATGTGGTACTTAGAAAAAGTGTGTGAAAAAATGAAAAGAGTAAATTGCATTATTTTGTACAGTGTATAAATAATCACCATTGATTCTCAAAATTGAGAACTGAGTCTCAAGACTAAAGTATCAAGAGGTGATGCCAGTGACTGTCAACCTACATTTACGCAGTACTGTTCTGCACATCTTGCAATGCTATTTTACATGTATGTAGCATCAAAAATCAAAGGAAGAATCATAAATCAGTTGCTTACCCTTTCGGCCCATCTTGGTGGACTGTTTGTTTTTGTTACAAGTTTTTTGGTGACAAGTTTATTGCCTACTAAAGACCTGAAACAAATGACAATAATGTTATTTACAGCATAGTTTAATACTGGTGCATTTTATCTCCTCAATAAATGATTAAGAAACTATATTCATGTATGCCACTAATGCTGCTCTTCTAGGTAAAATAAATGCATTCTTAGGTTGAAAAGATCAATAAGTTCCTTAACTTAAGAGATTTTACAGAAAAGTAATTTGATTTGGGGCGTGTGAGATTTTTTCTTTGCAGTTAACAAGGAGTGACAAGGTTTAAGCCAGTGAAGTGAACTTTACTTCATAATCATGTACAGTACACTTATTGTATGGAAAAAGAACCTGTACTTGCACACACATCTCTTGTACGGACATGTCTCCTGCCAGTTCCTATATTTGTTACTACAGCCCCATATAATTTTACAAATATAAATTCTCAAAACCAAAGTACAAATGTCAAAAGAAGACTTAACAAGTATAACCGATTGAAAACACTATTTCTAGCAGTATTAAGGAAGAAGCATGTTGCTACTCAAAGAAAAAATGTAGCTAACACAGTTTTTGCATATCTTCATTGTACAAAATCGTACATCTTCAACTGTAACGTAAATTAACGTTTATGTTGATCGAGCATGTCAATATCAAACAATAAATGACCAAATAGAAGTTATCATTTGCAGTTTGACTATGACTACAAGGAATTAGAGTGCATATGTACTATGGCAAGACCACATACACATTATTAGACATTAAAAAGTGTTTGGAAAGAAATGTACAGTAAGACTTATGTAAATTAGAATTTACAACGCAATCAATGGACAAAAATATTTACGAGCTGCTTGTCACGAAAGCGTACAACTTGCAACAGAAATTGAAAAGCACCAAGACACTCTGCATACCTCAACAGAAATATAAGACATATTTGCATAGCTACAATATTTTAAACTGACACATCCAGAGATTAACTACATGAGCAAAATGACCTTTCTATGACATCTTCGGATAGCACGTGTCGACTAAACGGATTCGGATATCGCGGCCAAAAAGCACTCGTAACTTGATCCCAGTTAAATCTGCGAACGGGAAAACCAATTTATTAGATGTCAAATCTATTGCAGCAAGTTTCGAAAAACATTCAAGACTCATGTACTTACTTAAGCATGCAAATCGTGCAGTAAAACTTCATGGCGATGTGCTTGACTACGATGGCCACTCATGAAATCAACACATTGCATTACGAAAGAAATGGCAGGTTACCAAGCAACAAGATCCAGTTCCGCGCGGTCAATGAAAAGTTAAAAACAAACTGGTTCCAGTAGGCGTCGTTAGGGGCGTAGTTGGGGCGGTGCAATTTGTAATGGCATGATTTGTAGTGGTATTTGGCATAAATACCTCGAGTACTACTAAATAAATTTCTGCAATTTGATTGGCTTAGAGCAGTGGTATTTCAGCTTAATTTGAAATACCTACATGTGAAAATTACAAACCTTTTGTGGGCAGTGGTATAAACAAATAATAGCATGACAAATAAAAAATACCATGATATTTCAAAGTTGTGTGATATTTGGCAAATAAAACAATTTTTTGAAATATCCCTCGTGATATTTCAAAAATTGTCTCAAATTTATACTACTACATGTAACAATTTTTAATTTGAAATCCCTTTGTTCATATATTTGCCGTGATCCAAAATTGTCTCAAAACTCTACAGACCTTTTGAAATATCAAATGCCATTGCTATTACCTTCCTTTATCCTTTGTTCATATGTATCCACAGAAACCTACACACCTGAAAATTGTTTGTTGTTTATTGTTCAAAGTTCAAGTTTATTGTTTTGCTATAATTTATACAACTTAAATATTAAAAAGCTGATGGTGAGGAAGCCTAATGGCATTTTCAGACCTTTTAATGACATTTTGTTCTCTTAAATCGGTCTGTGAAAACACCTTGACATAGGCCTAGTATGGGAGTCGCTCGCTCCCAGATTATAGGCTCTTCATTCGTGTTCATATTTCAAAGTTCACATAGTCCTCGTTAGTGTAGTCCAAGGCCTGAAAAGCCCTCACAGGGAGTTGACAATAAAATTTGTATTGTATTGTATTGTATTGTATTGTACAAACAATAATGGTTTTCCCGTTCACAAAGACGTCATTTCGCGGGGAAACCAGTGGTGGCGTATCCTGTGAACAGGCTTTCTGTTTAGGGAAGGGTGAAACTGAATCGCGAGAAGAGGGATTTGTTCACCCTTTCCTCGAAAGAGCCTGTTCACAGGCTAGTGGTGGCGTCGCGAAATGTCGGCTGTTTTCTCAGGCTACAAAAATTCAGGTTGAAAATCCCGGCGGGTGGACTCTCACAGACTCGTGAAGGGGAGGCTCTTCGTCTCCCTGAGGGGTGGAAATTGCGACCAAGCCACGCCTAGATTTGTCCTCTTTCACTCTGAATTTTCGCCTCTCGTCCCCGTCTCTTTAACACTAGAGAAAACCTAGGGAAAACGATTCATTGACCAAATATAATGGATAGTTTTTACTAGTAATTGGATTTTATCCGTTCACAGCTTCCTTTGTTGAGTCAATTGTTCCTTTACTAGACTCAACAAGAAAAAACAATAGTTGCTTTTGGCAGTGCTATTTTTTATCCATTCGTTTACTTCTACCTAATAAAATACTTTCTTTGACTTATACAAAAAAGTGCTACAATGTTCAAAATCGCAAACAAATAATGGTTATGTCGACTATGTCTTTAAACGGGATCCGGAAGGCTGAAAAGTATTAAGATACATACGTTCGGCATTGTGGTAATGGTTGAAAAAATCGATCTTTTTCTTATGATAAATGTACGTGATAAATGTCGTTAATTGCGTTCCCTGCTAGATTTTGTTAATGATTACGATCGTCGTTAAATCGCTGGTGGAAACCAAGCCTAAACGTCTTAATTAATCTAAAATAGAAGCACCATGATTCAAAAATAAGAAAAGGTTTATTAAAACTATTTAATAAATATACAATTTGAAATGACACAAAACATAATTACAACTTATTGTGAATCTCATTTGAGTGCACACAGTGTACACATCAAACAGATTCCTTGCAGTAGTCGCACTAGGCCCCGATGGGCTCCTGGCCCCGACGAATCATCCCTAGTACCACCTGGTAAACACAAGAAAAAGAAAATTAGATTTTTTACAAAAATGAACCGAGTAATATTAAACGATTATTGCATTTCAGAAGCCTGTAATCCCGAGCATGCGCACAACTACCCTTCCTTAGCCTATGCAACGGCGTTTGCACAAATCTTTTCCCGCAAAAATGGAAGCTGTAGCATGATGTATATAAAAATGAATAGCAAATATCATCAAAACATCAAAGATTATTTTCTGGTCTCCATTTATTACTCGTCTGTTTTTGAAAATTCAGTTAAATTTAAGGAAAAAATGAAATATCAGTTGATATGTAATGTGAAAGTGAGTAAATCGCTCCGAATTTATTGGCTTCTGGTATTTCTAAAAAGCATACGCTGTTAATGGAGTGGAGTGAAGGAGTATGGGATAGTTAAAAAAGGAATACAAATTGCTTGCCAAAAAAATGGCGATAAAACAGGAATCTGTTAAACTAAGTATCAGTGACGACTGTAATGGGCATGACTGTGACGTTGATGGTAATGATTATGAAAATAAAGAAAAAGTGTTCAGAATAACGTTGACGATGATGATTACGATGATAACGATTATCACGATAATGATGATGATGATGATGATGATGATGATGATGATAAGGTGATAACGATTTCAAATCTGAATAAAAGAAAACCAGCCTGTCAGCTATTGAGCAGCTTGATGTCAAGATATAGGAAGGTTTAGGTTGATAAGCATAATGAATGGGAGGAGTCGCTGTGTAGAAAGATACTTTTTGTTAAAAAAATACTTTTACACTCAAGGCTTAATATCTCGCAAAAAACAATGAAGCGTGCTAAGTGAGGTTTTAAGCTATTGAGAACGGTTATAATTAAACCAAAGAAAAACAGAACAAGACACACTACAACATTTAAGATCACATAATATCAGACTAAACGGCGAATCGCGTTTCTATTTTATCCCGGTAATTGGTTCCCCAAAATTTAAATGGTCACAGAGACGTGTAAAAAGAGCAAAGGGCATAAGCTTAAGCCGTGTGGGACTCCTCTCTGGGCATGCGAGGCTGGAAAGCGCACCAAAGACTGAATGTGGTACTTAAGCCAATACTTTTTTGCAGTTGAGGTAGTCGGATTCGCGGAAAGCTAGTCGCTATCGGGAAAACCTACATCAATCTACGAGTTGGCTCGAATCCTAGCGGCTGTTTATTTTGGGGCAGAAAGATCCTGCGTTTATTTTGGTTTACATGCAAACATTCCAGTGTGAGACACGTCACAAGACCACCTCTCTGATTATGGCGTCATAGCGTTCTATGATATTCTGACAAGAATTCGTTCTCAACTCAAAGAACCAGAGCGTCCATAACATACAATACCTCAATTATTTACTCAGAATAAAATATACTGCGTACCTGTTGGAACCATTTGTTTGAAATCTTTCGAATGTTTCAAACGATGGGTGGAATTCCTGCGCGTCAGGGTTTAAAGTATGTTGGCTTTGAGCTTGATCAGCAATGCTGAAATGTAAAAAACACAACAAGCGAGGGTAACCAACGCGTTTTAGTCTCCCAAAGAGCCCTACCATACAAAAGAAAAACAAGGTCCAGACATACAACAAAATTTTACATCAACCAGCATCAAATTAAACGTATCGGGTTTCTCTTCTATTATTGTACTAGTTTTCCATAATTTAAATGTTCACAAGCGCGTGCAAAAATAAAACAGGGCCTAAAGCTGAGCCCTGTAGGACTCCTCTGTGTGGGCTTGCGAGCCTGGAAAGCTCATCAAAGACTGAATGTGATAAGTAAGCCAATACATGATTGTAGTTGAGCTAGTGAGATTCGCGGCAAACTAAATGCTATCGGAAAACCTACAATGATCTATGAGTTGGCTCGAATCCTAGCGGATGTTTACTCGGAGGAAGAAAGATCCTAAGGGAAGAAACAGCGTTTATTTGGGTTTACATGCAAACATTACGGGGAGGAGACCACGTCACTGATTATGGTGTCATAACATTCTATGAATTTCTGACAAGAATTCCTTCTCAACTCAAAGAACCAGAACACTCATAACACACAATACCTCAGTTTTTTCTTATAACTAATAAACTTTCATAGTTCTCAATAGAGTAAAATATAATGCGTACCTAAAGGAACCATTTGTTTGAAATCTTTCAGATGTTCCAAACGACGGACGGAATTCCTGCGCGTCAGGGTTTAAAGTATGTTGGCTTTGAGCTTGAAAGGCAATGCTGAGATGTAGAAAACACGACAAGCAAGGGTAATCAACTAGTTTTAGTCTACTAAGAGCTCTGTTACAAAAGCAAAGCAAGGCCCGGTCGACACACAACAAAATTTTAGATCAGTGGAAATCAAATTTCACGGATTGGGATTCTATTATATTCTTGAACTGGTTCTTCGTAATTTAAATCCTATCGGTTGTTTACATGGAGGCCGGGGGGGCAGAAAGATCCTAAGAGAAGGAACAGCGTTTATTTTGGTTTACATGCAAACATTCCAGAGAGATAGGCCACGTCAAGAGACCACGTCACTGATTATGGCGTCACAACGTTCTATGAATTTCTGACAAGAATTCCTTCTCAACTCAAAGAACCAGATCACCGATAATCATACACATAATACCTTTTTTTGTTCTATATAATTAACTTTCATAGTGCGCAATATAATAAACTATAAAGCGTACCTATTGGAACCATTTCTTTGAAATCTTTCAGATGCTTCAAGCGAAGGGCGGAATTCCCTTGCACCAGGGTTTAAAATATGTTGGCTTTTAGCCTGATCGGCAAGGCTGAAATGAAAAAAACACAACAAGCGAGAGTAATCAACGCGTTTTAGTCTACCAAGAGCGCTGTTACAACGGCAAAGCAAGGACCAGACACAAAAACAAAATTTTAGATCAAAGGGCATCAAATTAAAGGATCAGGATTCTATTATATTCTTGTACTAGTTCTTCATACTTAAAATGGTCACAGGCGCGTGTGAAAGAGAAGAGAGCATAAAATTGAGGCCTGTGGGACTCCTCTTCCTGGGCAGGCGAGGCTTGCAAGCACACCAAAGACTGAATGTGATATTTGAGCCAAACCTTTGTTGCAGTTGAGGTAGTAAGATTCGCAGGAAGGTAATTGCTATCCGGAAAACCTACAATGATCTTCGAGTTGGCTCGAATCCTAGCGGCTGTTTACATAGAGGCAGAAAGATCCTAAGAGAAGGAACGGCGTTTATTTTGGTTTACATGAAAACATTCCAGTGAGAGGCCACGTCAAAAGACTACGTCACTGATTATGGCGTCACAACGTTCTATGAATTTCTGACAAGGATTCCTTCTCAACTCAAAGAACCAGAACACCCACTACATACAATACCGCACTTTTTTCTTACAAATAATTAAAGTCCATAGTGCGCAATAGAGTAAAATATAATGCGTACCTGTTGGAACCATTTGTTTGAAGTCTTTTAGATGTTCGAAACGACGGGCGGAATTCCTTTGCATTAGGGTTTAAAGTATGTTGGCTTTGAGCTTGATGGGTAATGCTGAAATGTAACAATATATACAACAAGCGAGGGTAACCAACTCGTTTTAGTCTACCAAGAGCTGTTTTACAAAGGCAAAACAAGGGCCAGACACACAACAAAATTTTAGATCAAAGGGCAATAAAGTAAACGGATCGGTTAAATTCTATTATATTCTTGTACCAGTTCTTCAAAAATTAAATGGTCACAGTCACGCGCTAAAAGAGAAGAGGGCCTAAAATAGAGCCATGTGGGTTCCTCTCTCTGAACTTACGAGGCTCGAAAGCACGCCAAAGACTGAATGTGATACTTAAGCCTATGCTTTGTTGCAGTTGAGCTAGTGAGATTCGCGCAAAGGTAATTGCTATCAGGAAAACCTACAATGATCTACGAGTTGGCTCGAATCCTAGCGGCTGTTTACTTGGGGGCAAAAGGAGAAGGAGCAGCGTTTATTTTGGTTTACATGCAAATATTCCAGTGAGAGATCACGTCGCTGATTATTGCGTCATAGCTCGTCATAACGATGTATGAATTTCTGACAAGAATTCCTTCTCAACACAAAGATACAGAACACCTATAACATATAATACCTCATTTTTATTAAAGTCCATAGTGTGCAATAGAGTAAAATATGTGTACCTGTTGGAACCATTTGTTTGAAGTCTTTCAGATGCGCCGAACGACGGGTGGAATTCTTTTGCTTTAGGATTTAAAGTATGTTGGCTTTGAGCTTGATCGGTAATGCTGAAATGTAAAAAAATACAACAACTACCAAGAGCTCTGTTACAAAAGCAAAACAAAGCACAGACACACAATTTAGATCGAACAGCATCGAATCAAACGGATCGGGCTTCTATTATATTCCCGCACAAGTTTTTCATAATTTAAATGGTCACAGGCGCATGAAAAAGAGAAGAGGGCCTAAAATAAAGCCTTGCGGGACTTCTCTATCAACGCTTGCGAAGCTGGAAAGCACACCAGAGACTGAAAAGATTTGTCTTCGGTCAGATAAGTAGGACCTAAGCCAGCTGTTTACGGTTCAGCTAGTGTAATATTTGGCAACTTTACTATCACGATTACTTTAAGAATTGTATAATCCTACAGCGTTTTTCAGTGACTTACGAGTTACCTCGAATCGTAATTGGAGGCTGTCTACTTGGATAGAGGAAGTTCCTAAAGATGGAGCAATCTTTGTTTCGGCTTACATGCAAAGTAAAGGCAAGCAAATTTCAAGCGCATATATTTTTCCTGTTTGTCTTCCTCCATTTAAAAACAAACGAGCTGTAATTTGCAAAACACAGTCAATTGTCTATGACGCCGTAACGTTTAATGTATTTCAAGACATCCATATCATGCAATGCTCGTTTAGTTTGGGCTCGATTTCCGCTGCTCTCTCGGTCTTCCTCGAGGAGAGACGGCTGGACGCGTGAGTGGCTAAAGTGTCTGTGACGTAGGCTCAAAAGTTAGTTAAGCGCCGTTACGAAGCATTGGAAATGGGAAATGTCATTAAATACCGAACACATGACGTGCTTTGCCTCGTTGCCGCTTTGCATGGTACTTGCCATAATAAAAGTCAGTAGAAACACGCACTGACTGTAGTTACATTGATCTTGCATTACCGATGGACCTGACAGGCGTCTCTTTAAATTCACATTACCTGTCAACAACCATAGTTCCGGTTGGTTGAATTTCAAAAACATTCCTGGCATTTGCCAGCTTCTCCAAGCTAATGCTTTTCTTTGTAAATAGGTTTTTAAGTTTAAAACGCTCTAAAACACAATCGCACCACATCAAACAACACTTTTGCACCCGCTGTTTGAAATCTGCTCCAGGAAAAATAAAATACGCTGCCTGCTCCATTAGAGCAGGTAACGATCTGATTGGTGGTAATTGACAATAGCAAATTCATGCGTCCTGCCGTCTGTTCAATTGAGGAGCGCGGGCTCATTTCCCGAACAGCGGCTGGTAATCGAGCCTATACCTCGTTTAATTCTCAAGAATGATAATAGTCCTTTATCTGTGCACCTACCTTAATGCATACCCAAGCTCAAGTCTGCTAGAATCATTTGTTTTAAACCCATCCAATGCTCGTAAAGAGGGTATAAACTCTTCGGCTTGAGCGTTTAAAAAATGTTGGCATCCAGCTTGTTCGGCAGTACTGAAATATAAAAAGGGTCAACAGGGACGATAATCAAGACGTTTTAGTTTGTCTAGAATCCTGTAACGGGCAAGAAAAGGCAAGACACACAAGAACAATTTAACTTAAACGGGTCGGTTGTCCCCTCCATTCTTCTTGAGTTAAATGGTCACAGACACGTGTGAAAAGAGAAGAGGGCCTTAAAATTAAGCCATGTGGGACTCTTCTGTCTATGCTTGCAAGCCTGGAAAGTACACCAGAGACTGAACAGACTTATCTACGCTCGGATAATTAGGATCAGTTAATCATAATCAGTTTGTTGGAGTTGAGCTAGTGTAACACTTGGCAGGCTTTGCTATCAGGATAACTTTTAGAATTGAGTTAAGGTAGTGTGTTTTTCATTGAGATAAGAGTTGGGGCTGATTACACGGAAGTAGAACGATCCTTGAAGACGGAACTGTTTTTTGTTGGGTTACATGCAAACATATTAGTGCAAAGCTGGCGAACGCGTTTCATTCGCCAGGGGCATATTAGTTTTAGGAGCACGTCCGTAGGCTAATATGATATCATAATGTTGATTGTATTCCCTGACAAAATTCGTCCTCAACGCAAAGAGCTTCGGTAATTTCTCAAAAATTATTAACGTTCAAATTCAATGCCCGCAATACAAGTGAACTATAACGTCTAGCCGCTGGAGCCATTTGTTTCATATGCTTCAGATGCTCGAAAGGAAGGAATAAATTCCTCGGCTTCAGCGTTTAAAAAATGTGGGCAGTCAGCTTGTGCAGAAATGCTGAAATCTAAAAAGAAAACATGGACGGTAATCAACACGTTTTAGTTCGCCAAGAGGCCTTTTTTGTCTAAAGGCATTTCGCTTTAACGTCCAAATTAAACGCATCGGGTTTTTATTAGTTGTGCAACTACAGGTGTATACCCAAACTGCAGTTTGCAGTTTGCTGAAATCTCAGGAAACTGAGGGATTTAAAACCGTGAGAAGGTAACGTGTTTGAAATCCACCAGTGGCCCGAGATAACACCGCGGAGATAAATTTCTCAGTTTCTTGGCATTTAAAACATATTTGTATTCAGTGTTTGCTGTGATGCTGAAAACAATATCAAACTGTTAAAAAAGCCAATGTGCAACGATTCAAAACGATAACCAACACGCTCCAGTTTGTCACAACAAGATTTTAGTACACTTAATACTAAAAATTATCAACCACAGTATAGTAGTATATATGCCCAAGCTCCTGTCTACTGAAATCTCAAGCAACTGACAGATTTCAAACAAAAGGTCTGTTTTAAATCCACCAGTTGCTTGAAATGACACCGTGGGGATAAATTCCTTGGCTTTAGCGTTTTTTAAAACATGTTTGTATTCATTGTTTGCTGAAATTTAAGAAAAAGACACGATGCAACGATAACAAACACGTTTCAGGTTGTCCCAACAAGATTCTAGTACAAAAAATTCTAAAGAGTATCAACTACAGTAATATATACCCAAGCTCAAGTCTGCTGAAATCTGAAGCAACTGGCGAATTAATCGAGACAGAATCTCCAAAGAAGTTCTGTTTCAAATCCTCCAGTTGCTTGAGATGACCCCGCGGGAATAAATTCCTTGGCTTTAGCGTTTTTTAAAACATGTTTCTATTAAACGTTTGCTGTGATGCTGAAATTAAAAAGAAAGACTACATGTAACGATAACCAACACGTTCCAGTTGGTCACAACACGATTTTAGTATACACTAAATACTCTTACTCGAGTCGTTGGGGTGTTCTTTGATTTCGTGGGCAGTCTGTGCATGTTCCTTAGTGCGAGAAATCGAGAAAAGAGGTTGTCGGTTGATGACCAATTGTGCACGTCAGGTAATTACCCAATACCATCGTGCCCTGCGTGTTTCGGTGGTTTTGGGTTGTGACTTTCGCTTAGAAAACTACAAGGCGAGCTAAACTTTTCTTTCTTACATATTTCGTATTACTTTTTTCGTTTTAAAACCTCTTTCTTTTCTAAATATTCCGGACATCAAAGCCTGGTCAAGAAACTATTGACTATTTTTAGTTTATTCTTATCCGGGGGAAGCGGGTATTGACGGTAATTTTTGGTAGTTCTCCAAATCCTGTCTCTAATTCAGACTTAAAAATGTTATTTTCCACACTCGTTTTCAGACCCGGTCTCTTAAATCCATACCCGTTTTCAGACTTGGTAAATATAAAACTTAAGTTATCAATTTCAGACTAGAGCTCAAACAAAAAGATTTCTTAAAATCCATTTCGAATTCGTATATTACCCTTTGTTTTGGATTCATTCGGAATTGAAACGAAAAATACGTTCATACACTTCCGTAGTTTCCTCGAAACCATATCCGTTCCAGACAAAATGAGCAAAATCTATTCTCGTTTTGAGACCGAAACGGCGCAAAAACCCTACCTTTTGGGCCGCACATACCTACATGGCTTATATAAGGGAGTCCCCCCGGGTTTCTCAAGGCCGATTTAGACGGCAAGATTTTTGCTTACAACTATCGCGCGCAACTAGCATGCGACTTCTCGACAGGTCGAGTCGTATAAATTAGACCAACGACGCTCGTACGGTACATTGTGGATGTCGTAGGTATAAATTGTACGCGTTGTGGATGGTTGAAAGTCATGACGTATGCTAGTCGCGCACGATAGTCGTAAGCAAAAATTGTAGCGTCTAAACCGGCCTTTACGCAACCCAGCTAAGTGAAGGGTAATTCCCTAAGGCGACGCACCATAATCTTTGATTACTACTAGTATCAAATTTAACAGATTCGGTTTTCGATTTTATTCTTGTATTGTGTCTTGGTAAATGCCGTCAAGGATCAAGAGATCGTTCACGTTCCCTTCTCATTCTGTTGAAGTAAAGTCTTACCCAGTTTGTTCGAAATCTCCGTTGCACAAAGTCTTGTTTCCAATAAAATGATCTTTAAAATCCGAGCATGCAGCTGCATAATCAACCTGACGAAAAAAAACGCATACATATTGAAACAAAGTATTCGTTCCAATGATTTTCAAACACGGCCTGACATAAACTGGAGCATGTTTAGTTGTATTTATTTTTCCGGACTTCAAGCCACAATGAGGGACATTCGTTGAGACACTTCTATAAAATGGCCCCTCTTTGCATAGTGGACATACCTATCCTCTCCCCCCTGTGTACCCCCTCCCCAAAATAAATGTTGCATTTTAGACCCTCAAGTCTTTCTTTAACTTCAAACAACATGGATTCGGGGGTAGGAGGATTTACGGCGTTTAAATAGAATGAAATAATAAATGAATGAAATTGCTGATAAAAGCACTAGTTTTAGACAGGTGTGTCAACTACGTTTGCCACAAGTGATCTCGTTACCATCAAATGATCTCTTAATCATGAACTGACAAGTTGCAATTCAGGAGTGAGGTAATGAGTTACAGTTTTTATTCTTAAAGGAAATTCAACGATCCCACTTACACTTTTTAATTCCAACGAACTTTCGTTTGTACTGATGTTGCCTGTTTTTAGTTCTGCAGCTTGAACCTCATCATCATAGATTGTAGAGTCATCCTTACCATTGTCCATCTGATTTGAACCATCGCTGAAAAACGCACTATCCTTTTTTGCTGGAACTGACTCGTGAGTGATTTTTGCGAAATGACTCAACTCGAGAGGAATGTCGGCGGTTGACAATTCACTTTGTGAATCAAAAGCAAGTTCGGGTGCGTGCAATCCACAAACAGTTCTGGATTTCACTTCTGCTGGGCTGAATTCATGTTCAAAATCAGAAAAAATTTCTTCTTTTTCGAAAATTTCAGTTACTTCGGTCACACTTTGAAACTTCTCTGCTCTCTCGGGTTCAAGCGCACTTACGTCTTCCCATTCTAAAGTGAACTCATGAACTACACTGCTTGGCTTGTCAACTTCAGCGGGGATATCATTCAAGGTTTCACTGGCGCTTTCAAACACCACTGTATCGTCAGACTCGAGTTCGATCACATCAATTAATTCAGAAAGGACGGCCTGGATTGTTTCTGCTGCCGAAGCAATGTCCTCCCCCTTAGTGACGCTTTCCAGTTCACTAACACTGCTGTTTCTTACATCTGCCGTCAAATCTTGAGCTGTAACGTTCACAATTTCTTCTTCTAAGGGTATCGCAGTGACCCCACCTACACTTTCCAACTCGATGGCAAAGTCAGGAAACGACTTACAAACAGCGCTGTTTTTCTCTTCTGCTGCACTGAATTCATGTGCAACACAAGAAACAACTTCTTCTTGATAATTGCTTTCAGTGACTGCATTAACACTTTCAGCCTCGGATGCAGTTTGTGGTTCAAAAACACCGACGGTTTCCCATTCTAATGTGCACTCGTGAGCTGTGCCGTTGAGCTTGTCGTCTTCAACAGAGAGGTCATTCAAGTTTTCATTAAAGCTTTTGAGCACGACTGGAACCCCCTGAGTCTCGAGCTTAACCACATCATCAACTAAACTATTGATCACTCCCTGTGCTATCTGTGCATCGGATGCATTTTCTGGTTGATTCGCACCCTCATCATCCCACTCTAACATGAACTCTAGTGTTGTGGCGTTAAACTTGTCACCTTCAAGATGGAGGACATTCAAAGTTTCTCTGACGACTGGAGCCTTTACCTCAACGGTCGCAGTCACATTATCAATTAACTCATTGACAATCTCCTGGATGATCTCTGCCTCGGATGCAGCTTCTGGATTCATTGCACTATCATTATCGCACTCTAACATGAACTCCAGTGTTGTGCCGTTAAACTTGTCACCTTCAAGATGGAGGGCATTTGAAGTTTCTCTGACGATTGGAGCCTTTGCCTCAACGGTCGCAGTCACATCAACTAACTCATTGACAATATCCTGGATGATCTCTGCGTCGGATGCAGCTTCTGGATAATTAATTGCACTTTCATTATCCAGCTCTAACATGAAATCTAGCGTTGTGGCGTTAAACTTGTCTCCTTCAAGGTGGAGGGCATTCAAAGTTTCTCTGACGACTAGAGCTTTTGCCTCAACGGTCGCAGTCACATTATCAATTAACTCATTGACAACCTTCTGGATGATCTCTGCCTCGGATGCAGCTTCTGGATAATTAATTGCACTTTCATTATCCAACTCTAACATGCACTCGTGCGTTGTGCCGTTTAACCTGTCACCTTCAAGGTGGAGGGCATTCAAAGTTTCTCTGACGATTGGAGCCTTTGCCTCAACGGTCGCACTCACATTATCAATTAACTCATTGACAACATCCTGGATGATCTCTGCCTCGGATGCAGCTTTTGGATAATCAATTGCACGTACATTATCCCACTCTAACATGCACTCGTGCGCTGTGCCGTTTAACTTGTCACCTTCAAGGTGGAGGGCATTCAAAGTTTCTCTGACGACTGGAGCCTTTGCCTCAACGGTCGCAGTCACATTATCAATTAACTCATTGACAACCTCCTGGATTATCTCTGCCTCGGATGCAGCTTCTGGATTAATTGCACTATCATTATCGCAGTCTAACATGAACTCGAGCGTTGTGCCGTTAAACTTGTCACCTTCAAGATGGAGGGCATTTGAAGTTTCTCTGACGACTGGAGCCTTTGACTCAACGGTCGCAGTCATATCAACTAACTCATTGACAACATCCTGGATGATCTTTGCCTCGGATGCAACTTTTGGATAATTAATTGCACTTTCATTATTCAGCTCTAACATACACTCGTGCGCTGTGCCGTTTAATTTGTCACCTTCAAGATGGAGGGCATTCAAAGTTTCCCTGACGACTGGAGCCTTTGCCTCAACAGTCGCAGTCACATTATCAATTAACTCATTGACAACCTCCTGGATGATCTCTGCCTCGGATGCAGCTTCTGGATTAATTGAACTATCATTACTCCACTCTAACATGCACTCGTGCGCTTTGTCGTTAAGCTTGTCACCTTCCAGATGGATGCCATCCAAAATTTCTTTGACGACTGGAACCTTTCCCTCAACGGCCGCAATCACATTATCAATTAACTCATTGACAATCTCCCGGACTATCTGAGCCTCGGATAAATTGTCTCCAATAGCCAAGACTCCTTCTGAGTTAGAAACATGAAGCGCAGTAGCTTGGACGGTTTCCACATCGGCGCACGCCTTAAAAACAGCGTCACACTCTGGCGCCAACCTGTCAGTGTTGACAGTAACACTGCTTGCAGATGCTTGAATAGGAAGCTGTGAATTTAAAAGTGAAGAGTCACGTAAGTTTCAACGGCGGAGAGTGCTGATTTTTCTTTGAAAACAAGGATCATGTGACCCGTGAAAGAATGGTCCCGACTGCAGTTCTCAGGTGTGACCTCTGATCCCTTTTTTCGACGTATTTCACTTCCATGTAGCATTTAGTAGTATTTAATACCCGTAAAACAGTGTACTGATATATGAAGGGAGGGGGGTGGAGGGGATGGGGAAGGCTATTGGGCTCAGCGTTGTCCGTCAGGCTCCAGTTGTTCAAACGTCAGATAGCGCTATCCATCGGATAAATCACTATCCAGTGGATAAGTATTAGGAAAACCGATTGCACTATCCACTGGATAGCGTTATCCACCTTCTGAACAACTAGGCCTAGATGATGACTAGTTTACTCTTGAAGAAATTCATTAGGCTAGAAATTTCAAATATCTATTCAAATGTTCTTAAAGCATAGCCCAAAAAAGTTGAGCAGGAAAGCGAAAACTTCAAGAGAACTCTTGTAAAAAAAAGAAAAAGGGAAATAAAATGTTGTTGCCGTTGAGATGGATCAACGAAAGCATACGTATTTAAAGGACGAAAACTCCTACCATGACTAGGCATAAGGGAGCATACCAGCTCCTGTATGGACGCAAATGATTTCCATCCCCAACCATGCGGGAGGGGTGACTCGAAAGAGTGACTTTGCGCGTTTGTCGAAATTACCACCTTCAGAAGCCTATTTTGGGCTACTGACACCTGTGACGTTTTTAGTTTTAATAAAGATTGCCAGTCATTGAAACTGTCAGCATAATTAGGATTTTTCATCTGTGCTATGCTTTAAGAACATTTGAACAGATGACTAGTTTAAGCGACTTATTTTTAAGTAGCGGCCCTTTACCCTTTGACATTTTAAAGCAATTGATTGCATTGTACTTGATTTATGTCGTAAGGAGCAAATTATTAGCCCTCAATTACTTTCCTACTTACCTATTGTGCCGCTTTATTAAATTAGTTGCAACGTTACCTTCACTTAGTGGTAACAGGACCTTTATACCGCTAATAGCAACAAAGAAAGGACTGAGAGGACAATCCTTTTTTCGAGCCAATCATCCTGTCTCCTTGCACGTTATCTTCGTTCCTGAAGGCCCTGTTTGCCCGTCCACTTGACAAGTGTAACGCGGCCTTTAGGAAAGAGGTTTTTCGCATATGCACAGCAGAGACGGTAGTTATAAAAGGTAGGGGACTGTAAATCTAACAGTTATTTTTACATTAAAACATTTTTATTACCGTCTGTTGTGCTTGATCTGTCTTTCGACTTATATTAAGATTACTATTCTTGATCCTAAAAACAAGAAATAAAATAAATAAATAAACGAGTATTTTTACACAGTCATAAACATTCGTAATAACATTCTCACTTTCGATACTATTTTAGTGATTGAAGCTTTATCGAGAAAAGGAATCTTTAAGTGTTAGGAGTCGCTAGGAAGAACTTTGTTGCTGAAATTTTACTATTTTTGCTCAGTTTTGCATTTTGTCGGGCAACCAACAAAAACACACTAAGAACTGGAATTACATTTTTTTTCAAAGTTTTACATTTTTTTAACGTGTGCTGTCCTTATATTAACAAAACAAAAACGAAAAGGGCGAAAAAGAGAAAAACCATTCCATAAGCTTGATAGCAATTATAAACTCCTTAACTGTACTAACTATAAAAGAAAACAGTATAATAGATTTCTGAATATTGGTTCCCTGTAAAATTCAAGTAAAAAACTTGCATTTTGGTAAGCTCGTTCGCGTTCCTTTCTCGTTATCATGCCAATCGACTGTCAAAAAGTTTTTCCCCAAGTGCGTCTCAGAAAAGATCATAAAGCTAATCAACACGAAAAGGCCTTTTAGGTGTTTATCAACAAGCCTGGTATAATTAAAAATTTATCTAAGTCCACTTTTAAACTAAATAGCAAAGAGGAGAAAGACTTCAATTTGACTAGACTTCACTTCACTTTGGTGTTTGAACTTAATCTCGTATGTTGCGCACGAACGTACTTTTCTTTCGCTGAAATATACAATAAAAATTCAAAACTACCTTTGTTGAGGTATCACTTTAAGTGCTGTAGGCACCCTTGCACGAAAGCAAAAATTCCACAGCCTGTTGGCTGCGATATAGCCAACCCAAAAAGAAGCGAAAACCATCTTGCTAATTGGTAAGAAAGTTTAAAGTTTCCATTGTCTACGTCACAATTATTAGTACGTCAATTATGGAATTTAGAATGCTGCGCGCGCGAATCCTTTGTTTTCGTCATCACAAAACGACATCATTCTCGTAAACCCATTTGAAAACAACGATTTTGTCCGTTATCGAGATTTAGCAAACACAAGTTTCCAAAGGCCGGGACTTATGGCATACCTTTCCTTGACGATGCTGAACTCATACCGTACAGTATTTTTAAAGTTGTATAGAGCCTTCTCATGACGTCACTTCCGCCGCCATGTTGTTGTTCAAAACCATAAAACGGCGGCCATGTTGCGTTTCCAAACCAGACCGCTTTGCGATTTATTTTATTTACTTATATAAACGATTTCTTTTGTCGCCACAAATTTCCATAGCTAGGCTGGTCACGTGAGTTAAAACGCTCTTTAGTTTTTTGTTAGATTATTCTAGCACACTTTCTGGGGTAATTTTCATTTTGAGAGTTTCATGATATTTAATGCACTGAACACAGCTCGCATAATTTCCGTTTTTACTTACTCAAAAATAAACACTCTCAAAAGGACTTTCCACTTACTTACCTCCGCTGTGTGCGTCCATGTTGTGATGTGAACTTCAGGATCAGTCCAAAAAGACTTCCGACAACGCCAGGAGTCGAGGCACATCTTCAAAACACTTTACTAGCCTAGGCCTAGGATCAACCGCAATTTTTCAAGCACTTGTACACGGTGATCTCTAACCGCGCGCGCGTACGCATCTCGACGCGCTCGTGCTAAATAGCTATTTGTATACGCTGCAAATATCAACGAACTTTATTTTTGAACATGATCCCTGAAGAAAACAGTATTACGAGATTGTTGGTAATCTAACAGGAAAATATAGCGTCGTAACTAAAAATCTTCTTTGCACCAGCTTTAGTGCGGTTTGTTCTACGGCTAAGGGTTGATTTCCACTGTCGCGTAATTTTTCCATGCGAACGCACGTAGATTTTACGCGCGCAAATAAAATAGAGGCAATGAATGAAAGGCCACAAGTAAACGTAAAAGTTGAACCTCGCTCAACTTTTACGTTTACGCGTGGCCTTTCATACATTGCCTCTATTTCATTTGCACGCGTTAATTTTACGTGCCTTCGCACGGAAAAATTACGCCACATTGGAAATAAAACCCTAAAATAGCGGCTTACATGCACAGTTATCGCACTGAGATAAAACGCAACTGCACAACTATTATAACTTAGAAAGGCAACGGTAATTTATTTTTCGCTCTTACGTAACCTGTGCGTTATGGCTACAAGCTCGAGCTGACGGAAAACCTAATACTCCAGCTATCGTACTTTCTTGATCGAACTTTCCCCCTCTCCCCCAGGGACTCTATTTTTTAGGGGAAGAGAACGGTGCGTTCGTATTGGGGGCTTATTGGAGTTTTAAATTTTGGAAATTGATAACTGTCTTTATTCATAGATCTTGTTTAACAGTTTTATCGTAAATGAGGTCTATCTTGGCATTTTGAAGGTAATATAAGGTAATATAGGAAGGTGAATGTTGGAACCATTTGTTTATTTTAATGTCAGGAAAGCTGGGGGGGTCATGACATAGAGTACTTTCACAAAGCGACTAACAAAAATGAGCAAACTCTGTGTAGTTTAACGTATTCATCGACCATGGAGAACAAAACATGCACCAAGTGGTCGCTTATAAGAAGGTAAAAATAATGGAAAATTTCAAAACTGCAATGCAAAAAATTGGTCGCGTTCGCTTACGAGGAGTGCAACTGTAGTGATTTGACTGGAAAAGAATTTGTGTTTTAGAGCGATGGGACTACGAACGCTAACGGCGCACTTTTCTAGGCGGGCGCATGCTTCTCCGGGAAAATTTTTGAGATTGAAGTTCTCTAAGATGCAATCTAGTGCATTCTGGACGCTTAAATTTAGCAAATGCCTGGATTCCATACTGAACATGTAATGCTGAAATAGTTAATAAAACACAAAAAGGGGGTCCGGGCCCCCCTCGGCTTACCCCTAAATCTGCCCTTGAAAACGCTCTATTTTACACGAATGCCTCAGTGGTAAAAACACTTACAGCCAAAGATCTTTAGCTGCGCAAGATAAAGCTAACCTATGGTCAAATTATTCTAGGTATTTTATAGCTATTTTCATTTTCTCAAGGAACTGGAGTCGTTCTGTCGAATGCCTGGCTTTAAGATTTTCCACTGTCGATGTTATTTTAGTCGCAAAATCTTCTACAGCTTGATTCATTTCCTTTCTTGTGTTGTGCCTTATATCACCTAGGAAACCAAACAAAAACAAGAACCAGTAAATTCTTATTGTCGTCATACTTACCATTCAACGAAATATACGCATATTAATACATAACATTTCGAATGTTTCTGAGTATAAATAAAAACAAATTTTTCCGGTTTCGATAGGTATTAAGTACAATTGACGTCATTTGTACTATATCAGCTACAGGAAAAGGGACTGCAGAAGAAGGGGGTAGCTTAGCTTAACAGTGATATCAAACACCAATCATAAAACGTGGGACGAGTATATTGTGAGCTTGTCCTTCGGCTCCTACTTCCGATTCCGAAAATCTGGTTTTAATTAGATCGGAACAGACGAAGTCATGAGCAGAGTCGGGAGATTCCGTCTGCTTATAACCTTGCTTAAGACTCCAGGTATTTATTTTCATTAGGTCATAAGCGCTTTCACGACTCCGCTTATGACTCCGTCGCTATTAATCCAGCATTAAAACGCTTGAAACATCAGCATCGGCTTCGGCTGTTTCCGGCCACCAGTTCGCCAACGAAGTCATGATCTTAACATTACAGGGAGGATCTTGCAAATGCGATGTCAGGCCGAGTGTGTGAGTTAACATCCCCACCGAAAGGGTCAAATCAGGATCAGTGATGATGTTGATGAAGGCGTCTCCAACCTGATTGGTACGTACGATTCAAACGGACGTTTCCTTCACTGACTTACCCTCTATAAGAACCATTCGTCGCGTTTTTAACTTTTTTGCTAATTCCCATATCGCGCCAACCACAATAAACACTGGTAGCAACACAGAAGAGGTGACCATCAGAGATTTGTATGAGGAGCTTTTACTGTCAACCAAGCCAGTTGATCTCTCAACAGCCAGAGGTATGGACGACTCCTACAAATGAAGAGAATACTTGCGTTATTCTTTGTTATATATTCTAGTATAATCGTTCCAGCAAGCCCTCTGTCTTACCCTTTTAAAAAACTATTTAATAGGGGTAACACAGTTTTTGGTTAACCTCAAAGTTGATATCTTGGCCCACAAATAAGGACAGAGGCAACTATTCCGAATTAGGCGTTTGCAGAACTTAATAATCACGTGCTTAGATATCAATTAGCAACTACTCACTGGCGGAGCCATCCTGCGTCTATTCAGTTCACAAAGCTTTGAGTGCATTCGGGTATCCTGGGTTAATTCAAACTTCTTTAAGGTCTTCCAGTCCAGTCATTTTGGTTAGTTTTCAACAGAATGATTAAACTAGGAATCACTCGCTTGATCTCACTCAACGCTTTGTGAACCGAATGAACGTTTGGATGGCATGCCATTCAGCGAACCGTTGTTGAGTGGTATTCAAGCACGTGACCAAGTTTTGCAAGGGGCTTCTAAACATAACTAGTAAGAATTCCTCCTGTTCGGAAATTTCGACGAGAAGGCAGCGTGGCTGAGCTGTTAGCCATGCTCTGGAATGCAAGCCCTGACTGCTAGCTGGATTTGTTATCTTCGGGTAGTCCCGAGTTCGTCTCCTCAGCCGCGCTTGTAAATAGCCAGCTGTTTTGAGTTTGGCCGGCTGGGGTTCTTAACCTTTTATGTTCAACTCAAATATTCATTTCTGTCCCATTGTGGGCAGCATACAATGACAAATACTGGGTCAAAAGTAATTGTGCTACTTCTGCTATTAAATCATTATTGGCTAATAGCTTGTCTATATAAAAGCATCTCCGAGGAGTTTAACTTGCGAAAACCGAGAACACGTCCCAGTCGTCCCAGAGCGGAACATTATCCAAAAACCTTATCCAAACGTTTTTTCATTTTTTGAGGAATTTTTGAGCACTATTTTAATATTTCAACTCAGGCCTTTTTGAGGCACGTTTTGGCATTGTTTTCAACCCTCTTTAAGTATTTTACCCGCGCAATCGGGAAAGGCGAATAGGCAATTAATAGTTAGAAGAGGAGACTGGTTATGGTAGCCGACAAACATCTAAGTTGAAAACAACGGTGCTGTAGTTTTTACTGGAAGCTCCCTGGCCGTGCACAATCCTTTGTTTTTTGAGCACGAATTGGCCTGGACAAATAATGACTGAAAAAATTACTGCGCTCTTTCTGCGGTCAGGTCCAAAAAGCTAACAAAAACATGTAACAAATTAAAGAGTCTAACGGGTTTCATAACCATCCAATTCCTCTTCTATGGGCAATACAAACAGGCATGTAGTCTTTTTTCTTACCTCCACGAAGTCAACGTGTTTTTCCACCGTCTGAAATATTTTCTTACGATGACTTTGCACATAACGTCCAAAACACTGCATAAGTTTTCTTGATTGCCCCCCTAGAACCACTCCATATGCTGTGGAATAGTCGTAGATATCTATGATCCGAAGCGAAGGCTTTTCAAACAAGTCCTTTCTACTCCCCAGCACATAAGTGTCTATTAACGCTCCTGTGACGTCACCTTTCACTAGGGCTTCGGAGATTTCGGTGTAGGTGGTAAACTGTTTGTCTTAAAGAGGAAACATAACATACCGTTGCAATGAGAAAACACCAAAAACGCAGTCCGGCAAATATCAGTCTAATATTGATCAAGAATCAAGAAAAATCATAAAGTGATTTTAAATGTCAAGCGCGATGATTCTATTTGAAATCACAAGCATGATTCAGACCAAAATTGAAAATGTTTAGTTCCTTACAAAAAAGATTTGTTTTTGGATATGTTACCTTTAGGACAATTTTCATTGGCTGGGAAAAAAGATGCGAAAAAAATTTTTTGGGAATAAACACAAATATTGCACGGAAAAAACTGAGACAATATCAACTAAATTGTCACCTTGGATTTCCCCCTGGAGAGTTTTTCTATCCTTGGATAGTAAACTATCATTTTCTATCTTCACTGCATAATTTATACCATTCCACAAAGTGTTTTTTCTTTTACACTCGTCAGACCGGTTGACAAAATGGCTATTACTGACATCGGCAGGCAATTTCTCGTACTTTTTTTCCCGTTTTGGCAGAATAATGTTTGTACTTACCAGGATTAAATTTCGCATTTCGTCTAAGTCCAAAACGATATTCAAATGAATCTTGAATCGCAGCAGTCTTTGAGGAAAGCGAAAAATAACCGTGTTGTTACCATAAAATCCGCACGCACAGTAAATCGTCGCGTACTAGTGTAATTACTGAAACTTCATATTCTAGCATTTAAGAGCAGATGAAAAACTGCGGAAATTTCTTTACGTTACAGCAAGGAGCCCAAAAGTGTGAGTTCTTTAATTAACTCACATTCTTTCATGCAGACATTAACCAATCAGAAGTCGAGGACAGTTTCCAGTTGGCTTCTGATTGGATTAAATCTGTAAAAAAGAATGTGAATAAATCAAAAGCGGTCAAACTTTTGGGCACCTTGCTGTAATACTCATAGGCTATGTTGAAATATACAGTGTGAACACCAACAACGGAGAACTGGAACTAGGCCGGTCACAATCGAAAGTCGCGACGGAGCTGTTAGCCGAGAGGGTTTCGTGTACTAAATACCAGTCCTCACTCCTACAATACAATGGAGCGTTTTCACTCACGTGGCCAGCATCTATGCAAAGTTATTGGAACAAAAGAAAGCGTTTACAAAAGAAAAGAGTTCAATTCCCACAGGATTGGTTTGGGACACCAACATGGCCGCCGTTCATTGTTTTGGGAAACCAATATGGCCGCCGTGACGTCATGTGAAAACACTCTATACAATACAATACAAAACAATGCTTTATTTAAAGTGACGTACACTCTTAGCTACATGGATTAGTTAAAAAAAAAACTTTACCAGCCAATTTACAGGTATGCCACTGTAAATAAACTAGTATAGAGATAAATATTATTAAAACAATATAAAAGCTATTACAGTTAAAATTAAGTTAACACATAGAATATTATTAAAAATTACTCACAAAATTAAATAAAAAGACGGTTTGTCGATATTAAAATAATGACTCGTTTTCTAACAGTTTTCTGAACGTTGGAAAATCGGACGACGCTCTTACGACATTAGACAAGTTGTTCCAGATCGTGGCAGCCTGATACCGCCAGGAATTGAGTCCAAATTAAAGCATGTTGTGTTGACCTTTGGCACTCATAAAAGCACCAAAGTGTGAAATGGAACTTATGCGATATGCAACGTTCCACTTTAGAGATCGGCGTCGCGCAGCTTTGTTCCGTTACAGAAATCGGTTGTGTGAACAGAGGCTCTAATTGGTTTGGTTTTCGTGCCAGCGAAAGAGGTATCCGGTATTGCGTGAAGATAGCCTTTACTGATGGCGTTGCTAGGTTACGACGGCTATGTGACAAGATGCGCCTGTACATTACATCTGTGACCGTTTAAGTAGTATAGTGGGGACCGCTTACTTCGTTTTTTGCGGTGGAATAAATTAACATCATGGAGGCAAAGAAAGGAGAAGGGGTTAAGTTGTTTGTTCCCTTTGCTTCTTAGGCTAACAATAGGCTGGAAGACTCGGTTTGATTTACCTTACTCCCATAGAGTTTAAAATCGGCATCCAGTGATTGTGATACCAGAGATAGCGTTACTATAGCGACGAAACTTCCTTGAATAATAAGACCTGTTATTGTCCAAATACCGGTTAAAACTCGAGCCACTGGAGTTACGGCGAATTTATCTCCATATCTGCAAATATAAAGACAGAAATAACTGATTGAATAAATGATTAACAAACATATTTAGCAAAAAATAAGCTCCAAAGACCGGAACACTATATAGATCAACTAATGAAGTCCAGCCAAAAATCAAAACAATGAATGTATGTCGATTATTTTTCTGGACTTGTTTATCAACTTCAGGCCCGTTCGAAGGGAGTGAGAGGGATTGGTAGTCTGTTCCAGGCTCCAAGAAATTTATGAGCAGAGAACTTAGGGGAAAGACGCACGAGGGCCGGGGAGGGAGGTGACAGACGCAGTCAAACGGAGTCAGGACGCAGTCTTTCCTTTTCCCGCCACCACCTCTTCCTCAGACCCCACGCGTCGTATTTTCAAGTAGTCCCTGACCCAGGTTAAGGGTAAGGGATGACAGAGAAGGACGAATTTCGTTTACTGAAGCTCAATTCAGCGATTAAACAAAGAGGGAGAAAGAAGAAAAAGCCGGATTTAATTGACCTTCTGTTCATGAAAAGGAGCCATGCTTGCCTTGTATGAAGGTTTGATTGATGTTATTTAGTACTGTGCTTGATCACTGCATATGCAGTGTGAAATTCATGATTAATAATGCCGTTGATTTTTTAATTTGTTTTTGAAGGAAAAAATAGGTGGGGACAAAGTTTTATAATTTAGAGAAGGGTTTCACAATTTTCTTACGCAATAAAGGATTCATGATTTATGAATTCTCCTATCTCTATCCATTCAAGACCCTGAAAATACTGAGTAGGATATGCCAGCGCGCCATAAGTGAGAATGAACTATAACTGAATTTCTACTGGAACAAACCTAGACTTCCCCCAGGTGGACCTGTTTTAAAGGGAGCGGAGCGAACTTTTAAGGTCGCGAAGCGGCAGAGCGAGCGACGAAGTCGCGAGAGGTTCCGCGGCACAGCAAATCGGACGAAGGACTTTTTTTGAAAGTCTAGAACAAACCCTGAAAAGTTTATCACTTACCCAACCGTAGTCATGGTAACAAACGCCCACCAGAATCCCTCCATCGGACCTCTTATTATAGAGCGTGGAAATTGACTTTGATTTGCTTTGCTGTCCTAAAAAACAATGGAATGTGAACAGAAGAGTTTATTTTGAGGAGTTTCTAAGGGCAAGGTCAAACACACCACTGTGACAAATGAGCTAACGCCAATGAGCAAAGTCTTTTGGTCTCTCTCATTGGCAGCTCCGTTTGTATCCTAGTTTGTGCGAAGCTTGGGTTCGGCTCATAGAGAAGGTAATTTGCATTATTATTGTGGAGAGAAGATTGTGGGAAAGTTTGTATTGAATGGGGCATTCAGGGAACCGAGCGAGCAATATTAGCATTGACTAGTTTTACAATATACCTTTTTATTTGTTCTTAAAGTAAGGGGTCTATCTATAGTTATAAACGATTTTTCGCTGAGGAAACATTACCCCACCTAGGTTTCCTGAAAATCAAACAAATAGCTTTGCGAAAATTTACCAGACACAGGTGTTATCTAAGATTTACCTAAGCGTTGTAAGTTGAGTGGTGCAACAGAAACCGCTCAATGCGCGCTTGTGTCTACTGCGCGCGTCTTGTTTCGGAAGAAGAACTTGTTATCTCCGGAACATTACTTACCAAAATCCACATAAGAAATCCAGCTATCAAAGAGGTAACAAACACAATCAAAACAGCTGGCCAGCAGTTTATTAGTGTCTTATTCAGCGCTGCAGAGGGAGCAAATCCCCCTGTGTTGACGATATAAGCCACGCCTGGGGTCTGTATCAGCGGCCAATAACCAAAATCTACACCGAATCTAAGAAGTAAATTAGACTCATTACAAAGGTATCGCCATAAGAGAGAGGGGCATTAGACTATATATATCGAGTGAAGAAGTTAAAAGAGTAATTTTACTTTTACCTAACTTTATCGATCTGGAGTTCAACAAGAGAAAGGAGAAGGGTTATGACTAGCATGTTCACAGACCCTCCATTTTGTCTTAAGAGATCGTTGAGGCCGCGTAGGAGAACAAAACCCGCGGTGGATTTATTGACTTTAAGTGCAGTAGGGTGGGGGTGGGGAAATTACACTTGTCTAATTTTTTTTTTTTCGCACTCAGCTCTTAGTCTTACGCTCTGTCCACGCTATCGCGCTCTCGTTTTTCTCGCCTGCTCGCCGATTTTCGAATAGAAAAAGAGAACAACGTCTGTTTGCAGGCTAGGTTAAGACGGAGTGGTCCCAGACCGTCTGAAACCCAAATTTCAAAATTAACAAACTCTTAATGACTTTGTTTCCCTTGAATCTCACAAACTTTTTTCCCTACGGACCAGCCGTAAAGTAATTTGTCATGAAGCCCTTGCAGGTTAAAAAACTTCTATGTGTTTGCATTTCTGACAGCAAATCTCAAGAAGCTGTAAACATTTGCGCATAATCCTCTGACGTCATGGATTTGGAATGTTTCCCGCTCAGTAACGTTCGGTGGGAAACAGATCATTTCCCTTGCCTCAGCAACTGAGAATTCTCCAAAAGCATGTGAGTAAATTATTTAAATATAATTTGCATACTTGACTTGACCAGTGAAACCTGGAATGGGAAAACTAAAGTCCGTTTTATGCGAGATGCTCTCTCTCAGAGCTGAATCACTGGACTTCTGTGACGGCTGATCATTTCCATCCATTTTAAAGTCCACCAGTGACTGTCCATGGCTTTTACATGTTTCACAACACGTGACAACCATGTCATGTATGATACCAGGAAGTATTCCACCGGGATGGGGTGCGTCCTCATTGCTCATGTTGCTGTTACTGTCGACGTAGGGCGGAAACATGCGCCGGTTTGTATAAAGGTGCTTTTGGCAGCGGCACGTGTCTTGGAAAAACGTTATTTGCAATTATATTAGTTGATAAAACAATGGCTCACACAAAACCCTTTAACTTTTTCTTTTTTCTTTTTTTTTTTTTTTGAGAAAAGAGCGGGGTCGAGCTGGTTAGAGAAATCCGTAAGTCCTGCTTAAATTACCAGGTTGGGATTCCTGCTTTTGTTATTTATGATTTAAACAGTTCGAAGAATCTTTTCTTGCGTTAAAATCCTGATGGCAGGTCACATTAGCAATAAACTTTGGCAAGCTTATATATTCAAGAATGTTTGCTTCTATTTCTGTTTCTGTCGAGATTCATTCAGCCTCACTTGTAGATTAAACTTTGTAAAGGAGCCGCTTAAACTATGCAAGGAATGAAAAGTATTGAAAATATTACGTCGTTGATGTCTATAAAGAGAAGTTTATTGCTTTCAGGATGTCTTGCAAAGAACGCTTAGCATCGCTTAACGCGTAGCCTCTTCAGTGTAAGGGACTCGCTTCAGTTTGCCTTAGAAAATTCTCTCTTCTGGTCCCGCAAGGTAGTGAAAATTAAATGAACAGTAGTAAGAAGGACAGCAAGATCGACCGAGAAACGGGAAAGCGTTATATGGGGCAATTTGGTTCGTTATAACGTCATACTCAAACCCTTCCCCCACACACCTTTATTAGGGAGATTTGGCAAAGACAATGCAAAGACAAATGAGATCACGAAAGCGCGGAAATAACTGAGAGCGCTTTTCGGCGCTCAGTTTGCACCTTTGGCATTGGGTCAAACCAGGATTTATTTCCACCCGCGCCGTTGTCGCTACAGTCGCGTTGACTTTGCAAAATCTGCCTATTCTAAGATATGTGAAGAATACCGCTCTTAAACCAGGCTGGAGTCTTGATAATCAGAGGATTCGTAATACCGTCGAGTCAGTGAATACTGCTCGTTATACTCGGTTTCCACTGAAATAATTGTTTTTAATTCAAACCTACTGACCTACAAAGGACTAACCTCCATAAGTCATGCTTTCAGGACCATTTCCATTTAGGGTAAACGCTGAAACCCATATACTGTAGGTACCATACATTTCCAGTTTTTCCAGCAAAACCTTGTTGGTATTAGAGTCAACACTGAACTCCTTTACTGGTTTACCCGTCGTAATTTCGTCCCCAGTCTTCGTCAGTCGATAGCGTACTCGGTATCCGGACAAGACGCCAAACTCATTTGAAGGAGGCAATGGCAGCCATTTCACAACAATTGAATGAGTTGTACCCCAGTCTTCAGCCGCCAGTCCTGGCGGAGCAATGGTGGGAACTAAAACACAATATCCAAATGCAGAATGTTGATAAGGCGTTTTGTTAAGAAATTGCTTTACGACTGCATAAAAAAAAAGAACTCGAGAACGTGTGAGATCTGTGTAGGAAATTAGACTTTGCCCAGTGATGTCCTATTCAAAGAGCTGACCGCACTACATGTTAGGGCTGCTTTCTCCCCATTTTAAGATAGCTGATTATATTATGTCATGTACCCCAACTTGTCCACCTGATGATCTCATCATTTCCGATGACATCAACCCTTCGAGCATTGTGATGTCATCTCCAAACCTTTACCCTGGCGAAGTATTTCCAGAGTGTGTTTCTTCTTCAATCAGAGCACAGATTCAAACAGCCACACTGTTAACGTTATATAGTAAAATCCAACTAGTGGTCTATTATCAATGCAGCGTTCTGATTGGTTGAGCTACTACTAGGCTATATGTTAAAATTCTAAAGTAGCCTTCAGCAATTGCGTTTTGTTGGCGGCAAAAATAATTACGATTAAAAAATCTAGTTTTAACTAGAAACACAAAAACTCGATAGTTCTGACCACCTACTTGATTTTACAAAACAATTACCTTTTGAACCCACTCTGAATCAATAGCCCATTTGTCCTTCGGTCTCATTAAGATGATTGACTCAGCGAAAATTCGCAAACGTCGAGGAATAATTGTTAAGTAATCGGTAGATTTTTTTGTTTTGTTATGTTCATCACAGCGCACAGTTGTCAAGAGATTATTCCTGAATGAGAAAGTTATACTGATTAAACGATTATCCTCCTACCTCCCATATCAGTAGCTGCGAGTAAATGATAAGCCGGACCATCTCCTTTTATAGTAAAAGCTTGAACGTACACGTCATAGAAAGTGAACTTTGAAAGTGACGTCAAAGTGGCATATGATGCATCGTGGGAAACGGTGACGCCACGGGTAGTGAAGTTATTAGTGCTGTTGTAGGATATCCTATATCCAATTATTACGCCGCTGCGAAAATCGAGAGGAACTGGTGACCAGTGTACTTTTATCGCTGTCTTGCCCAGTGTTGTAGCGGTTATATCAGAAGGAGGAAGATCTGGAGCTAAAACATATAGAAACGAACGTGCTAAATGCAGACTTCATTTAATAAACAAGGAAATTCCTTTTACTTCCGATTCATACAATGAAGAAATTTTTTTATTATTTATTTGTTATCTTTGTTTATCGATAAAATGTGCTGTTGATAAAAGGCCACAGCTGTCGCAAGGAAGCCCTGCAAGAGTGTGAGTGCATGTTTCAACATCGCCCAGACATGCACGTTAATTACAGACCTTCTTCTCCAAGATCCATTTATTTGGCCTTAATAAATAACTCAACATTACATTACCGTGATGTAAGTTATTTTTGTACAGCCTACGAAGCATTGCATGACAAGTCCAAACACTTTAAAGACACAAGTCATTCTATCGATTGGACCAGTGTAAAGAGGCCATTAGTAATCGCGAGCGACGACCCACAATGATACGAGCTCCCTAGCCAAATTACAGAGCGAATTTGCAGCTTCATCATGGAAACGAGGCTGCAGATACCAGTGAAGATCAATAAAATAGAAATCCGGAAGGGTTTTGAAAGCTTTGGCCTAACTTTTTGAATTTTGTGGATGTATGATCAATTTTGTTCTGCATGAAAAATCAGTGCACGTTAGTTTTATGACCCTTCTCCTTCGTGAACCAGCCAATGAAATTGTTTGCCAAAAGGAGTAGAGAAGCTGGAAGTATACGGTGTCTTTCGCACGTTGAATTTGTTCACAAGTATAAAAACAAACGACCTACTTCCTTCATCTGTAAATAAATGAATCATTGGACTCTTTACTCCTTCCCATCTCGTCAGTACCACCACATATATGCTGTAATTAGTATATTTGTACAAATCATTCAGCTCAGCATGCGTGGTGTGGGCATCCACTGTAGCGTTCATTTGTACTGAAGGCCTGTTAGTGTTGATTGGAGTGTAATAAACCCTGTATCCTCGGTGAAGTCCCCGGATGTTTGTGTCATCGGGTGAAATTGGTTGCCAAGCAACATGAATAGAAGTGGAGCTTGTGTTGTACCCGCTGATGTTAGCAGGAGCGACGAGAGGAACTGGACAGGAAAAAAAACGGTAAGAATGAAGTAAGACAAATTTGAGCTGTGAATTCCCATTTAAAAGCGGACGAAATGCAGTTACAGCTTGTCGGGATTTTAAACAAAGGAAGATACGCTAGTTGGGCCCCCACGACCACGCTTCTATTAAGGAGTTCCTGTGTATGGTCGAGATTCTAATCACGACAAAGAATCCTTAAGTCTCCTCCTGCGGATTCGACTCATACGGGCAAACCGCTCCTCATGAATTAGAAATGAAAATCATTCCATGCCTTCCAAACGACTAGACTTTTGCGTGGCTCAGATGACATCGTAGAAATGACGATCCCATCTCCAGTAGGAGTCAATTAGAACTTTCGAGCTAAATACTTTGGCACTTAAAAAAGCACTATTTTTTTTCTTACCGCCTTCACCAGTCCTTGCTGGAAGTCTGGCACTATAAGGCCCATTCCCCTTTGAAGTGAAAGCACACATTTTGACCGTGTAATTCGTCCACACCTCTAAGTCCTGGAACTGGTGTGATAATTGGTTGAAATTCATCACAGTCTCATTTCTTAGAGAACTGCCACCAGCGTCGAACAAGGAAACACGGTAACCTAGAATAATTCCATTTTGATCTCCGACTATCACAGGTTGCCAGAGCACGTCAAGGGTCGTGCTTGAATTAGCTAATGTTGTTATGTTTGGTGGTGCACTGCTAGGAACTAGAAACAAAAATGTTAAATATTGCATGTTGTTTATTACGATCTTGAAGATTCGTTTGATTAGAAAACTTAAGTGATACTATTTTGACCGCTGAATTGAACAATGGTCCCTCAGGACATTAAGAGCTACACTTTTCAGTTACGCTTTACTTTGGTACCAAGTTTACAGGTTCCCTTATCTCAAGGCCTGGAACGGGCAAGGCTGCCCCCGATACTTTTAACGGACTCGTTTGTCTCAGTCATTTTAGCTAAAGGTCTGTAGTCTGACACTTACCTAGTCCCAAGGCCCCATTATTCCGCGCGGCGCCGCGGTCAATGCGTTTCGGATCACGTAGTCCGCGCGAATTGACCAAGAAGGCCTGGGAAAACCCCTAACAGGGGCTAGGCTAGTCTGACACGCAGCTTTCTTTTTAAAATGGGTAAGATTAGGCTTAGTAAACGACGGGACTGTATTAATATGGAGCTTCGAGTTTAATAAGTGATCGAACAATTTTTGCAAGGACCACTTGGACAAACAGCAGCGAGCAAAAGCCTGATCTTGGTGTACATCAGAATCCGCAATATAGAATAACACTTAAAATTGAACCGATCAGCCTTGCCTTAAATTTTAATTGTTTCAATAATTTACATAGTTGCACGTTTTTGTGGGATAGTTTTTGTTCATAAACTTCACTTAGTAATAAGAACATCACAAAATAATGGAAGAATTAAGACTGGAAGCTTACCATCTTCGTCTGTCCAACATCTAATCTCTGACTGGATACCATCTCCTTTTCTCGTAAAAGCGCTGATCAAAATCCTATACTCGGCAAACTTCAAAAGATTTTCTATGACAACTGAATGCACAGTGCCATTCACCGTTACTATGGTAACACTTCTCTTTGATCTGAGCACTCTGTGATACTCCACGTGATATCCCAACAACACGCCGTGAGTTTGGTCAGCGGGAAAAGGCTGCCAAAGTAACCGTAGCTTGGTAGAGCTTATATTGAAAGCAGTGACGCCCACAGGGGAGGTACTGGGAACTAAAAAAAGTTGAAAGAGATAGGCTATCAAGATAACACAACTTATTTAGTACTTATTAGAAAACTGTCACGTTTCTAGGATTAAAAAAGTGTTTTCCAGAGTTAAAGCCTACTTGTGATCTGGCGGGCTTAATATCAAATTTGTCTTGATGAAGTCAAATAGAAATAATGGGCATCCCCTTCTTGTCACTGGCTTAGAAAAATGCAAGATTACAAGCCCAACCTCGTCTCTAGGATGCTTTTTCCTGGCCTGCGAAGACATACAGTCGTCGAATCTCTTTTGTCACCGGTAGGGATGTTTCGCGGGTGAGACGACGTGTCCTTTGCGAAACTCCCATATAGCGGCGAGGAGAGAGGAGAGACGCTTCCATTAGCAGGCTAGCTTTTATCCATCAAATTGAAGAAAAAAAAAGCGCCGTGGGGACAAGGTTGGGTGCAGGCTCTAATGCGTAGAACGTATTAGGGGAACGAGTATTCAGCATATTGCTCAATTGAAGAAATGCGCAATAAGTTATGCATGGGAAAAGTAATGATGTTCATACAAAATTGTTGCCTGCTAAGCCTCTTTAAATGCCGTTATTTCACAGCTCTTTTAAGCGGCTTCGAGCTGATTTTAAGAGGCCGCGGTTCGTTTTTTTGCACTTTATAAACAAACTAAGGAAGTTTGAAAATATGTCCATGAAATGTTGAACAAGGAGTAACTTACCGTCCTCATCCGTGGAAACGATAACAGCGGCGGAATTAGGACCCGATACAACGGTCACTGCGGCCACCCAAACGGAGTACACCGTGAATTTCTTTAAAGATGAAATAATCACAGATAAAGAAGCATTTGCAACCATAATCGTCTTCGGACGAGAGCTCTGTGAGGCCTCGCGTAGCATAACGCGATACGACTGGAGAATACCATTCAGCAAGTCGTCTGGAACCCGAGACCACGTGACTACGATAGAGGTGGAACTAAGGTTGTATGCACTTACACTTTCTGGAGCAGCACTTGGAGCTAGGAATTCAAAGCATACTTTTATGAGAAGCCGTGAAGGTCTTTGTGACTTACAAAGCGGTTTTTTCCATCCCACTCAACTCGTGGTACCATAAAATTAATAAAGATAAAATGACGGACCATCATACGTTTCTGGGAAACTGCCCACCTACCCCTCCCCTAAGCCAACATTAACAATTACTTCTCACTTAGGGCAAAATGTTGGCATAGGGGAGGGGTAGGTGGGCAGTTTTCCAGAAACGTATGGGAGAGACTCCTATGACTGTAATCCTGTTTTTAAATTGTTGTCCCTTTGAGTTTTAGTTTGATAGCCTTGTGGAATTTTAACAGTGCATATAACTTTCTGTTTTTTTTTGTTTTTAGGTCTTAATATGAGCACCCTGACATCCTACCTACCTCTCGGTAACGTAGAAGCCAGCACCTCTTCACTCCAGATAGTTTCACCACCATCTCTCATCAAGCCTACTTTGATATTGTAAGTTGTCATTCCAGGAAGATTCGTAATATACGCTCCCGCGACACTGATCTGGAATACAGCCTTGTGCAAGGGTTGGCCTCTGTTGACCTTAGTGTACGTCACGTTGTAACCAATGACCATACCTCCCATTACAGGGCTCCAACGGACATGAAGAGACGAAGAGTTTACTGCGACAGCACTAACATCCTTTACAGCTAAAGCAATGTACAAAAAGCCGCTTGCAGTTAGATTATAGCCTGTGTGGCAGGCGTCGGAAAGGGGATAAGCGAAAATTAAGGCAAAAATATGAAGGTTGCGTGCGCATTGCGTTAATTCTCGAACCTTAAAGGGGCTATTTCACGCTATTTGCTATCTTCCTAAGAAAGAATTCAAAAAACGAACGTCCAGTTTTGCTTTTTAAGACTACATTTAGGCACTGAAATTGTTTTAGAAAAATGGTACGCTTACAGCATAATTTGGATGAATCTCTCTGTGTTTTACGGATGGACAGGCATGAGCGCCAAAGAGATGTCATGATACAAAAGATTGACAATGTATGTAGGATAACCACCCCCTCCTGAACCAACAACAGATTCGGCAAAATAATCAGAGAAACATCTAATGACATTTTGATTCCGACACGCTTAAATCGCGAGTGTCATATCGTCGCCGCAAGAACTGACAGGCTAGGTTTAAACTAGAGAAGATTATTCGTGGATACATAAATCTGCTTTCTACGTTCGTCACGAATCCGAAAAAAATCTTCTATTGCTTAAACCTAGGATCAGAAAAATGTAATCTTCTCATAGCATTATTTAACGTTGAAACTTACCATAACAAGCTAGTTCATATTTCATTTACCTCCACAAAACGTTTCCATGGTAACGGCTTCACTTAGCTTTCCATAACCCTCCAGGGAAAACGCTCGAACTTTGAAACTATAAAACTCGCATTCTTCATCTGAAGCCAAATGGACCAGGGCTTGTGTTACGTTGCCATCTATTTCCGTGCTCAATATGTAATCCCCAGTCACAGAGCTTGCTTTGTACAACACTTGATATCCTTGGAAAGAACCATAATGCGGGATGTCTTCGGCGAATTCCCAGTTCAAGTAAATGGCAGTATTATTTAAAGCTGTAATATTGACATTTAGAGACTTTCCATAAACTGAAAAAGAAAAAAATCCTTCCTTGATGTAAGATCCAGCACTCGCTCTCATGACGAAAATACAAACTGTTGTGAGCTTCAACTATATGGTTGATAGATGAATGGATGGATGGACGGACGGAAGGACGGACGGACGGATCGATCCTGAATTTTGACTTATTTTATTGGTCCAATTCTGCAGATTTTTTTTGACTTAGAAAATCAGAACCTGTTTCAGAGTTTAGGTTTAACAGATTCTTGTATAGAGGGGGCCTAACTAGTCTAAGAGGTTCTTAAAACCAGGTTTTCAGCCGCCGGTTTTTACTTTACCCAAGCTCTCTTTCACAACTTAAAAACTAACTGTCAAATGCAATGTTTTTAACACATACAACAAAAAAGCGATTCCGTTGAGCCTCACCATTTATTGGTTCAACGCTCCTCAGTTGAATTGCTAGATCACCGAAGTTGCTAACCTCTGGTTGAGAAACTGTTTGGTTTACAGCCTCAACTAGTGGCGTGATCATTTCGTAGTTGGCGTCATTATAAATGATGCTGAAGTCTGATATAACACTCCCTTGCCTGAAATCAATGATAGGTGCGAGTTTTACTTATTAGTAACAAGGCGAGAGCGAAATAGCTTCCGAGGAAAACCTGTAAAACGTTCAAAATAATGACACCATGCGTACAAAAATGCTTAGAAAAAACTCTAAAACACACACAGAAGTCGCCTCATGCGCGTCATTGAATCCCGAGAAATAGAGGATCACATGGCCGCGCGGAGATAGGAAATTTCTCTTCGAGTGTTGAAAAATGCGCGAACAAATGAATTATTTTTTCAACACGAGAAGGGAAGTTTCTTATCTCCGCGCGGCCATGTAGTGTTCTATTTATTATATGAACACCAATGAAGTACCAAACCATTTCACTTCAATAGTTTTTTCGCTGTGAAAGGCGTCATTTATTATGTAGCCATAGCAATGGTGATCTTTTCACGTGTGAAGATAACATGTTATTTTCACATGTGAAGATATCAAGTTTACGCGCGAAAGCTCCCCTGGTATTTCATTGGTGTTTATATGATAAAGGACTTTATCGCTATCATATATCCTAGTACATGCCATTAGCGTGCAGAAGTTAAGAGAGAGCTGGTTATGACCAATTAGATTACAGAATGACCAAATACTGAGATAAGAGTTTGAGTAAATAATAATAATAACATTTATTTTTACTGCACAAATTCAACTATACAGTTTTCAAATGCGCCTTACAATTTTTGCTGTCATAACTAATATATTAATCTTCGGGCGTTCGTATCAGAATGAGTAGATGATAAGGTTTTCTATCAAATCGCCCGAAACAGAGAACAGAGTTATGTCGCCCGGAATTTTTTGTTAAGACGCTCGAATCTTATCATGCTAAACAACATCCTAACAACTCTATTATCGCCTAATTAGAACGAAATTACTCATTTATTCCGCTTGTTTCGTCTCATAATGGTTTGAAGAACGAGATATATTACACGCATCAGTCTCTTCTTAATTTTATTTCGTAGTAGACCTGATAAAATTTGGGACGACACAAATCAGCATTTGGAGCGACTTAACCAGAGAATACTGGCGACACAACTTTGGTTTCGGGCGAGATGACCTTCTAGCGGCTTGACCGGTTTTCCATGATGCATACCGAAACTTGTGTACATGTATTTCCTCCACAAAAAAATACTTTTTGGCGCTGTCATAAACCCTCCGCACCTGCAAAAGCAACAAGGTACATAAAAAATAAGAAACAATGAAACCAGCACCACATCATGCTTTTGAATACACAAAGGAACTGTGTTTTCGATTGTTTCATCGATCGTTATGGCCGGCATTTTTGAAAGAGAGGATTCTCAACCCGAAATAGTACTTTTTCTAGAAGACGCATTAATGTTTGTTTATTTTCATGGACAAAATGATTGTTAATATATGAAATAAATTAAATCAAATATGATCTCAGGGAAATAACGCACATGGACTCAGCAAATATGATCCCCCGCCACTGTTAACTTGAGTCATTACTTCGAATCTAAAATACCTTTAAGCAGAAGAACTTAACACGGAGCCGAGCAACTCACATATTACAGCATGTTTAGGGCCAGTTTTTAGATACATTTTGAAGCACTTTCCCCCGCGAAAATGCAAGCTTCGCTTCGCTTCGCAGGTTTTTCTGATTGGTGTGTTTGACTTGAAAGATATTCTTAATTCGCGCCAAAATCGTTCTGAAATTAGACTGGTCGGTGAAAACGACGAGACAAGAGTAGACGTAAGTTGCTCCTCGATCCTGGTTATGGGCTCCTGTTTCAAGTACGTTCTTGGTCGGCGAAACGTGGGAAAACCTAGACCTCGCCTCTCCCTCCCCAATCCCGCCCTCTGGGAGTTTGCACCAACTCTTAAAAAAATGAAAAACTCACCCCATATCGTATCCTATCACGCAGGTGTTGGAAATCATAACTGGATTCTCTTTCCAACTGTTGATGCCAGTTTTCTCGTAGAAGTGAAGCAGTCATCTTGAACTCTAAATGTCGCTCCAGTCGACGATCTTGAGCGAAAATGAGCGAATATTCAGTAGTTAAGAGTTGTTAGTCTTTGAATTAATAAATCCTTTAGCAATCATAACATTTCACCAATAGACCCCATTTCACGATGCTTGCCATCTTCGTACACTGATGACATAGAAACTGTCACGTGGTCTCTCAGGGGACAAACAGCGGACAAAACGGCAAGGCCAATAGACCATTTCCGAGTTGCTTCAAGCCTTTGATTCAAAGCGAGGCTAAAGTCGTAGCTATTGATATAACAAGAATTTTTTATTTTCATGCAAATATAACTCATTTTCACCAGAAAGGTTTCGCACCTAGCCTCGTTTTGAAAATGATAGTTTTTGGAACTCGGAAATGGTCTATAAAAGTAAACGCTATTAAAAGATGAATTCTTCATGAACCACTTTCGGACGTAAATGAGAACAGAATTAGGCTCCACGATAAGTTCGTTTGCATCGTAAGAGGACATGTGGTGGTTAATTTAAAACTGTCAGGAAAATCGTTAATATCTAATAGAAACAGAAGTGGCCCTAAGATGGATCCCTGGGGGAATCCGCAAGTGATTATTTTCTCAGATGAAAGCTGGCCGTTGATAATACATTGCCGTTCCCTGTTCGTTAGGTATGATTTAAGCCAGTTCAACTTAATACCAAGGATACCAAAATGTTCATTTATCTTGGTTATCGGGATATAGTGTTTAATGGAATCAAACTATTTCTTGATATCCAGGAATACGGCACCATTCAGTTTACCACAGGAGCCCATCAAATGGAGCCTCCATCTCTCATACAAGCCCTTGGAGTCAACCCTTTCCCGAGTAGATTTATAATTAGAACGGTTCCCAGGGGAGACTTCGCGCGCCGACGGTGGGAAGCGCCAATCACAACGACGAAATGAGACTGCTATTGTACTTCATCAAACAGCAGGAAAGTCGGTGTTGACAGGCCAAACACAATCATAAGCTAGTGAAACGTGACTTTGGCGTTTTCATCCCTCAGAGATTTTCTTTCTTTTCTTTCTAGCGGGTAGATTATACTGTGGACAGTTTTAAACTCTGACTATATTAATCTTAATTTTGGTTGCTTGTCTCACATTAAGAGGCCATGAAGCTGGTCTGTTACATGCATAATGATTAACTACTACCTGCAGTCTGTAGTTCTGACGGGATTCGTTTTTTTGAGCGTTAAGGTTCTTTTTTCGGCTAAATGACTCAATATTAATCAAATTTCTAGTTTTTCAAGATTTTTTTTCCAAAATGCGTTTATCTGAATAAATACTTGTAGTCCTTGTGGTTGTTTTGTCCGTCAGCTAGTGTGATGATTCCCTGCTATGTTTTGTAACGGTGCTTAACTGGCGAAATCCACTCCATGGTGATGACAAAAATCAAATGATCCTGGCACTTTTTCGGCGCTGATCATCGAAAAGTTCCAAATCGTCCACAGAACGCTTAATCGTCGACTCTTTTCAAGGTGCATGCTTAAATGTGGGATTCATGACGGCAAAAAAAAAAAAAAACACTCGCAAAGATAACCTTTCCGTGATCCTCAGTTCGCTGCCTTTGTCTCATCTCTTCATGCTCAGTCTCAGTCGGGTAATCCATTAACTTTTATTTCATGATACCCAGATCCCAGCGGCTGTAAAATTGTAAAAATGGACGTATAGTAAAAAAGGAAAACGGTCGAAGGACGGGCTTCTGAGTTCGACTTCATCCAACTTCATTTTTTTTCACGGTGACATACGAGACTCACGGAAATATGACAAGGGTTGACTCAAGAAATTAATGGAGATGGAGGCTCCATTTGATGGGCTCCTGGTTTACCATTATCCATAGTTTCCGGCCATTCATCACACATCTGGGTGAGGACCGTTACTGTCGAGTGATCTGGGCGGAATCCATGGAGTTTTCGTTTAGATAGCTATAGAGCTCACAAAAGGTACTATGGAAATAGGACGGCAGTTTTCACCTATCATTAACTGAAGACGTTCATCCAAAACCGTTTATTTACTGTCTCACGTCTTCGTCCTGAGTGCTTAGATCTTTGTTTCTCTCTCTAAAGCTTCCACTTTGTATTGTAGCTCCCATGTAAGTGTTTGCGTTGATTGTATCTTTCATTTTGTCGTGCCGTTTCAAACTCCGTTAAGAAACCATTTACCAGGTCTGCTAAGTGACATTTAAACGCATTCTTCTTAGTCTCTAGCTTACAAATGCTCTCTAAAGCATATGAAAGTAGATCTTCTTTGTCCGCTTCGGAATATCGAACGTCTCGGCTTAGTTGTCCCTCTTCTGTTTCTGCACAAGAGGGACAACATGTGCAAACGGATGCAACAACTTTTCGATGGACCTGTAATACGTCGTGGGAATGGTACAACCCATTTGACTTTGTAAAATTGCATTCTGCAGCCATCTTGGCACGTGCGTGGCCCCAAAAATGTTGGAAGAGCTGTGCAAAGGGATCCAAGGTTCTTGCGCCACGCTTCGGCGGTCACGGAACAAAAGAAATGTAAGGTGTTGTTGGCTCAAACTTTTGACCGGTTTCAAACTTTGCGCAACAACTCCAAACAACAAGCAACAACATGCAACAGGGTGTGTAAACGGACGGAACATGTAACATCCAACAATGTCGCGTCCGTTGCACGGGGCTTTTTACCTCAAAGAATGTTTTATTCATAAACAACTCCAATTAGCTGTTAACCCAGTGAACTACCTTCATCCCGCAAATCTTTTCGAGCGTGCAAAGATGGTGGGCTTATAATTCGTGAATGAGGACTATTTTCATTGATATCTTTGCGCTGCAATAGATTTTCACGCTTATTAAATATCCCTGGTTTCCCTCTAGGGACCTTAGTACCACTCCTGGGTATTGAAGTATTCTAATAAACATGTCATGCTCTCAACAGAACGCTCTCGTATGCGTTCGTACCCAAAAATGTCTATTCAAACTTTCGTTTTTTGCCCCTTCCTCCTCCTGAGCGACGAAAAACGCGGAAATTATTTTCGCCTATATCTTAGTATTCCCCGCGTGCGTCATAGAGGTACAGCATAGCGGTGAAAATTATTGGCTTAATACTATTAACCACACTGCTACCTTCTGTTGTTTTCATTCGACAGCAAGTGATCCGATCGATGCAGTGCAGCTGACGGCAGCCACTTGTTCGTATCCGGGTTATGAAGTAGTGGTCTTTACATTTAAATAGACCAGGTTTCCCAGAGAACGAAACGGAGCGGTCGTAACATTTGAAGTGATACGGAGAACCTTTGACATCAGGTCTACAACACTCTCCGTACTCAAGCAAATCGTTGGTAGCTGAGTTGCCCTCTGCACGAAAGTAAAAACCATGAAAAAATCGATATGATCCATAGCAGTTTATTTTGATATCGGAAGCTCTGAAAAATAGAAAAACATGAACAAATGAGAATAGAATTGACAGCGTTGACGGTTGACGGTTGTCAAGTAAAATTTTATTCCAAGAGCATAAATTAATATGAACTGTTATGTTTTGGAGGTTGTCTTGACCTTCAGTGGAAACTTTTTGATGGTTCGTATTAATCTACATTTATGACGGTTGATGGTAAAAAAATTACCTTTAATCGATGGTTGACCGTTAAATTTTAGGCCGTTTGACGGCTGACGGTTAAGTCCATTGAGACCCTCTTAATAACAGAGTGGAATTACGGTTATGAAGCCCGCAAGACTCCTTTGTTATTAGCCTGCATGGCAGGCATTAGAAGGTTAAGGGGAAGATGGAATTTGGGCGCAGCTTCCTTAACTTTGTTTTAAGTCAGTTTTGTGGACTTGAAGGTGCATAACGTTCAATAGAATCCCTATCATTTTGATCTTACTGACCAATAGAAACATCGCATTAATTTATTCCGTGACACTTTGTAGTTTGAAGAGGAAAAACTAGCACTACAGATTATGCACCGGCCGTCAGGGAGCTTTCAACATAAACTCCAACACCTTAGTTTTTATTTTTGCAGTTTACCGGTAGTCTTTGTCTCCACAAAACGTGACATTTGGCATTTTCACGTTGTAGTTGTGCAGTGACGGCAAAGAAATGTACAAAAAAGCGTGATGCACGTGCAAAGTTGTGCTATCTAGACCTAAACCTATTGTTTTTTGTCGTTCTCGTTGACGTCGCCGCCGTCGTTGCTTAAGCTCCCTAATTATGGTGAGAGGGAATAGGAGTTTAGGAGGCCACTCATGCTGGACGAATTAAAAATGGGTTAAATCTGGGTTGTTCCAGAGTGTGAAATTTCTCAGGCCAGTTCATACTAAACTGTACCGCAACCGAGATATTTTCGAACGAAGAACTCGTACGTTTTGATTACACGCAAGTTAAATTGGGTGCTCTGTATAACAAAGCCCTTTATTATTTTTAATGAAGATATGATCGTCGCAGTGGTTGTTGCAAGATGAACTCAACAAATTGGCCTGCTCCCATTGTATGGGTTTTCATAGCTTAAATGGCAGAGCAACGCAGCGCTAACGATGAAGAGGCCATGGGTTCGAATTCCTTTGAAGTCCGGAAAATTTTTCTTCGGATTTATTTGCAATTGGTTAAATTGAAATAACTTCTGCGACAATCATTCTTCATTTAAGATTTGTATTTCCGCAGTTCACATCTTCTTCAAAACGTTTTATAATAAAGAACTTGGTATTACGGGCGATATTCATCACCCCTAGTAGTATTTTTCTCCATGTAAGGTCATCCGAATTTCCGAAATCCGAGAAATTTCTGTTTCCAGAATCCGGAAACCGGGAAAGTTTTGCTCGTGAAATCTGAAATCTTTGGCTTTGAAGTCCGTCATTTTGCCCAGAGAATCGGGAATCCAAGTTCCACTGACAAGCAATCCAGAATCCAGTACCTGGAATGCGAAATCTACAGTGTCGAATCCAGAGTCTTGGATTACCTTTTGAAAGGGACGAAATGTACCCTCTGTTCTAACAGATAAATTTTTCCTAGTCGTTTGACAGATGGTTACCGCGAATCCTCTATTAAGAGCTCCCCTCTGAAAAAAGACCCCTCCCCCTAATAAACCCCCCTTTTCAGGGGAAGAAAGTTAATAACCGCCCCTCTCTTTTAACCCCCCCCCCCCTCTCCCTTATCATTCTTCACTTCAAACTTCATGTGAAATGATCTAGGGTGGTCTATTCAACAACTGGCAGTTCGGATCTGTTATTGATCCTCGGATCCATGACCTCCAACTTTTCGTACTTACGCGTTTCCACTTTCTATTCTAGTTCTTTCGGGAGAACTGTTAACATCGTCTTTGCTGAATTAAATAAGCCTCCCCCCTCTCAAATACGCCACCCGTCTCCATTAAGCCCCCCCCTCTCAAATGCGGTTGAAATAAATAAGTCCCCCTCGAGGCTTAATAGAGGATTTACGGTATATTGATCAGGTTCTCTGTGAGCCTATAAGCAAAGAACAAAGATATTACCTGTAGTACTGGAAGTAACCCTCCTTGAAACATCTCCACTTCTGATACTTGTATATCGCTGGGGACAAACAGCACCAACCTGCTACGTCGCCGTTCGCTACTCGTTGGAGACCATTTAATAATGAATAATCCTCTGGGCATCGCACTTTTGAATTAGAACGTTCTGACCAGTTGGCTACTTTGCATGTCCATAATGGAGCTAATAGAGGAACAGGTCAAAAACAAGACAAAACATCATCTTGACCGAACGAGCTCCATCGATGTTGTAAAGGATTAATCATCATATTTGAAACAGTAACCATTTTAACCGAGACTATAATGAAAAAAAAAATTTACATGACCATTGTATCCAATTTCTCCTGGGTATTACAGTGGTCCCAAGAGAAGTCGAGGACAATGGTTATGCAAACTTATGGTCTCGGTGGAAATGCTGAATATGGGCAAAATGAGCTGGGTTAAATCTGGCAATCAGAACAGAATTCGCTTCACCTTGCCAATGCAGAAGGCAGCCATTAATATATTAGGTCAAGCTAAGTAACGTTTTCTAGTCACAAAATCTATGAATTTTTGTTTCTCAGTAAGCTTTTGTAACGCCCACGATTCAATACATAATTGTCAACTGGTCCGTGGAGGTAAACTGTTTTTTAATTATTTTGGGGGATTTTGTCATCTGAGCTAACATTGTATTAGAAAAAGTATTACTTTAATGTTTAGAAGTCTTTGTTAGATGTTTAATTTCTGTTGGTTTCCGACCGCCATATTAGAGAGCTTTAGATTCGAGGATGAGAATGACTACAAGGACGACATTTAATTTTACTTTTTTTCACCTGTTCTCGAAAATAGACACCCTGGAAAGCTTCATTGTATCTTTTCTTCACCAGCAAAGTTAGCACGTTTATTTCCGTTGAAGGTGGTTAAGCCCTCTCCGATCGCTAAATGATAAAATTTCTAACATTTGATAACGTGTTTTCGCCACTATGACACCTCTCACTAATACTCGTAGTAGACTGACGACAGCCACCACATTTTCCCGCCAAAATGACGTTGTTTTGCGAGCGTGCACAACTTAGTATTGGGAAAATCTAAAGCTCTCTATTGGTGCCCATCCGGATGGCCACTGATACTGGCGTCTCTATACAAAGCTCTATAAAATTGGGTAAAATTGCATTGATATGAAACTCGGCAAGGGTCTTTGCATATTTACTCCTCTTTCCAGATTACAAAACGGTTTTGATTTTTACGTTGATGGCGTAACAGTGAAAACAAGCGATAAGAGCCGTAGTAAATGCAGGAAAAATGTTGAAATTGATGACGGCTTTTGGATTTTTTTCATACATTTCTTCACACACTAACTTAAGCGATATCTACCGAAATCAACATAAGTGAGACCAAAACGGCAAATCAAACCACTATGAGAGACGAACGAAAATTGCCGTCAACTTTATATGGGAGCCCCCTCCCCCACCCCCCAAATAACATGTAGATAATGAGGTCTTACCTCTTACACAACTGTACATTTCTTCAATCTCATGTGGGCCAAGTTTTCTGTCCAAAATCTTCAAGTCATCAAAAAATGCTTCACCTTTCAAAGTTACAACTGCACGATGCGACGGAAGTTGAAGTTGTTCTGTACAATTATTGACAGTTAATTCTCTTATTCTTCGACCATTTCTGAAGATTTCAAGGTGCGTTGTACGCCACACGAATACAAAGTGGGACCACAAAGACCTCGGAGCGGGAAAAACGTTAATGCACTTTCTTGACGAAGCTGAAACTCTTACAGCAAGATGTTCGTCGCCTCTTCCTTCCTGCTGAAACAAGTTGAAGATGAAGACGTCGACACGGTCGACAATGTCGCCAATAGTGATGAAATCTTGTCTGACAGTTACTTTGTTACGGTAGTTTGTCCAATGTTTTAACCAAAGCGATACTGTAAAACCGCTGTCACAAGATAAAGGATGAGTGAAGCAAGTATCTGTGATTTCGTCTAGGTTTATAACTCCATCCGTTGCCGCGTAAATAGCTCCCAGTCTAGCTCCTTGAACACTATGAACAGTGCCGTCAAATGTTCCCCAGTGGTCCCCATTAAGGTTTAGCATGTTGGTGTCGTTGTCCAGCGGCCAGTAAGAAGTTGGATTACCTGACGAGTGATAGAAGAATAGTAGATAGATCACGGTGTCCCGAAACAATGAAACGGCGGTCAAGCTGGCCTAGCAAAATAATCTTATAAGGATTTAACTCTTTCTCGTGGCAAGTCTTTTTTTTGTTAGAAGGGATTTGAATAGCTCCTGACCTCGTGATTGAAAATGATCTTTTACCCATGTACCTTTTCCCCTCATAATACTAAGGCTTTCCATTATAAGGAGTTCATTCATTCAGTCTTGTAGGCACTTCTCCTCTGTAAGAATCATTTCAGTAGCCGTAATTTGCAGAAAACCAAATAACGTTTAAATTGCCGGTGCAAAGATAAAAGAGTTTTTCATTCATTTTCGTACGTTCGTGACCATAACGTCTAATACTTTTTTTTCACAATAACTCCCTTAAAAAGCTTATTTTCAAATGAGTCACTGAAAATTTGAAAGTTCTCTTCATGCAATATTTATTTGACGCAGATACTATTATTGTCGTGGTAAAATACAAATATGCGTAGTAGTGTTTTTTTAAGTTCTGTCTCAAGCGTTGCGTGTATTTCTTTACTGCTTCCAACCTCGTTGCCACTAGATCTTTTGTTTAAGCGAAACAAAAGGACTGCAGCTTCTGGGAACCGACGCCCTTTGTTGACGAGCGCTAAAACTCTACTATCACTTATGGGCAGAGCTTTACTTTCTCTACGCTAGATATATAAACATTGGATTTTCAAGTCAAAATCTTTAAAGGTTTTGACAAGTGAAGATATCTCTAAAAGCACTCACCTGGGTCACAGAAACGTGCATCTAAGAAACTGAAATCCCAAACACACTTTCCTTCAAGTTCGTCACAATACTGGTAAAGAGGACAGGGACTTGAACAAACTGGCTCTGGTAAAATTGAGTTTACACATCATTAAAACTAATGAGAATTTGGAACCTATTCTCCCTGGGGACTCCACAAAAACTGAATAGCCTTAAACTCTATTGCGTAACACTAGCACGCCGCATGCACATTGTCCATACCTAACACCTTCTTTGCCCCCCAAAATCTGAATAACTTTTGTTTTCAATTTCTCCCAGGTACAACAGTCGTTCCAAGTGAAATAAAAGACAAAGCTTTGGGGCAAAGGTGGGGGAGGGGCGAGTGACAAGCAAAGGTGCCTGATTATGGGAGATGGGGCGAAAAGCACGTAACCATCCTACGTGTCTGTGCATTGTAAGTTTCTTATCAAGGTCAAGGTCGGTTTCTCGTCCCAACAGCGTGCCCTGTCAGTGTTTCATACTCTTCTTTTCTCACCCTTCCCACTGCCCCACAGTGATGAACTAGCTCTCAACTATGAACTCAGTCCCGTTCTTAACGCCGGGCTGAATCTCCCATATCTTACTGGTATAACAGGTATTGTTTGCCAATGACGCCAGTGAAATTTGGCAGTAGACTGACCCAGTGGACAGCTAGCACTTCAGGCTCACGTTCAACTGGAGAATGATCCTGAGTTGGAGCCCTGACAGACTACTAGCTGGATTTAATTTCTTTCTCGGTCGTCCCGAATTCAGCTTCTTGGTTATGCCTGACATAACCAACCGGCCCCTGCCAGTTTGTAGAGGTTTGGAGTTGTAATCCTGTTGCGCTAAACTTGTTGCAAATCAGTTAAGCGAGGTGCTTGTAACCTAGCTAGAGAAGTCAAGTCCGCTTCCTGCCATAAACAAAGCATTTTCTATTTACTAATTCCCTGCTAACAGAGGCCTCTTTTCCTTGGTATTCGGCAGGCTGGAGGAAAAGTGCCGCCTGCAGAGAAAAAAGGCCTGTGCTAAGAGGGAAATTTACCAAATCCTCTTGAAACTTTTTGTGTAGATTCTTGACTATAAGTCGTAGCTTGTTGTCCTTGGTTTGTTCACGAGGCCTACTAATGCGGACTTAATCCTAAAATAGACCTTATTCACGATACTCGCCATCTTTGCACGCGCGCGTCTTGAGAATGAAGGGATAAAAGCAATGTCATTTTTGTCTTCTATATAGTTTGCTAATTCTCTGAAATCGAGACGACGACTTTAGTCTTGCAAATGTACACTTCAAGTTTCGACCAATTTTACGTCATTATGCTTGCTGTGACCACATCTGCGGTCGTAATTGCATCCAGAAAAGAAACAATTAACACTTCCACTCATAATTTGCCATTATCGTCCTTAACGTAACACGTTCTTCATGTTATGTTGTGTAGAATAAACAAACTCGACCGCGATTTCTTGCACTGGCAGATTTTATCAGTTGCTTGCACCCTGAGAAACCACGTGACATTGCTTTTTATCCCATCAGTCATTAGTCCTTGAGCGCGTGCAAAGATGGCGAGTATCGCGAATAAGGTCTATTCTTTACACGGTTAGTTTCCAAAATTTATCTTACAATAAACGGTACGCCTCTTCGAGTCTGATCATTGTCGTACTGTCGTCCTTAGCAAGTTAAGACTTACCTCCAATAGCCAAGACTTCTATATCATGCAAGTACGTGCTGTACTCTCCAAACAATAGGGTCTCATTATGGGTCATATTTTCAGCATAGGAAATTAATTTCTCCATTAAAGCCTGACGAGTATCCAGTGAAAATACGAGTTCATTACGTCCAAAAATAGGTCCTTCATTTCTATTCCACTCAATCCATTTGAAAACATCTTCTATACCAAAAACTGCCTCATCAAAAGTTCTGTTCAAAGTCCTCTGGAAACGAAACAAGAACGATTTTGTACTGGCTTGAAATATCTCCTGAGAACCTGAAAATCAAACGATATTTTAGTAAGCGTACTCTAATTAGTCTAACGCAGTGTCGATACGTATGCAGATATTTATTTGTAAACGGCGACTTTTACTCCATTTTAGCCTTCCGTCCTTTGCGAAAACGATCCCCAGTGGAGATTTTTGAAATCGGTGGCTCATCGTTTTTGTATGAAGGGACGAAAACGGAGGTTCTTGAAGAACGGAGAAAAAAATATCCGGATACGTGTGGAGAGAGCCTATTGAACTTTAAACGCAGATTCCTACTACGTAAATTGAAAAGAAAAGAGACCAATCTTAAAGCCCTTTTTGGAGATCTAAGCGTGGTAGTACAGCCAAACACCGTTAATAAGAACTCTGATGAGGGGAGCATAGAAAGTGTTTGTATTAACGGAGTGTCCGTCTTAAGCGGGTTAATTTTAGAGAAAATGTAAGGGCTTTCTTTCCCTAGGGACAAAGCAAACTGTCCGTTATAATGAGGTATCCGTATTAAGCGAGTGCCCGTTAAGCGGTGTTTGACTGTAGTTGTGTTTGAAAGTTATTTTAAAGTTTCTTGACCACCGCCCCTTCACCTAGTACCTTCACTGAGTATTTCCTGAATGGTGGAATTCATTTCTTTAACAGAATGTAGAGCATAAAGTGCCTAGTTTTGTGAAAGTAAACAAACACAGACGGGGAAACGAAAGTGAAAGTGAAAGTGAAATTCCTAGTCAAATTCCGGCTTCAGCAGTCGTGATGGCTGCAATTGAATCGAATGGTTTGGCATTAAGGGACTGATAGAGTTGCCTTTACTTTCATACTACCCTCAGGGGAGGTTTTTTTTTGCCCTTGGGTAGGAAGAGTAAAATGTTCTGTGCTTACCATGGGTGAGGAAAGTAATGTTATGCTCTTTAGTATCTTAGGGCCTGTTTACATGGAGGTGGGGGACCCCAGGTAGGTGAGTTGACATGCGGCTGGTTATCCCACCAGGAGCCCACCCGTCATGTGAACATGATCAAATTAAAATGAGAGTTTATATGGACAGGCAGGTTACCTCACCTACCTGGGGTCCCCCACTTTCATGAAAACAGGCTCTAAGGTGGGTTTGAACGCTTACGTTTATTTCAACATACCATTGGAAAGTAAAATAGAGCTACTTCCCCAACTCTGATCAGCAAATCCTCCAAATACAGTGTTATTGACTCTTGCAATAGTCACAGTGGCCCCCAGTCCATCGCACTTCTGATGAAAGATACTGTTGCTCCAGCCATCTCTAGCAGATTTGTAGCAAGGCTTCCACGAGTTGCCTTGGAAACCGGCCCGAGTCAACCAGCTCTCTAGACGTGTCTTGTATGCTGGGATGTGGCCAATGATAGCAGATCTAAAGTCTAAGGGCAGGCGATTAATTTCGTACATACATTCGTACATATCGTTTAACTTTCTCTCAACATAAAATAAGGTAGTTGCACATGAGTGGTAATTATCTTGAGGCTTAAGTTTTAATCGAGGACTTATGAAATAAGCTTCAAACTCTAAAGTGCGGCAGCTTAACTAGAAGACTTTTTCAAATTTTAGCCATTTGCGAGCAACATTTACGGACATTTCGCCTTAAAGTCCATAATTATAAAACTAACCAGGGGCTGTGATAGTGTGTTAAAGAGTGCATTTGATGCCAACATCTTCAGCGCAATTAAAATCATATGATCTGTTTTAGTACAAGGTGCTTTAGGGGTCAAATAAAGCCTGAGCTACGCCCAGATCCTAATTTTTCAACGAGTATTTTCGACCCTTATAAGTTTAAAGCATAACCTCCCACCCCCCCCCCACCCCCTCCTGCCTCCACAGGGCCTCCAGCTCCGCAGATGGGAGCTCACAATTTGAACTAACCGGGCAGAGTCACGTTATCGTGCAGATGTCCTATTCACACTAGGCTTAGTACGTACCTACAAATGCCCTTCGAGCAAAGCCTGGAATTAGTGAGCAACTGTTTCTGCGTGTGAACGTGACTTCATCGATGGCAGTATCACCTTCACCTCCATCAATAGTTCCCTCAAATATAATCTAAAGGCGAAAAAATGAACCCTATAAAAACTACCAATACATTAAAAAGTCTCTAACTGAAGTCCTTGACAGTTCTTTTAAACTGAAGGGTTACACCAGATTTATTGGGAACTTTAAGATAGGGAGCTTAAGTAACAACGATGGCGACGGCTACGAGGAACATCACATAAAAAGTGCAGTTTCACCGCTTCAAACTTTGTCGCTAATATACCAACGAACGTTTTCACCAGTCGGACGCCGTCGTAGTATCTTAGGCCAGGGGAGGTTCACACTATATACCAAACTCTCGTCTGAAGGAGTTTGGATCGTCCAACACGTTCTATCCATCTGCTTAATTAAGCTGGTCAGGAAAATTTTACATTTGTCAGGAAAAATTCAAGGAAAACTCAGGGAATGTCAGAAACCTCTGAAATTCCCCGAATTTTCCCTGAATTTTTCCTGACAAATGTAAAATTTCCCTGACCAACTTAATTAGAAATTTCACACAGTAGACCTGATGATGGACTCAAACTTCCCCCGTCACAACCATCCCCTCCACCCATCTATTTATGCTTTTAGCAAGTAAGGCCTAGGCCAAACGTCTAACTTTTCATGAGACGAACCAATCTCTAATTTGGGTCGACCTAAATTAAGTTAAGATTGTCTGTTGGGTCAGACGCCGAACTTACGACGCATCGAACCAATCAACTGAATCAGACCAAAAAGCAAGTTTTATAAATTTTCTCCCGAACGAGGTTGGAATAGAGGATAATACGTGGCCGCGCGGAGATACGAAAGTTCTCTTCGAGTGTTGAAGATCGCATGTGAATATCGACGTTTGTTCAGGAGACAATCTTCAGACGTTCTATCCGTCTGCTTCAGACGAATAGAACGTGTTGGACGATCCAAACTCATTCAGAGAAACTTAAGTGAGCCAGACGTCTAACTTTTCAGTTCATGAACTTTACTAACTCAGTTTGGTTCATCTCAGGAAAAGTTCGACGTTTGGCCTAGGCTTAAATGAAGAAAACATGATGATTTAACAAGAGAACGGGGGATCACTGACCTTAAAGAAGTTATTACGGTTTATGGGTATTTGCCCTTGTAGCCATTTGTTTGATTGGTATCCAAACAATCTCCACAGAAGAATCTCGTTGCCTCTGTAATCTTGGAGAAACACACTGAGTTTACCAATTTGTCTTCCTCTCATGTGGTAGTAGAACTCCAGGCAATTAAAGGATGGCAAAATATACTGGGTTTCCAGTCGAGCTTTGTGTCCTTTTTGTTGGGCTGAAGCTTCAAGGTACAGAAACCCAGCAGATTGGACTGTAAAAGATGAAACAAAAAAAAGGAATAAATTTATCGAGTTTGCTTTTAATTGCTTAATGGATATCGTTAAAACATAAGACCAAATTGGAAGATAAGAAGTTCTGTTACAAGTTAAAATTTTTTGTTAGATGTGAAAAAACAAACAAACAAGTAAACAAACCATTCAAGAGCGCACGCAATGGTTCGCACTAACCAATCGCGTACGCCTAAAGTGCGCTGTCCTATAATTATTAGTAATGGTAACAGGACTGAGTGGAGTCCAATTCAGTCTGTAATCATACGAGTGATTAGCGACCTTTAGCAATGAAGACGAGAACGAGGACGAGGACTGTTATGACCGATTGGGGCCTGGAACGAGAACGTCGTCCACGGCGGTATTTCGGCGGGAAACAAAAACATTTAGCAAACCGGTTACGGTACGTGGACGAGTCTCTTCCTACAGTGAGAGTCACCTGGGAAAATTTCTTTCAAAGAGTTTCGTGACCTCCTTGTACTTCTCTACGGCGATGAAATTATTTCCGATGAAGAGTTTTTGCTACTTTACGAT